CTCAGACCAGGGACACGTGAACGGTCGTTCACTTAGAGTTTGTATACTCTAGAGGAAATCAACTTCCTCTGCACAAGGTGCTGTGTGACCCCGTCACAGATGGCGTCTGTGGGGAGAGGAATTATTATTTTTTGGGACTCGGACTCGGTATCTACCGTTTCTGGGTAGTGGGAGGCTAGCCACGCTGTCATTGTGTTGATCTTAGAAGAGTACGTTCGTTTAGTAATTGTCTTAGTTCATTTGGACTGCAGCGACTGCGCCACCGCGGTGGGGTCTTCGTTGTTGCGCTTGGAGCGTGCCATTTCCAGTTGTTGAAAAAGGTAGTCTGAAAGGTCGTATAAAAAGTGTGATTATTTTGTTATCACAAGTGCCATAAATCTAGCACATTAAGTACGCACAATACTGAAGCCAAGTGAAACCCTTTAGATTCGCATTAGATTTCAGGTATTTATGGGTGTGATATTCAGGTATCACACTCCCCTTCCAGCAGATCATAATAATATCACAAGTGCAGGAGATGTGTAGCTTTTCATTGCAAGACGGACGCCATGATTGGTCGACTGGCGAAATGGCTACAATTGACCCAAAGGGTGATGTAAGCCGATGCTTAAACTGAAGATTAGACCGATCGCCGATTACGTTGACCCAAGTTGTCGTGTAAGCTTGTTGCGCGTCTGAAGCTCGAAGCTGCTCACTTTCCAACTTCCTTTCTAAAGCTCAAGCGACTACTGAAAACTCCAATCCGAACAATGGCCCCATCGACGCCTAAGCTCTTCACGCCCGTGACTTTGGGCGGCAAGAGCCCGATCCAGCTCAAGCACCGAGTGGCCATGGCTCCTCTCACCAGACTCCGTACAGGAGCGGAAGGTGAGCCCAAAGCAATCGCTGCAGAGTATTACTCGCAGCGCACCACCGACGGCGGTCTGATCATCACGGAGGCCACCGACATCTCCAAGCAAGGCAACGGCTACTACGGAGCTCCTGGACTGTACACTCAGGAGCAAGTGGAGGCGTGGAAGCCTGTCACTAAAGCCATCCACGATAAGGGTGGCAAAGTCTTCGCACAATTGTGGCACACGGGTCGTGTGAGCCACCCGCTTAACCAACCTAATGGAGGATTGCCCGTTTCAGCCAGCGCCACCAGCATGGGGGCTGTAACGAGCCACGCGGTCACCGCGGAGGGCCGCAAGGAGCACATGACACCGCGCGCTCTGGAAGCAGACGAGATCCCTAGTATTGTGGAGGACTACAAGACGGCGACGAAGAATGCCCTCGCTGCAGGCTTCGACGGCGTGGAGCTGCACTCTGCTAATGGCTATCTGCTGGAGCAGTTCCTGTGCGACGCGACCAACAAGCGTACGGACAAGTACGGCGGATCGATCGAGAACCGGGCTCGATTCCTGTTCGAGGCGCTTGAAGGCATCCTTTCCGTGACGGACTCGAGTAAGGTGGCTATTCGTCTCTCACCGTACGGTGTCACTTTTGGCTGCACGGATTCGAACCCTTTGGCGACGTACGGATATGTGATCCGTAAGTTGAACGACTATGACCTGGCCTACCTTCACATTGTTGAGCCGTATGGCTGGCATTTCACGGGCCCATTGGTGCCGGAAGGCGGCATCTCGCCGGTGCTGCGTCCACTGTACAAGGGCGTAATCGTTGCGGCTGGCGGCTTTAATCGTGAGAAGGCCATCAAGAGCGTCGAGGAAGGCTACGACGACATCATCGCTTTCGGACGCGACTTCATCGGTACGCCCGACATTGTGGAGCGTCTTAAGGCCAACAAGCCCCTGAACAAGTACAACACCAAAACGTTCTACCCTCGCTCGTGGACCGACCCGTTAGAGGTGGGATACACGGACTACCAAATCTGGCAGGAGAAGTAAGGTTTGCATTGCTGGGAAGACGGCAAATGTTATTAAGACAAAAACAGATACTAAGTAGTATGTTGCCTTCCTATCGATAACCTTTGCTCTCAAAGTTGCCCCCCCCCCCCCCCCACAGCGAACAGTCGCTGTCAGTACTAGACTCGACAGGACTAGAGCAAGTGGACACAGAATGCCAGATGCAGTGAAGATCGACATCTCGTCGGAGATCACAGAGCAGGAATACCGCAAGATCTCGTCGCGGCCGCATCTGAAGCACAATGATATGACGGCGGAGGTGTGTATGGAGACGATCGAGATCATCACGATGGCGTGTGACAAACACGTGCCTGTGAAGAATTACGAGGCTGCAGCACAGCTCATCAAGCAGAGTATGGACAAGAAGTTCGGGTCCTCGTGGCATTGCTTTATCGGCGAAGGCTACGGCTTCGACATCAGCTACCAACAGCGACACATGCTGTATCTGTACGTGGGCGAGATCGGCGTGCTCGTGTACAAGTGCTGAGTCGAAGATTACCACACCGAGCAGATATTGGGATTTTTCAATCTAGTGCTTCAACGTACTCTTCTTCTTTTCTTGACTATTGTACTTGTGCACCTTTTGTGCCTGCGAGAGCTTATAGATGTGGACTTCTCGTTTTGCTACTAACTACGTCGAACAGTCATCACCTGTCTGCCACTTGGTCGAGACACGAACGGATTCAACTGCATTACACTGTGTCTACTTTGCCTGGGTACTTGGTCGGTAGCTCCAGTGTCTGCTTCGGCATCGGGACCACTGCAGTGCGCCGGTCCATGTCTTCCATGGCCTTGACGAATTCCTTGCTCTCCAGCTCCATGAATGGCAGTCTGAAGCGCTGATTTCTCCTGCTTATGTCGTCCTGAGCCTTATCATGTATCTTATCGAAGAATCCGCGAGTTTTGAGTGATAGTAGCAGGCCGCAAACCAGGAACAGACCGGCGTACAGGCCTCCTACGAGGTAGCAGTTGATTTCAGCGTTGCTTGCGCTCGTCTGCAGTCCGTGTACATAGTGTGGCTGGAAACGGAACAGCAGACCGAAGACCGGCATGAGCAGCATTCCCGCTGCAGACAAAGCCATCGCGATGCGCAGATGACTACTTTCTAAGCAAGTCATGACACTATTGTGTCTCTTCCTCCTCGTCCACTTCGAGAAGTGAGCTCTTGAAACGAACATTCATCTTCCAATGGACCAATCACAGCGCCGCATTATGTACCCATCCCATATCAGTGTTGCAGTTTTGATCGATTTCAGTGTCCTATTTTGCTTTTCATTTCTCGTATGTTGCTGCAGGGACCCTCGCCCAATGCTCTCAGCAACTTTGGCAAAGTTCGTCAATTGCTCTACGCGCGTGTGGTGGCAGGTGCCTTGTGATCACGGAAGCTCTTCAGCTCGGCGAGTCGCACGAAGCGGTGGTAGATGAGCGGGTGTAGCTGGCTCAGTCGTCCCGGGTTCTCGGCGAAGCATACGAACAGCGTCTTAATGACCGCCGCAATCACTTGTGTGGCCAATGAGATGGTCGTGTAGCAAAGCGTGAAGGCCACCAACGTGAAGAACGTCGCGTGGGACGATGCACCAGCCAGAGCCGACGCTGTCAACGCGCTCATGACGCCAGCCCAGCCATTGCCGCCAAACAGCAGGATGCGGCTGGTCAGATCGTCGTCCACAATTGCTTCCACGCCGTGATGCTCGATCAGCTTCCAGGCGTCGTGTGCTGCCACGTAATAAGGCTTGTTGTAGCCGGCAATGTGCACAAAAGCATACTTGTGATACGTGCGGATGAAGTGCTCCACTCGCTCCGAACGCAGCGACATAAATCGTCGCGAGAGAATCGATTCGTCTCGTCGAGCCCAGCGCAGAGCATTCCACACGAGATGTGCCAGTGGACACAACAAAGAACCGATGCAAATGGAGCCAAATGAACTCGACATGGCGCAGCGTGCGTAGTGCAGCACTACTTTCCGGTCAAGATAATCGGTGCTTGTGTCTTGCTGTGTTTGGTCATTGCCGTCGCCATTAGAGGCATCGTCCGAGATGTTGTCGCGAATGTCTGGCGAGATCTCAGTCGATTCATTGCGGTAGTACCAGATCATAGTCGTGCCGGAAGCCACAATCGTTATGATGTTCTTAAACACATTGGACATCCAGTAGAAGTGGAAGACCAGGTAGATCATCGAGAAGCTCCAGGGTGACACCTCTCGTCCAACATATCCGATCGTCGTGCAGATCCAGCTGGCCCATACAGTGTAGGCCACAAGTACGACACATGTAGCGTATCCAAGAGCCGAGTGGGTCATCAAGAACTCGACGACCAACTCGAAGAAGACTGCCACGAAGTCCAGGCCGTGGTTCGAGCGTACGTACCACACCAGGTCCATTACCACGACGCCCGTGCACATGATACCCCAGAACATACCATTACTGGACTCGAGCAGGAAAAGCATGACCGCCAGAGCCGACAGTCCAGCCATGGAGAAGATACACGAGCCCTGCACGAAGCGCAGCTTGGAGTAGAAAATAAATAGCAGCAGCCAGCCCAGAGCGAACAATACGTTCACCACACAGAGCGAGCGTAGCGCCACGCCCACGTCTGCGTCATCCTGTCCCACGCTCGAGTCGTCCTGCGAGTCCTTCAAACCGCTCACGACTTCGCGGCGTTCCTCTTCGAGTTCCTCACGCTCGCCGTCCGTGCGGATACTTCCAGTGGCCAGCAGCATCAGAATCAGATGCAGCACGAATAAACCTGCGAATGGCACGTCCCGGAACATAAGCGGTGAGTGCAGCGACGGCAACGGGCGATCGCCACTGGCTGAGTCCGTCATGGACAGCGGGATGAGCTTCGAGGCAGACGCCAAGTCGTAGTCGGCGTTGTCCTCTTCTTCGCGTTGAAGCGTGGGGGACAGCGAGAGGTCCTCCATAGCTGCGACCGGGGACGTAGGTACCTCGAAAGGACCATTGGCGTCGTCGATAACGATGCTCGACGGCCGCGACGTAGGAGTCGCCATCGAGACGCTTACGAGTGCAATGCGGCAGTTGAGCGAATGTTGAGGTTATGCTAAAAATAGGCTTGTCTCTGCAGTATTAAACTGTAAAACGGCATATTGCATACTCTGAACCCAGCTGTTGTCGTCATCTCGCACCGCAATTGACGTGGGATTTGTATTGTGGCATACAAACATCAAGTTTAATCGCCGTCTAGAAGAGACACAACCTCATTCGAGCTCTATCCGACTCGCACGGCGTGATCCTCCTGCCGCCCTAGAGCCCCCCGCCATGGCTAACTTCGACGCCATCGACCTGCTGCTACGCTACGAGACGCCTCTCGTCAAGGACATGGAGCCAGATGACGATGTTCTCGAGTGGGTGGCCGCCTATGTGGGCAGCGAGGGCTTCCAGGAGGCAATTGACAATTTCTGCGGCGCCCACGCGAGTCACTTCTCCATTCTTCTGACCAAGGGAGGACCTTCCGCTGCCGATCTGGACAAAGTCGAATCGTCAGTATATGACTTCTCTCTGTTGGTCCTGTAGTATACTAAATACTCACGTGATAACACTGTTGCAGGACATGGAAGGAGCTGCACGAGGCATTCATCGACACGGCCAACGCCCACATCGAGGCGTTCCTCGTGGAAAGGGGATTTACTATGGACCAGTATAACACCCGCTGCGAAGAGGAGATTGCGCTGTCCGAGGAGCGACAACGACACACGCGGCTCAGTTTCTTCGTGCAGATCCTGCTGGCCTGTTGCGAGTATGAGCAGTTCCTCAACCTCATGAAGCGCGTGGCCGACCCCGAGTATTACGACAAGAAGGAGCTGCAGTATGAAGCTGAGAACCTCGTGTACGAGGCCGAGGAGAAGGGAGCCACCAACGCCCAGCGGGCTGCGGGCGCACAGGCCTTCCTGGACTTCTTCCAGGCCAACCCCGACTTGACGCTGGACGAACTGACGCAGGAATTCCAAAAGAAGATGCAGCTCACGTGAAGTTGGCCCTCTCTTCGGATGGCTGCACACCTGTTTGTATCATTTAACCATGAGCCCAGTCCAATAGTTACAGTAGACGCACATGTTGCACCCAACTCAACACAATCAGCGAGGCGGCAGGAGGTCGAGAAGACCGACGCAATAAAGCGAGGCTTCGATTGGAGCAGCCTACCTGTCTACCTGTCCCGCTCTAACAGTAGAAGACAAAGTGAGATCGAAGTGAAGATCAATGACCCCAGAAAAAAATGGATCCATCTATATGTTGAAGTTGTTGGAACTGAACGAGCTCTTGTCCTCAGACAGAAGCACCACGTCGAGCAGCGGTGTGTCTGAGTGGAAACAGCACACCAATTCGACAATATCTTGGCATTTGATCTCTGTACGAGGCTTCTCAGCGACGTCCAAACTCGGTAGCAGTCGAAGAAGATCCTGCCAAACGAGTTCTTGGAACCGAGCACGAACATTGACACTAGATATCGCTCGACTTGATACAGAGCTACTGACAACGTCTTCGTGGCAGTCTTGGATTGCTTGGTTGAGATACAGTTCTCGAATATCGTCCAGTGTTAGACTCCTCTCCAATGAATTTGAACTTCCATGTTGATGTAGAAATGAACGAAGCGCCTCTTGTCCATGTTGTGATGATGCCACGTTCTCGTATAGCTGCAGGAAACTCGTGATGTCGCCTTCGGACAATTCATGTTTTCCTTCTCTGTCGAGACAGTCAAAAACTAGTTGCAGGTTGGCATCAACCGAGGCTGGAGTCAGTGCAGCATTTTCTGCTTTAGAACGTGATTCAGGGAGCTTTGCTGATACTGTCACGACGTATTCACCAGCACTAAGAGTTCTCACCACCTGACGTAAGGTACAAAGCATCGTGAGGCGGCGCATTAGCTCTTAATTCGAGCACGTCTTACCTGCTTACTGGAGACTCCGTCATCACTCTCTGATAAATCTTGAAACTTGTTATTATTTTCCATCAACGCGAGCGAAAAATCACTCTCCACTGTTACCACATTCACATCCACGTCCACCTGTTGATCGCAGAACTCGGTAGTGAAATGAAGCAAATACAAGGACGAGAAGGTGATCGTCGTTAGAGTTGGTACACTGATGACTGCTGTCATCGTTCCGATATCCTCTTCGTGAAGAAGTATCCGTCTTAATCGTTGTTCGCATCGTCGACCCAGAGGGAGGGACCACACAGCAGGTTCCAACTCGAAAAGCTGCTCCCAGGATACACGAAGTGCTGAGGGATCTTGGTCACGGTCAAACTCTGCAATACTGTCTGCAATTTTTTGCCGCAGATATTTTCCGGTAGCGTCGTGCAGAACTACTGAAGTTGTAGATGAGTCTTCGTCGCTTGAAATCGTGAGCCGAAATGCTCGATGATGATTGTCAAGCTTTCCGCATGTTACAGCAACCAGCAAAGACACTTCATCGGATTTTGGCCGATAGGATTGCGTGGCTTGTATAACCTCTTGAAGCCGCATTTTCCCGGTGGATGGATCTGTATCATTCTCATAATCTTGTCGACGATAGCAATAAACCCTGCGCCAGAAACGTATTAGCGAGCGGATAGAGTTTTGTTCAATAAATAAAAAAAATCGGCGTACCAAGGAGATCCAGTCAACTCTCGAAGAATCTTCATCGTCGGAATGTTGGAGACTGCTGCATAACTTCCTTTCAATTTTGCGTAAGCTTTGTGGAGGAGAGCTGGATACCAATCTCCGAAAATGTTACGTGGTGTCATGAGACCTCGTCCAAGTGGGAAGGAAGGAAAGAAGAGATCAACAGCTAGATGCTGCCATGTTAGACCTCGGTCGCAGAGTGCCACCGGGACGGCAGCCACTTTGTCAAATTGACCAGAAGTATCTAACGTAGGAAACCATTGATGAAGCCATAGTTCATAATGCGGAGCAATGATCGTCAGCGCACAAAGGAACGAGTCTTGGGCGGGGAGACCCGAAGTAAATGCAACAGTCGAGGCAGAGTCGTGAGCAACAAAAGTCCATGATGAGTCGATGATGTTGTGAATGAGGTCCCAAGTGCAGAGCGAGTAGATTGCAGAATCGGCTTCCGATACTTTGTTTGGAGCATCAGTGTCATAGAGAGATTTTGCTTGTGGAGGAAAACTCATATCGACAAATACGTCTCCAAATTCTCGAAAGTATCGGTTGATTTCATCGCAGGCTCGGATAACTTCAGCTGCAGGCCGATACGGCAGAGTTTGCCACTTACCGACGTGGCTGAATATGTGGTTACTATGCTGCTGTTGCTTCAGAATCATTCTTGCTGCTCTCTCTTGGGCTTCAAGAATTGCGTCCACAGAGGGCGTGACCACTGCAGTCACCGCGTAATGGACACGCACAAGTGCTCGCTGTTTTCCTTTCTTAATCACGTACGCGAGCACTCGTCGCTCAAAGGGGCGGAGCTCGCAGTTGAATGCCAATTGTTGTGTTGCCTTCTGCTGAGTAGTGGAACCTGGTTCGGCAGGACGGTGAAGCTGAATGTTTGCCGACTCGCTGAAGTCAACTTGAAACGTGACAACATCGAAACCAGAATTCTCCGCAACGTACTGAAGTGCGGTGGTAGAAGCGGTGGTCCCGTCCGGCTTCGGAGCTCGCGCCTGAAGCTCACGCTGTGTCACGAAGACTGTTACATGGTCGTGAAGTTTCTGCATCGTTCACCCGCGCACCAGCACCTCACCAGAAGATTCGAATATCCAAGTATGCGTCTCTTCAAGATCGAGTAATGGTGAGTTTGGGTTGGGGGACTGTGGAAGTGCAAGGACATAACGATGCGGGTAATGATCAAACATTTGAAGCCCGATCGATCTGAGCAATTCTTCGTGAGTTTGCGCTGTTGCAAGCGACCTCGACTATTAATACGAAACGAAAGTGTCAGTATCTAGAGTAGTTCACAACCCGTCACCATGAGCTCGCTTGTGCAGCTTAAAGCACAGAACGAAAGCCGACTGGCGGTATGCTACTTTACTTCTCAGCTCTGGTACGCAGGGGTTTGTCTAACCGATGCAATTGCAGGAAGAGAAGCGGCTGATTGATCGTCGACGGAACGTCCTCGTCATGATGCTGCAGCATTGTACGGAGAATGGGTATCTGCAAACAGCCGAAAAGCTCCAGCAAGAGGCAGGTGTCGCTCTCTCCAAGTTCGAAGTTGTCGAGAACATCGATCTGCTGCGTATCGTACAAGTGCGTCAAACTCATAACGCTTAGTTGCGGGCCTTATCTATGACAATTACTATGTCGCATTTTAGGAGTACGAAGATTTCCAAGAGATCAAGTTCGGTAAACGCCCCAAGCTAGTTCGCCGCTTATCGCCTGATGAACAGGACAGAGCGCGGTCAGCTAACGACAAGAAAGCAGCAGCTACAGCCAAACGGGCGCGACGTAATGAGTATACATCGCCAAACATGCCAACGGAAGCGCGAGTGGAGAATAATGTTGCGATGCGAGTCGTCCACAACAGCGCCAACAACGCTAGTAATGTAGCTGCTTCTAGACCTACTAAAGAAGCAAACCAGGCTCGAAACGATGATTCAGCCGTTGATCTCGGACTCGTCGGACAAAAGCCGGCACAGAATCAGACTCGCAATTCCAAGTCCGGCGTCTCAAAGAAATCCCAACCAACAGATGAGCAGCAACACGAAGAGAGTGTAGAGGAACGACTTTTAAAACCTTTGTCATCCTTTGCTTACGACTTGGAACTTCGACCATTAGCGGAGACTATCACACGCGAGATCTACCAAAAGAACCCGGACGTCCGGTGGAACGATGTCATCGGTCTACAGGAGACCAAACGGTTGTTGAAAGAGGCTGTCGTCATGCCACTCAAATATCCGCAGTTGTTCCAGGGCTTACTCTCACCCTGGACTGGCATCTTGCTCTATGGTCCACCTGGAAATGGCAAGACGATGCTGGCCAAGGCTGTGGCGACTGAGTGTCGAACCACTTTCTTCAACATCTCCGCCTCGTCCATCGTGAGCAAGTACCGAGGTGACTCGGAGAAGCTCATTCGGATGTTGTTCGAGCTAGCGCGACATCACGCGCCATCCACGATTTTCTTGGATGAGATCGACTCGATTATGGGCCAGCGAGATAGTGGAGGAGGAGGCCAAGAGCACGAGGCTAGTCGTCGCATGAAGACTGAGCTGCTGATCCAGATGGACGGTCTCACCAAGACTGACGACGTTGTCTTTGTGCTAGCAGCCAGTAATTTACCATGGGATCTAGACGCTGCGATGCTGAGGCGGCTTGAGAAGCGCGTGCTAGTAGATTTACCATCAGCAAAGGCTCGACAGGCACTCTTCGCCTCGCTGCTGGAGCCCTATACGCCAAACACCTTCGACTTTAACGAGGCTGTGAAGCTGACAGAGGGGTACTCTGGCACTGATATTAAGCTAGTAGCGAAAGAAGCCTGTATGGCACCTGTGCGCCGGTTGATGGAGAAATTGGAGGCCACTGATAGCTCTGAAGCTCTTCCTACAGGCAGTAATCAAGGCCGCGACGCATCTGCAGCGGACTGGAGGGAAATGCTGGGTTATGTACAACCAGAAGATCTTCTTGCAGCACTGCAGAGAACCAAGCCGTCAGCACAGCAGCTACTAAGGAGATATGAGCAATGGCAGATCAAGTTCGGGTCTACATGAAGGACAACTTCAACTTGTCTGAAAATGAAGCCATTCAAGTCACTTTATCGAGGTACAGTAATGAATGACATCCATTTCAAGCGCGCTTGAAAATTCGCGCTTAAGTGTTGGCACTGCATTTCCTTCGTACAACCTTCGCACAACCATCCAGATCAACCGCCCGCCGCCAGTCGTTAACAGCGCCAGCCGCACCACTCCTCGCATACTACTGCACTACCTCATCGACATCTAACGCAAAAATGGTAAGCGAACAGGTCCTTTCCAGGCATGTGCGCGCGGTAACTGTTGGAGCGTAAATACGACGCATACATGTAGAGCCGACGCGTGCGTTTCTGCTCCGACTTTCTCCGCGAGCAGCGGACGCCTAGAGCGCGAGCAATCACAGGCTAAAGTCGAGCGATCCGCTACGGGCGTCCAATGCCATGATTATATAGAGAGAGCAAAGATGACTAACTGGAGATGATGGCTATGACAGGATGCCCCTCGTGACTACATGCTGGCTAAGGTCGTGAACGTCCTCGGACGCACGGGTAACACGGGTAACGTGACCCAGGTGCGCGTCGAGTTCCTGCAGGACGACAAGCGTAAGATCATCCGTAACGTCAAGGGACCCGTGCGTGAGGGTGACATCCTGTGCCTGCTCGAGTGGGAGCGTGAGGCTCGCCGCCTGAGATAAGCGGAGTTAGTCTACACTTCAGCTGCAATAATGAACGAGGAGCGGTGGACACTTTCTACAAGACAAACAGGGGCAGCGATGGAGTAACACAGAGCGGACGACTGTTGACAGGCTCCGGGTGATGCATTCATCGTCTTCTTTTTAGTTGTGGAGACTCCGTACTTCGATCAGCTTGCAGCGTTCGGATTTCAACCACTTCGTTACGGACTGGGAGAACCGGAAAAGGGGACGAGGACGTAGGCCGACTTAATTCGCGGTAATATTTCGATGAGAACAAACGCGCCCGTTGTGTATTGTACGCTGCACTTGTTGGACATTCTCGTCTTGCTTGGTATTGCAGGAATTATGGGTACTGTTACAAGCAGGGTCACAAGACGACAGCGTTCACCTTGCGGGGCGCTCATCTGGTTGTAAGAAATCGATACTGGGCTTCGCATCTTGTTGATACGTTATCGCTTTTACGAGGCGAACTACATGTATGCCAGATGCACCATGAGAGCATTATACTGCCACTTACCTACTCTACTCTACTCCTCTTCAGCCATTATCGATTTTCACCAGCCAAGCACGAATTGATCCAGCCTGCAACGAGGCATATGCTCAACGAGACGCATGTTCACCGATGTGCAAGTTCAACGAGAACTGTCGACTTTACGCTGATACCGGCGCCACTACTCGCTGCTTTACTGCTGATCTTCAGATAATACGAAGCTGGAGAGCGGTCGCCACTGCTCCTACCTTTATACACATTCCCACACGTTGATGATTTTGTCAATGCCCCCCGAAATAATCAGTGGGAGACTCGGGTGGACGTCCAGGCATGTCACGAAGTGGCTGTGAGCCTCATCAAGCGTCCGCACGCAACGACCAGTCTGCACAAATAAAAAAACGTCAGACCACTAATAAACACATTAAACCGAGTCAAACTTACGTCAACGTCAAAGACGCGGATGGTCTTGTCTTCACCGGCGCTGAGCGCGTACTTGCCGCTAGGGTGGAAACGAACTTCGCGCACCCAGTTCTCGTGACTAGCGAACAGCATCAATTGCATGCCGCTGAAGGCTTCCCATAGACGCACTGTGCGGTCACGAGATCCAGACAACAGGAACTTCATGCGGCGGACAGTAGGCACACTGGCGACAGCGACTGCACCAGTGGGTTCTCCTGCCGTACTGTCGGTCATGTCATGGTTGTTAGCCTCCGGAGAGGCGACTCCATTGGCTGGAGTCAGTGCTCCCGTAGCCGCAAGCTTCTTGGAGTGAATCTTCTCAATAACCTGCTCTTGTCCTGTCTTAGCGAACACCACACTCTCCACGACATGTTCGTGCTCGCGGATAGACTGCAACACGCGCATGTGTTGTAGATCCCAGAACAAAATCGATCGGTCGTTGCCGCAGGAAGCCAAATACAGCCCGTCGTCACTGACTGCCACATCCCGCACCCAGTCGGTATGTCCAGCATTCAGCGTGTTGACACAGTAGCCTGTGGATAATTCCCACACTTTGATAGTGTTATCACGCGAGCACGAGTACAGTCGGTCGCTTGCAAGGTCGGGGCCGAACACGATGCCACAGACATTGTGGTCATGTCCGCGTAAGGTGCGAAGACACTCGTAGTCGCCATCACTGGAGAAATCCCAGATCTTAACGGACAGATCTGTGGATGTGGAGGCTAATAGTGATCCAGAACCGTTGAAGGCCACAGCCTGTACGGGGTTTGTGTGGCCCTTAAGTGTGCGCTCGTACTCGCCCGTCTCAAAGTCCCAGACCTTGACGCTGGCATCCTCACTGCCCGAGACAAGGACGCTGAAGACAGGGTGGAAGGCTACGCACGTGATAGGTGAGCGGTGGCCTGTTAGTGAGAACTTGGCGGGTGCGCGTGGCAGAAACTCGGTACGTTGGCGGGCGCCCAGCACGTCTCTACGGCTAAGCACACCGCCTAGTTTGGCGTTCTCCTCGAGCTGCACCATCTTCGTCTCGAGCTCCATGACCTTGCGCTGTAGACGGATCACGGATGTCCACTTCTTTTCCAGTAGACCGGCGTGTTTGCCGTCGCTCGACTTGGTCACGTCCGCTTCCTTCTCGAAGGCGGCGGCAGTGTCGGCGAAGCGCTCGCCCATACCCACGAGGTAGTCGAGCATGGCCTGATGGCTGCAGAAAACATTAGAGAGGGAAGGGAATAGGTGTGTGGACTTTCATATACGTACAGATCCTGGCGCTGCTTGTCCGTGAGCACCATGGCGCGGAGGGAGGCTGGTCTAATTGTAAGACGCTCGCTGCTTTGAAGACAGAAAAAGCTAACCACGAAGGAGGCACTCAAGCGGGGCTCTAACTCCAAAGAGTGACGTGAACATGGCTTTGAGCAGCATTGTTGAAGTAGTCCAAAAACCAATGCAGATTGCTGTGAACACTCACGGTTACAGGAGGCTCAGGCGAAAACATTCTCAGCGTAAGTGCAATAAACTCAGATCGGTGGTGCAGTTCGGCGCTAGAGCAAACTGGCCAACAGCTTACACCGTTTACTTTTGCTTGTTTCAGGGGCGCCAAGCCTACTTTTTTGAAGTGCTTGGTCACCACTGCGCATCGCGCTAGTCGTAAACAACAGCAAAGCGATACTGTATTGAGGCTTCATTTCATGGAAACTTGCTAGAAAACGGCACCAATGCTGCGCTTGGAACGTTCGTACATGTACATCGACGATGTAACATCGTTGCATTCCTGATCGTATGGACGAAGGATCTACTGTACGACTTGTTGTTGGTAAGATTTTTCAAGGCACTCCGACTGGCGACATCTGTCTGAAGTTCTTCTGTACAACACAGAGAGCCTGCACCGAGAGCGATCGCAGATTACACTGCTCAATAAGAAGAGAGCCTTCGGCTACGCTGCGCCAATGCACCAAGAAGGTCGGAGCACAATGCTGTCCTGGCAGATTAATTAGCAAAGTCCACAATGATAAAGTGTCATCGACACATTATTGTAATACATATCTCGGAGGGGTACAATAAGGCTTTGCCAGCGCTTCCTTCTTGTTCGTCAAGAAGACGATGTTTCGTCGTTCTTGACGGACAAGACAAGCATGCGTTACCAGTGGTTCAACGAGGCGATGCCGCATTTTGTGGAGGAGGCAGGTCCAGTCGAGCGTGGCTTGCATCGGCACACTGTCGACAACAGCGATGCCGCGCTTTTGTTGTTCGCGCCGCGTACACAGCTGGCGATTACAGAAAACATGAGACTTTGGCAGAGATTGAAAATCACTTGTTCTGAGTATGCCGATCCTGTCACTGCCGTTTCTGAGTTTAGTGGAGACGAAGATGAAGGGGACAGTGCACTGATGCCTGGTGCTTGTATCCAGTCGATCATGTGGCGCTGGCGTACACGTATGCCACGCTCCCTTGTGATGTCGATCCTTCTGGTTGATTAACGTGGGTGTCCGAGCGCAGGTGGAACTCCACAGCCTCATTCATCAACTTTCCCGCCGGCACAACTATCACTATGGTTCGTCTTGCTGCTTTTGCCGGAGCTTCCGCCGCGGCGCTCGCTTCTACCAACGCCTTCACGGTAACCATCACCAACGGATGCTCCAGCCCCATTGACCTGTACACGCGCCTCGCCAGCGTCTACACCGACGAGAGCGATACCATCGCCCCTGGTGCCTCGATCGACAAGACTATCGAGAAGGGATTCGAGGGACACTTCCGCAATGGCTCAAGCGATGCCGCCACGCTCATTGAGTTCGCCACAAAGGGCGACCTCGATCTCGCTTGGTACGATATCGGTATCATCCCGCCGCACCTCAACCCCGGCTACGAGTACTGCTCGAGTCTGCAGGAGTGCAAGGACCACTCCAAGAGCGGCATCGGCTTCAACACTCCCGTTCAGGTGACCCCTACGTCGAACACGGGCAAGGACACGTGCGAGCAGATCGAGTGTTTGGCGGACGCTTGCGAGGACGCCTACAACTACCCTAAGGACGACACCAAGACCCACTCGTGCGCGTTCGGCACGGACTTCGTCGTGACCTTCTGTCCGTCCGGTGACGCGTCCCAGACGCAGCAGACCACGTCGGGATCGGCCTCGACCACGCAGGATGCCGCTCAGCAGGAGACCACACAGGAAGAGACTCCCGCTCCTGAGACGACTGCACCGGCCGTGACGGAGGCCCCGGCTACGGATGCCCCAGTGCAGGAAGCATCAGCCGCCTCGGACAGCGGTGCCGGTAAGGTGCACACCCAGGACGAAGGAGTGAATGGCGAGTCGCAGACTACGGCTCCGGAGGTGACTGAGGCCGAGACACCCGCCCCTGAGGTGGTTCAGACTGAGACACCTGCCCCGGAGGTGACCCCCGCGTCCACCCCGGCCGCCACCAAGTCCAAGTACTGCGTGTAAGGAAGCCCTGTGTACGTTCTCGACTGAATCAGGTCGAACAATTTTCCAGCTGTCCATAGCGTAGATGAAACTTAGAAATTCACCGCTCATCCTGTACACTACAGCTCCTCCTTCTTCTCTTTCATCTCAACGTCAGCCACAGTGGTTTTATTAAGTTGATGTCATCAACTTGTCAAACTGTTTGACTACTGTAGTTTGAAACAAACAAAACACTCCTGGTCAACATTGTGGGGTTTTAGCCAATCACTGGTCTCCAAATCGGAGTGTTGAACTTGGCCCTCATTCTTCAATCGGAAACGCAAGCTAATCGACGACGACAGAGATGGCTCTGAGCACGGCAACCAAGCATCTGGGACGGTTGCTGCCGCAGTCCAGCGTCCTCTTTGTGTGCGACGTGCAGGAGGTCTTCCGCGGCCTCACATTCCAGTTGCCCACGGTTATCCATGGCACCAACACGATGGTAGGCGACAGCGTGAGATCTTCCGCCTCTATACAAAACCTGTTCTAACTTTGCGTGCTACTCCTCCAGGTATCGGCAGCCAAACTCCTGAATCTACCAGTGGTGGTGACGACCCAGTATGGCTCCCGTTTGGGCAGCACCGTGTCCGAGATCTCCCAGAACTTGAAGGACATGAACGACGTCAAGACCTTCGACAAGATGAAGTTCTCCATGCTCGTGCCTGAGGTGGAGCACCACCTGACCTCCAACATGCCGCAGCGCAAGTCCGTGCTGCTCTGCGGTATCGAGACGCATGTTTGTGTCCTACAGACATGCCTCGACCTGCTGGATAAGGGCTACGATGTGCACGTGGTCTCTGACGCCGTGTCCAGCTCCACGAGCTACAACCGCTCCATGGCTCTCGAGCGCATGCGCCAGTCTGGTGCCTTCATTACGTCTGTCGAGTCGGCCATCTTCCAGCTGGCCAATGACGCCAGCAACCCCGAGTTCAAGAGCATCTCCAAGCTCATCAAGGAACATCTCCAGGTGGAGAACGGATTCGACACTGGGGCCCGTATCTAGGTCAGCAAAACACGTGAGTCGAGAGCAGAAGACAACACGAAGCGTGTGTACTTGTGTGCATTTCAGTGATCAACAATTATTTTCAGGTTTGTTTCTGGAAGAAGTCGAATAAAGTTTTCTTGCCAGCGCCAGGTGCCGCCTTGTGAGCGAGTGCTTGGGCTTTCCTAGCACTGTTAGCGACAGGTTTCACTGCTGGACGTGGCCTCTTTTTAGACTTGGGGTTGAGCTGCGTTTGCGGTATGATTTTCGCACTGGGTGCTTGACCTTCAGGAGACTTTGACGCGTGAGAGGACTGCGAGTGCTTTGCGACGAGATCTTTCATCGATGTCGCAGTGACCTTCGACGTCACTACTGTTGCTGTACTTGACAGTATACGAGTTGAAGGAGCAGGAGTTGATCCGGCCTCGTCTTGTTTCGAGTCTGTCATTCGTGTCCGAGTTGCAGACGTCAGCCACTGGGAGGCAGAAATTGTTGATGCTGGAGTGGCTTTGTAGGCACTCACTAGTCCTCGAATGGATGCTGCGCGTTCCTGTGCCTGCAAGCGCTTCTTGTTCTCAAGTTGTTGAGCCACCACTTCTGGCTTGCTCACCTCTCGGTGTGTTACCGTTGTGCGAAAACCATGCTCCGCATTACTCGATGGTTCTCCAGGGTGTTGCGATGCATCGAATGCTCTTCGTTCGACTTGAACCGCGTCAGATTGCCAGTTCGGTGAGCTTGTCGGGCTCTCTGAAAGACTGCGAAGCGATCGCGCACATACTTGGCCTTTGTATATTTGCTCGACGATCTCACGCGAGCGGACTTGACCGAGGAAGCTCTTGGTTGAGGTCGCAACAGCGTGCAGATCTTTCTGTTGCGCTATGGATGTGAGATCTACTCCGTCCTCTGATGTGATACCCAGCGATTCCTTCGCGCGCTGAAGAATGTCAGGAAAGCAGTTGTCATGCTTGTCGTCGGTGAGGAATTCGCAGCTTTGTTTCTTTGGATTGAAGACGATGTGGTGGTAGAAAATGGTCTCCGCCTTCAAGAACTGCTGCATGAAATCACTTGGGACTTTGGTGCCGGAGCTTGAGAGTTTGCTCACCAGCCGCTGAACGCGCAAGTGAGCGGGTGCCCCTCGGAAGTTAAAGATGTGCTTTACAGCCGTCTGCCATCACAGTGAATAGTACTGGGTCAGTTTGAGTAGTCTCTACAGAGGGAGAACGAGGTGGCATGCTTACGGCAAATCCAACGTTCGGGAGCGAATCGATGAAGTCGCAGCCAGCTAGAACGCACACTTGGACGAACATCCGCGTGGCTTCTTTCTCTCCTGATGTAAGAAAATGGATCTTTCTCAACAAGGCGCTTGCTGAAGAAGCGAACAGATAGGGACATGTTAGTGTATGAGCGAAACGAACTATGTCGATCACGAGACAACGTACAAGAAGCCTTTGCTGAGTTGTTATGAAGAATAGTCCGGGATACAGCCTAAAAAGACGGAAGACGCGTGATTAGAAGATATTATCTACTGATCCAGACATCCTGGTCATTGCTCTCACCTGAGCAGAACCGTTATCTTCTAACTTGACGAGCACGGGACTGGAAACGTTGGCAGTTAAGCAGTACACAACCACATCCGAATCTTCCGTCACGATGCCTGCAGCCAAACCTTTCTTGCACATCCACGCCATCTGATACAAGCACATTTAAATATGTTAGTTCCGAGTCGTAACGACTTTCAAAAATTGCTAGACGTACCTGTGCATCGGCCTCGAATGGCGCCACTACAAACGGGATTCGTGCAGCTCTCAACGCGTTCATGACATTGGCAATAATCTCCGTGGTGATTGCGACCGACTGTGTCCACAAAGGCAACCCGTTTAGCTTAAGTACCACAAGAAATAACTCGAGCAATGCATCAACGAACCCTCTGGAAGAGCTGGTAGGCTTTGTTCATTTCATCCTGGCGCTCATTTCCTTGCAGTCTCTTGGACGCAGCCATAGCTTGCAGTGCGCGCTTGCGGTTTTCCTCCTTGTAGCTTTGTCTCTTCTCCTGTGTCAACGACTGCAACAGCAATTAATTTTTTGCTCCACCACACTAGTTGCTCTGGCAATCTACACCTTAAGTGGCAGCCGCTGACCGTCGAACACGAGGATGACTTTGGCAACGCCACAGTTGCGCATCATGTCCACTTTGCGCAGCATATACTGGACGTACTTGTCCGTGTCCCTACCAGTCGAGAGCTCGTAAGCACAGCCATAGCAACTGCAGGACGATCGCAATGGTTAATGACTGAGGTGGTCAGGTGGCGCTGTTGCAACGTACGCCTTGTGCAGCCAGGAGAGTGCGTCCACCACGAGAGTCTGGCCCGCGAACTGCTGCAGATGCGTCCTGTCGACAGCATCGCTGAGCTGCCGCAGGAAGCCGTCGACGCCCATAGCTGTGTACCCAGGAACAATTGCAAAGCTGACGCAGATTTTTTGGCGGGAATTCGACACCTCTATACAAGGGACTTTGAGGAGTGATGATCCTTCAACTTGCGCACCAATCAGCATCGATGCTGCACAAACCGGCATCAGGCTGCTTGCAGGATCCGCTCGTCTTACTCACCTTTAACCAATCTTAATAAGAAAAGAACACTTTACCACGGTGGCACCACCAATCCACCGCCACAGCAATTAAAAACTCACGGATGCCACAACTGCCAATTCAATGCTATTGCGCTGTTCGATCCAAGCGATTTTCAAATAAGCTATATCGGCTCTGTTTTCATCGAGAGGTCAGAATGGAGATCTCTTGTACACCTGATAGCATAGTTGAGCTCCAACACCACCGCTTGTTCCTCGTAGTTCTTGCATTTGCGAACACCATCGAATATGGTGTTTACCCCATCACTTATTGTTTTCAAAATGCCACAGAAATCACACTAACCCTTTATAAAATACATTATCCTATTACATTAAAAAAATATTCTAATTTCAAGAACCCTTGTAAACTAGTTCATTGTAGATTTAAATTGTTGTCTATCCTATCGAAATAATTGGAGAAACTGTACGCAAACACGGGCTCCACAAGAACGTGCCGGCGATTTGACACCGCAACACATTGCCGTGTGCGGCCACTCCGACATCCGCCTACTTATCGCCATGACGACCCGTGTGCTGCTCATCGACAACTATGACTCGTTCACGTACAACATCTTCCAGGTTTGTCGATCATCATAGCCTCTGCGTCCCTGTGTCGCCCTCTATCTGACACTTCTCTGCTCTGTTGCCACCGTTCAGTACATGGCCCAGCTCGGCGCCCATGTGGACGTGAAGCGTAACGACCAGATCACACTGGACGAGATCCGCGAGATGAACCCGGACCGTATCATGATCTCTCCGGGTCCGGGATATCCCAAGGACGCGGGCGTGTCGTGCGATGTGATCCGCGAATTCGCTGGCAAAATCCCCATTGCCGGTGTGTGTCTGGGCCACCAGTGCATGTTCGAAGTCTTCGGTGGCAAGGTGGACCACGCTGGCGAGATCGTGCACGGCAAGGCCTCAGTCATGGTACACGACGGCAAGGGCCTATTCAAGGGCATGGCACCTGAGTTCAAGGCTATTCGCTACCACTCGCTCGTTGGGCTGCCGGAGACGCTGCCTGACGCGCTTGAGGTGACGGCCACCGTCAAGGGAACCAACATGATCATGGGTGTGCGACACAAGCAGTACAAGGTCGAGGGATGGCAGTTCCATCCGGAGAGCATCCTGACCGAGGACGGCCTCAAGCTAATCCAGAACTTCCTCGACATGTGAACAACAGGGGGTGCGAGAGTCTGTCATGACGCGAATATACACATACAGTTCGAGCAATCGACTTGCTGAGTGTTTTTCGTCTTCTATTACAAATAAATCCCGGTTGCTTACTACAGAGAAGGCTTGAAACTCTCGCCACGGGGTCGGACAACTGAAGACGTTGATCATCCGCGCATACGCGAGGCAAAAAAAAAGCGACGCAAAATACGTGGCTTTCCCTCATTGTGATTCACCCACGCAGCGCTATACAGCAAAGTGGTGGCATGAACTGCAACAGTAAATTAGTCTTCAGAGAAGATAAATGTCAGGTCCTTTTCGGCCTCTGAAGCAGACGGCGTTGGTACAAACTAAACAGAACAAGCACCAGTCAGTACCCAAGCAACTACTACAGTTATGGTAGAATATCACGCACCTGTAACCGGTCGATCGACGCGCGATTCTCCACAGACCAGGACAGGAACTTTTGGAATTGGTGCGGAGTCATCGTGTTCCGCGACTGGTGCAGAATTGTCTGCAACACAAAAGTCACCATCAGTTTTCCGAGAGCGAGGAGGACGGATCAAAACTACATGACGCTTTACCTCAATGCCAGGAACGTAAAGCCAATCATGAGCTCGAAGCGCAGAAAAGCATTTCCGAATAGCATCCAGCTTTCGGGCCTCTTGACTGGTTGGTACAGCCAGGGATGCCAGCCGCTGACATTGCTCTGGGGTGAGCCCGAGTTGCGCGCGTAGAGCCCGAGAAAACTCCGAATTGTCCACAGCTACTGCGATTAGTGCTTGGTTTTCAGCATTAGACCGACGGATCTGTACATCCACACAGCAAACGAAATGCGTCAATAATCCGCTCAGTTATAGCTGTAACACAGAGAGAATCGCACCGCGTCCGTATTGCGTGAGTGCTGGTCGAGAATTCGCCCCATCAGCTCCATCTTGGCTTCCTTCGACATCTGCGCGTGTCGAAGATGTTCCCCCGAGCTGTATTCTGCATGATGGCAACCAAATACAGTCAGTTATACGGTCCAATAGCAACATTACAGATGTGCAATACGCACCCAATGCAGTCGATAATTCCTGAGCATTGCCTGTGCCAAACTCGTGGTTCTTGAGCATATTCAGCGAGCTCTCGAGCTTGGATACTTCCGCCTCGTACGTCTCTACCATGCCTTTCTTCTTCTCACGTCGCACTCGAGCCGATGCTCGGTTACGTTCCAGTCGTCTCTGTCTTCTGTCATCTTCCTCCTGCAGCTTCTGGTAAATGGACAGCAGATCGGGCGTGCGCATGATCTGCTTGATCTCCTCCGACCCCATGAGCGACGGATCTGTGCCACTCACACGCGCCAGCAGCGCCGTATCCATGGCCAATCCACCTGTACTTGCTGCGAACTGCGCTGCCGAAATCTGAGAGGGCGGCGTGGCGTCCTGGCGGCCCAGTTTAAGCGCTACGGGCATCCCAGCGACAGTTGGGGCTGGGACTGCCGCCTTCCCGTCCGCTGTCATCATCTGATAGCTCCCTCCTTCCTGGAACGTCATGCTACGCATACCCTCGGATGGGCTAGGCTGCGATCCAGTGGGCCCCGCACTCTTGACCGCCTCAGCAGCAGGCCGAGCTCCGTTACCCATGTACATGAACTGATTCTGGCTAGGTCCCTTCCATTGGCGCTGAGCCGCCTCAGCATCGGGCTTCGCACCTGGCTGGTTCAGTATATTGTATCCGAAAGGCAGGCCTGTTGGCGCACCCTGCGAGGATGTAGGCATGTACGAGGGCAGCGACGAGGGCAGATCGCCATCGCCGCCTTGAGCTCCGCCTTGGTTCTGCATGCGTCTAAGGAATTGAGAACTGTAGCAACGGTTATCTTGGCGTTTGTAAAGGCATTATGGTCACTATTCCGGGGAATTGGATGTCAAGTGGTGACGCTGCGTACGTCACATCAAATGCGTGTGCACCACACAAGCATTGTCGCCGCCAGCCATCTCCATCGTACATTTTTAAAGTCCCTCTGTACCTGCCAAAGTAGCCATGTTCCGCCAACTGGTCGCACGCCACGGCAAGTTTTCCTCGACCGCTCTGGCCATGGGCTTCGCGGCCGCGGGTGCCGCTTTAGGTGCGCAGCAGCAGCAGTCGCAGTCGTCAGTGGCACTTGCGGAGGATGCGCTCCCGTTGGCCGCGCCCGTGGCCAAGCAGCCGAAGATCAACGGACTTAAGATCTTCAGCGGCAACGCCAACCACGAGCTCGCTTCCAACGTGGCCAAGCTTGTGGGTGTGCAACTAGGCAAGATCACAGTCGAGCGCTTCGCAGACGGAGAAGTCAACCTCATGGTGCACGAAAACGTGCGTGGCAAGGACGTGTATATTGTGCAGCCCACGTGTGTACCAGTTAACGAGAACCTCATGGAGCTGCTACTTATGGTCAGCACTATGCGTCGCTCTTCAGCTCGTCGTATCACTGCCGTCATCCCGTACTACGGCTATGCGCGTCAGGACCGTAAGATGGCTGCCCGTGTGCCTATCTCGGCCGCCGATGTCGCGCGTCTGCTCGAGGCTATGGGCGTGGACCGCGTCATTGCTGTCGACCTTCACTGCGGACAGATCCAGGGCTTCTTCGGTCCGCATGTGCCTGTGGACAACCTGGACGGCGGTCTTGTTGGTGTGTCGTACTTCGGTAACCACGAGCTGGTGAACCCCGTCGTTGTGTCTCCTGATGCTGGTGGTGTCGCGCGTGCCAAGAAGTTCCGCGAGTGGCTCGTGGGAAAGTACGGCCTCCCTAATACTGGTCTGGCCATGATCATCAAGCAGCGCATTAAGGCCGGCGAGATCGACCGCATGGACCTCGTGGGTCAGGTCGAGGGCTCGGACTGCATCATTGTTGACGACATGATCGACACGGCTGGCACGCTGTGCAAGGCCGCGCAGCACCTGGCAGACCATGGAGCCCGCAATGTGTACGCCTTTGCGTCCCATGGTCTGTTCAATGGCGCCGCCAACGAACGCATCAAGAAGTCGGCGCTCAAGGAGGTCGTGGTCGTCAACACTACGCCGCTGCCGAAGAGCTGCGAAGGCAACGAGAAGATCGTGCAGCTGGACATTGCCCCATTGCTGGCTCAGGCTATTCAGAACATCCACGGCAAGAAGTCGGTGTCTCAGCTGTTCCACTAGACGCAGAGCGATAGGCAAGAGCTCACTGGCAGGCAGACAGATGCGCAGGTACTTCCCGTACCTGCACATAGTATGTAATTTCGACAAGGTTTGCATGAACCTATTTTTTCAGCAATGCTCTCGAGGCACTGTGCATTGTTCATATTCAAGTGCTGGAGTGTATTTATGCAGTTAAACGTCCTGACTAATGTCAATTGATGATAGACTCAACTAAAGTGCAGGTATGAGTGTCTGGGGCCGACGCCCCGCTGTTAACAGGTACTTCGGAGTACATGTACAGTAGCCAGAGGACTTCGTCGGTTGGTAAATGGGTTTGCCGCGCTATCAAACGATAGGGAGAGAATTCCAAAAAATGATCCTGAGCTTTAACTCGCCTTACCTTTTAAAGCAGATATCCACACAGGCAGACGTTCGCTGCCTCTCCTCTCACCTTGAAGAGATCCAGTGGCTCGTCTCAAACCCAATTTGGCGTGTTCGTGAATTACCGCAGAGATGGGGGTCAATCGATCAGAAAGCCCCATCTGCAGTCTCGGGAAATCTACGATGTACCAAATGAACATCAAATGGGTAAGATCGTCCAGTTGTAATAGAGCAAGATCAACGTCATGCTCGCTCGTACCTGAAGTTTGGATTCGGCAGAAACTCGTTTCGCACCCACGAGTAGGAGATTTGGTGGGCTCTCAGCCACACACGCATGGCCACCTTGCGCTCTCGAGGCCCCACCATATTGACGATGTGGTCTCGGAACAAGTCGTTCGTCACGACATAGCCGTTGTGTAGGCCAGCGTACTGGATAGAGTACGAGTCATCATAGTCTTGTGGTGGCGTGGGGATGAGCACACCCTTGTGCATCAAATGCTCCAGCAACGCAACATCGTCAGGGATTTTCGAGGCGGTGAGGACCTCGCCTTGTTCTTCGCGTTCGCGACGCTCTTCATCGGACTGGAGCATGTAGTCAGGAATGAACGCGACTACACGGTGTCCCAGCGCTTGAAAGTAGTTGACAGCTAGCTCGATCCCAGCACACGAGAAGACCTTGCCCTTGCCATGGCGCATTGCAACATTAGGGGCGTCGATCACAATCAAGCGTTGGGTCTTGTCAGCGCTCAAACTGTCTTGGAAGTCAGCATGCTCAGCACCAATGGACATGATAGTCTTGAAGTCAGCTTCGAGTGTCTGCGGTGGTGACGGCGGTGAGTCAGACTGAGGAGAAGAAGCGAGGGTGGAGGAGGTAGAAGAATTGGAGTCTATGCGACGAGCGGGCGAAGAACGAGGCGATGTCGTACTCTTTTTCGGACTAAATTCGTTGTTGTATGCCAAGTCGTACTCTTGGATCCACAAAGGTTGCTGCACAGGATCCTTTTCGTTGTCTGAAGTGGCGTCAACGTCGTCTTCGTATCCACAAAACTCGCATTCTCCATCTGGGAACGTGCTCGTATTGCTGCACAAGATGCACAGGCGACCTGTGACGACAGGATCAATCGCAAGGGGATCCACTCTAGCAGTCGTCTTTGTTGCTTTTGATGACGAATTTCGTCCAGTTTTGGAGTCACGAGGCTCATGAGAAGCTCCAGTCGGCACAAAAGTTATCGGGGCTGGAGCTTTTCCAAACACAAATCTCTCACTCAAAGCCATGAATCGCGTCGCACGCAGCACCAGACGCTCCTCCTCTGTCAGTTGTCGAGAAAATTTCTTCTCTGGAGTGAGTTCTTCTGGGAATCGAGCCTGTAGAGCCTTCTCCAAAAGCAAAAACCCGTTCAATTCGCGATCTTCTGGTAATGTGGCGTTGGATAAATCACCTTCACGCTTTTGTGCGCAGTATAAGCCGCGCTCAATGAACCCATTCGCTGACAAGATGTGGAACAACAACACGCATTCTTTCTGAAGAGTTTTTGAAGACAATCTTGCCTCATGCAGTTGAAGCCAATCCAGGTAAATATTCAGCGCTGGCAATAGAGCATTGGTGAAATACTTGGTGCGAGTAGATTCCGCTGAAGCAGACAACACTGCAGTGAGCTTCGACAACAGACTGGACGCCGTCATAGTGCTGACTGTCAAAGCCCTCTTCGTTCCATTGTTGAATGCTTGGTGGCTCGTTTTCTCGACGTTATAGTGAATGAGCACGATCAACAAGCACACAGTTTGGATCAGCGTCCTGGATAAAGCTTCTAGCAGAGAACCATCAATCGGCGTGGCCTCGTCTTGTTGATCGCAGACATCCAGTAAACTAACAAGAGCAGATTGCATGCGTTCCAAGGCGGCGTCCAACTCTGTCTTGGACCCTTCTCCAGTCTGAGCCATGTACAGACACGAAATCACACGTGTCGCGTACGTCTCCATCGCCTCACAGGTAGACTTTCCTGGTGTTTCCTGTTGGGTCTGACGTTGCTTCGCTGCATTCTTTCCCCGCTTCAAAACGTGAAGCAAATTGCCAGCATTGCCAAAAGGATTGTCGCACGTGAGACTGCGTGCGTACATGTATGCTCCATCCAACAGCTTTCCCTCAAGCACAGCGAGCAATCCTAGCTGGTTGTACACCTTTCCGTTCGACGGGGCCACTTCCAAAGCCTGCTGGTAATAGTTCCGAGCCTCATTCCAGTCGCGACGTTCTTTCTCGAGTTGATTCTGCTCATATCTCGCCACGTCTCCCAGAGCAATTAGTGACTGTTGCAGCGAGTGCTTCAGTCCATCCAAGTGTTCTGGCAGGCGGCCCCGTCTTCGCAGTGAGCTCTGCAGACCGTCCACTAGACTCGAGTAGAATGCCGTGCACTCTTTTAAGACCGACGACTGACCCTCAATCTCACGGTACCAGCTTCTCCACAGTTTCTCGTTGATGTTCTGCAAAGATACACAAGTCCATCGTTAGTTGGAATAGTAATAATAATATTTTTGAGTAAACTTGTACTGACCAATTTCTTGGCTGTCTTCGGGTACGCTTTGATTAGCTCCACACACGTGCATCGCAGCCCTGAACACGCCGACTCAAGCTCGTCCTGATCGTCACTACAATTATCACAGTAACATAAGTATCTCATTTTCCTTATAATTTTCTCCCATCGCTTGCCTCCCGGTCTTGAGCAGCTTTTCCAATGCATTGAGCCTCTGTAGCAGCACTGAAGCATCTCCTATATGGTGGCGAGGAGGTTCTGACACTGGAGGCGGCGCGGGCGGTAGCGCTGGCGGCGTCTTGCAAGTGATGTCGTCACGCGACTTGGGGCGGTATAGCGCTTTGGGGGGCGTGGGGCTCTTCCTCCTGCTAGTTGAAGATGACATCGTCTGCGTCGACAGCAGTAGCGACTGCGAACCTTCTCGGCGGTTCAAGAGACGCACTGGTGCCGCGTTGGAGCCCGATCTCGCGGCGCGCTGAGGCCGCTGCTTGGGCGCCATGTTGACTGTCAGGCGTTTCCTTCTACATGAAAGTGTGTTTATTGCCTCCGCTCCGAATCATAATGTTCACTTCAAAGTGGTGTGTGAGACATAAGATATTACGATGTTTCTATTGGTCAAACTGGATTTTTTTGTAAAGCTTTGACCAATAGAAACATTGTCACAGTTTATGTAGCTTACACCACTTTGAAGTGAACATTCTTTTTCGAAATGGAGGTAATAATAGTACCACATAAATGAAACATTTTCTTCGTGTGCAGTTGGTGTACACTTACGCTTTTGATCTCCCTCGATGGATCGCCGTCGATCTCACCGTGGCAGAAGCCGCTCGCCGCGCCGTCGCACCCCCGAGCGCATCCACAGGCGTCGCAGTCGCAGTCCGAGTCGTAGTAGAAGTCGCAGTGTTGTCGAACGAGCGCCACAGTCTTGGGGAACGAGTAAGGCGTGGGCTACCAGAGACCGACACCGGGAACACTACATACACAGCCCCAGCGCCAGTCCCCAGCGCCATCTGTACCAAAGAGAAAGGAACTTCACCAGCAATGCGCGAAGCTACACCAATAGGCGCAGCAGAAGCCGTAGCATCGATACCAGTCGCAGTCGGGACAGTCGTCGGGACTCGAGATATCGACGCAGCTCCAGTCCCCGTCGTAGGGTTTCTCATACTCGCCAGCGCAGCCCCAGTCTACGACGCCAAAGCCCCAGTCCACCCAGATACAAGAAATATGTCTCGCGTCAACGCAGCAGGAGCCCTTACCGCCGCAGCCCAAGTCCGCATAGACGGAGTCCGACTCCACCTCGCCGCAGCCCAAGTCCAAGGCGCCAGTACAGTCCGAGTCCTCGTCGACGTAGTCCTAGCCCACGGCAGCGAAGTTTTAGTCCACGTGAACGCAGTGCAAGTCCTCGCTGTCGCAGTACTAGTGTGCGTCGGCGTAGTCCTAGCCCACGCCGTGATCGGGCAAGTAGATCGCGGTCGGATTCCCGTTGGTGCCGAATAGAAGACGCGGCTTCGCAATCGGGATCTCCCCGTGGTCCCAGTAGCAGTCGCACTAACGACACGCGGGCAATGAACCCGCCAGTAGCCAAGCAGTCACCGATGTCTTCAGCGAGTACTCCACCTAAGGCAAAAACTGGTCAGTTTAACGATAGCAAGAACGATGTGAAGCACGACGTCAAGGAGGCTACCATGTTGGAAGACAGAAGTGCTGATGAGCAGCGCTTATCAGCCACTGGAAATCATGATGGCCGCAGTAATTCCTATGGCTACAGTCACCAGCACTTGCACAGCCGTCGTCTTTTCCATCCCGATGCGCGCGCTCCTTCGTCCTCCCCAGCACCTCTTGGATTGTCTACCCCAGCGAAATCAGTAACAATCTCGGACCAAGTGACCACTTCATCTCCACGAGTCGACCCAAGTAGTACGTCGACGCCCACACGACCAGCCGATGGCAATGGAAATCACCACGTTGTTGTGAATCCAATCCTGGAGAAGATGCGGGAGGCGCAGCGCGAAAGCCATCGCGCGTACCTGAAGAGCAACAGCGACTACAATCGTGCGGAGATGAAGTATGTGTCGATTGAAGCCGAGCTCCGACTGGCCGAGTTCTGGCTCGAGGTCGTGACGAAGAATCTGGAGGATGTGGGCAAGCGCATCGAAGTGCACGACTGGAACTTCCAGAAGATCACCAACCAGGATGGGGCTGACATAGCGTAAAAGGACAGTAGCAAGGCCAGTTGCTGTTAATAATGATAGCTGTGTTTGTTTTCTTCGTATACAATTAAGAGGAGACTCTCCTCGGGGAGTGGCTAGCTTGGAAGAAACATGCAAGAACACGAAACCAAAAGTTAGGGGAATTTGCTGCATCTTGGCCGCCGTGAGTTGTCGTCTTGTCCTTCTACCGATTCTGCAACACTTCCAGGATGAGATCACGGGACAGACTGGCGAAACCATCGGATTTTGTGACCATGTCGAAGTTCTGCACCATGTACGACAAGCAGATCTCACGCAGTCGGTAGGAATGCAGGTCGTCTGCGGACTGGAAGAGTGCGGCCGCGTTTTCCACGTTGATGTTCTTTTGCACAATAATCTCGCAGAGGCCCTTGAGGCGGTCCAGTGTGTACAGATCGGCGGCGGCGTACAACTCCAACGCCATCTCAGCGCCCACATTGATCGAGTCCACATAAATATACTCCAGTAGCGCCAGGAACACTGGCACTCGGGTATGCATCAGCGGGATCTCTTGCTCATGAGACTCTCGCATGCCGGACGAAAACATGGCACGGAAATGGTCGCTGCGAGCAGCCAAAATGGCTCGATGGGAATGCACAGCACGCCCTTCGATGAGGAAAGTCACGTCCGAGAACTCAGCGCTGTCGATGAGCTGGCGCATGTCACCTACGTACGAAGACGTCAGCATGGAGGCACGTAGCATCGCCACGGGATCCACGAGCGCGACTGTGTGTTCGTTGTAAGACGCTACACTGATCACGCGTTTGCCCTCCAGCACGTCCACTAGCTTCGGTAACGTGACCTTGGTCGTGTCGTTGTGCCCCAACTTACCGTGGTCTCCGTTTCCCCATGTATACACCTCGCCCGTGTCTGTGAGCGCGACTGTATGACTCCATCCACATGTGATCTGCACTACCAGCTTCTCCACGAGACTCTCCACACGCGTAGGCACGGTTTTGTTCACCTTGTCGCCGTGTCCGAGTTGTCCATGCTCGCCCCCACCCCATGTGTAAACTTCTCCTGTTTCCGTAACTGCTGCAGTGTGGAAGCCTCCACAAGCGACTTGTTTGACGCGTTTGCCCGCCAGCGCCTCCACAAAGCGAGCCACGGGTTGGTTTCGCTCTGAATTGTGACCTAGTCGTCCGAATTTGCCCTCTCCAAAGGTAAAAACCTCTCCGAACTCGCTTAGAGCGGCCGTGTGGAAGCCACATGCCGAGATCTGGACGATCGACTTGCCACGAAGCTCTTCAACAGGACACGGCAGGTACTGGTGTCCTTCGGTGTCTCCGTGGCCTGAGACGCCGTTTTCCTTGTCTCCCCATGTGTAAACGTCCTTGTTTTCCAATAGCACGACCGTGTGGCGACTACCGCAGGCCACTTGCCGCACCTGCATGCTCTTAAGCGTCTCCACTAGGAATGGGGTGGAGTGACCCGTCTCGTTACCGTGACCCAGCTTGCCATACATGCCGCCACCCCACGTATACAAGTCGCCTGAGACCGTCACGGCTGCCGTGTGGTAACTGCCGCACGTGACCTGGCGAATGTTCTTGCCACGAAGCTCCTCCACGAGGCGCGGCACGAATTTCCAGCCGTTGTCTCCGTGGCCCAGGCGCCCGTCGTCGCCACGTCCCCATGTGTATACTTCTCCTTCTTCTGCTCGGTACACAGCGGTAAGTTAGTTAAGACTTCATTACCTTGATTGTTGTATGGACGCTTTTACGTTAACGTACCCGTTAGCACGACGGTGTGGCCGCTGCCGCATGCGATCTGCACGATGCGCCGCTCGGCCAGTGCATCGATAGGAACGGGGCGGTGCTGGTCGCTCGTGTCTCCGAGACCCAGCTGGCCGTCTTCGCCGCGGCCCCAGCTATAGACGGTCATGCGCGACGCTTGATCGAAGAAGGCTTCCGTACACGGAGACTGAAGGCGACTGTACGCCTGATTCTTCCTAATGTTCCCCGAGTGTTGTTTGAAAAATCGCGATGATAAGTTGCTCGTAAAAAACGCAAACCTTACAGTAAGTTTGCTGCCGAATCAGATCCGGTCTGACTCTGATAAGTATCAGTTAAATGTGGCAAACATGCGGGTTAAGTACCCGTTAAGAACCGGCAGGCGGATTATTTTTTTCGGGGACCCACATCTTGGTTTCAGTATGCCCTCTAAAATAAAATCTCAAACATCGACGCGGGACCCCGCATCGATTTGTGTATCAGCCAATCAGCGCCGGCTGTGCACATATCAAATTAAAAAGGTAAATCCTTTCATAATTGATCAATTTGTGACGATCTAATCGATTTGTGACTAGCCAATCACCGTGCACTTGGATTATAAAAGGACATTTATCAGACAGAATCTGATTCGGCAAAGCTATTGCTTTGCCGTTGGATGGCATTCAGACGAAAAAAACCCATTAAAATATTAATGGGTTTTTTTCGTCTGAATGGCATCCCAGCCAATCAACATGCGTGACGACGAGATTTTAGAACTAAGTTATTATGGTTGCATTTCCTGGCCAATCAGAATGCGTGACGACGTAGTACTAAAGAAAAGTACTACAAATGTAATATTAATATTAATACTTTCCCCTTTTCGTGACCGAATTCTCAAAGGGGATAAACCCCCCTTTGAGAATTCGGTCACGAAAAAGGAGGACAACTGCGGCCATGGCTGAGCCCAAGCAAGCAACGCACCCGTGACAGGCGTGTTCTTCTACGTGCCCAACCTCATCGGCTACACGCGCGTCGTGCTGTCGCTCTACAGCTTGGCGGTGGCACTCACGGACTACAAGGCCAGCGTGCTGTGCTACGCGCTCAGCTTCAGCTTTCGACTACTTCGACGGCTTCTTCGCGCGCCTCTGCGACCAATGTACAGTCGCGTTAAGCCTTGTGGGAGAACGCAGGACGCTTCTAACCCGTATTGTATTGCTACTACAGGCTCGACGTTCGGCGCTGTGCTGGATATGGTCACGGATCGCTGCTCGACCGCCGGGCTGCTCGTGGTGCTGTCCCACTTGTACCCGCAGTACATGTTAGTCTTCATGTACCTGCTGATCCTCGACTTCTCCAGCCACTGGTACCACATGTACTCGAGTCGTGGCCACCACAAGGTGGTCGCGGCCGAGCGCAACTTCCTGCTGCGATTCTACTACGGCTGCTACCCGTTCTTCGGCTTCTGCTGCGTGGGTACTGAGCTGTTCTACATCCTGCTCTACGTGCTTCACTTCGACCCCACGCTGCTGATTCCATTCATCAACGTCCCCGTCATGCAGGTGCGTTGCCAATTCTACGTTGTGTCGGTTGCAATAGTGCTGACACATTCGTCTTGTTGTTTTCGCTTTAGCTGTGCTACTACGTGTGCCTGCCCGCCTGCGTGTGCAAGAACATCACCAACGTGGCGCAGCTGTGCAGTGCCGCCTACTCGGTTGCGGCTGAGGATGTGGCACTCGCCAACAAGGCCAAGTAGAGTTGGGATCCTAAGCAATAGGGGCGCAAGGAGAGAGAGCTTGCCCACGTATAGTCAAGTCGTCACTGTCCCATGAGTGCATGCAGCAGATAGCAGGACGTCTGTGAGTGAGAGAAATATGAGGCAGATGCAAAAAAAAAAGCTATGGTGTTGAGATCGCCAGCGCTCTTGGCTATTCTGCCTCCTTCTCTTCAGACTCGCGCGGATACAAGATATCATAGTGTCCCGGTCTATACAGTAGCGTGATTGACACAGGCTCTTGCTGCGTGGTTGACTCCACTGTGGGTGAACACACGTAGCTCTGCAGATCCTCCCCAGGTCCGGCACTTCCGTCCAGATACTCAATCTTGACCCCGACTTGGAGCGCCTCTGTCAATGCTGCAATTTGGGGCTGGTCGCACTCCTTCCCCATAGGCTCCACCTAACCAAACAGCAACTCGTTAGTTCTCTTCCTCATCCCTTAACAATCGGCAGTCTGCAGCGCAGAACTGTGCCACCGTTTGGCCCGGATACAGACCGTCAATGAAAGGCTGGAAGGTCTCTGCGTTCTTCTTCATGTACCCGGCGGTGAGCAGCCGCATGTACCAGACCAAGTACTCGGATTCTCTCCCTCTGTCTGGAAATCTTGTACTAGCTCCGCGTGCGAACGTGTCTCCATGGCTGCTAAGTAGTCCACGAACGTCTCCCAGAATGCGTCGATGGCCACGTCACTGTATCCGATAGCCATCAGTTCGCTCTTGCTCATCTGGATCTTATCCTGAATGCGACTGCGTAGTGCTGCGTTGCTGTCCTCGCCCCAGCACCTCCAGTCGGCAATAGCTGCTCGCATAGTGCGAAGATGAAGCCCCGGAAGAAGCAGTTGCCATCTCCGCGAACGCGTCGAAGCGCCTCATAGCGCGCGTTTTTAGTGAATCGATGCCTTGCATGAAGTTGGGGTTCGCATTGCCCACGTATTCGGCCTTGAGGCACAGCACCGACATGCGGTCCGACAGCAGCGGGCCTACGGGCCAGTCCGGCTCCGTCGATTCATCGATGTCAAAGAGCAGTGGATTCATCCCAGGTTTTGTCGAGACTGTTCAGCTCTCGGGTGTCATTTACGTTTCGCTGTCTTTTTTAAACTTTGTTGTCTCTCGTGCGGGTTGTATTTCATTTTCAAGGGGATTTTTCTGATCCACATTTATGTCCCAAAACTTCAGCTTGGGATGATCTTTTGGTGGTTTCTCAAGTTACACTGGAGCTCTGGTGCTACTTTGCTTCAACCTGATGGCTGGAAACAGGATCGCAACAAGCGGATCGGTCGATACCGCTCGCTGGCACGCGAAGCTGGCTGCACTGTTAGCGGCTTCAGGCAAGTATGCCAGTGCAGCAGCTCACTATCGACGGGCGCTACGTATTCTGGAAGAGGTGACGGTTGCCGATTACAATCCTGAAGACGACATGCAGAGGTTGAAGTGGCGACTCCAGTGGCTGTTCGAGCTCGCTGCTACGGAGGCCAAGCGTGGACAACACCAGGATGCCATCGCTTTGTATCAAGAGATCTTGCAGACGGAGCCTGAGTGCGTCGAGGTGCAGGTCAATCTAGCGGCACAACTGGCCATTTTAGACGCGAGTCGTCTGGAGGAGGCACTGGAGCTCTGCATGCAGGCTCTAGCGCTGCGTCCGGACTTTGCAGAGGCGCACTACAATCGAAATATGCTACTGCGGAAACTCGGGCGACAGAGTGAGGCTGTTTGTGTGTATTGGTGGTATCTGACACGTGATATTGGTGCAGATATTGTTAAGGAGAGCATGCCCGGCGAACTGGCCCGAGCAGTCTTGTCTTTTAATGGAGTGAACCAAGAGCTACGGACGGATAGACTCAACTGTGATGACAGTGAGAAGATTTTATGCAATCAAGCGAGCGAAGGCAATGGAGTCACTGTTGTTTGTATCAAGTGGGGCTCCAAGTATGGGGTTGAGTACGTTAACAGGCTCTACAATTCCGTCATGCGCTATTGTGGAGCACTGCACGTGGCATTCGTCTGTCTGACCGACAATGCCGAGGGCATCGACCATCATGAGAATTTAACGATTCTGGCATTAGATGGAGGCTGGAAAGGATGGTGGAACAAATGCCAACTATTCTCCAGTGCGATGACTGCAAAATTTCGATCGCTAGGCCACTCGCGATGCCTGTATTTGGATCTCGACACTGTTGTCGTAGGCGATCTGGTTGAACTGTTCATGTGGTCGCCTCCGTCGGGAGTTCTGGGTTTGCTAAAGACGGATCAAATGGCAAATGAACAGCGTCAAGGTGGGTATAACAGTAGCATCATGGCATGGCGTATTGATAACCACGCACGTGCAGCATCACTTCAGTTCCTGTACCGCTTTCTTCACGCTCATTTTGGCGTTATCAACAAGTATATCTACAAGTTCGATCACTGGCTTGAGATGGCCAACGCATACGCATGCTATCTAGAGGACGTGTTTCCTGAACAAATTGTTGAGTATCGTAGTCTCGATGTAGAGGCTGTATCACCGCCTCCAAACGCAACGATTGTGTGCTTTCCACTCCTACCAAAGCCACACAGTGCTACCGCAACCTGGGTAGCACAGTATTGGGTATAATGAAAGTCCAAACGCATATCCAAGTGTATAACCAGGCAAACCGCATGGATTGGACCTGTCGGGTGTCTGTCTAACCATCGCCGCCATCCTCTCTAGGTAGCAGCGTTGAACATTCTTTAATTCTCGTCGTCGCGAACTTCCACAGACAATAATGACGAAGCACCAGTATCGTCTCGGGCGTGAGCAAGCTTCGCCAGCTTCTCATCCAGAGCCTTCATCGCACGAGCTCTACGGAAGACATCAGCTTTGTTAGACCACTGAAAGAAAAGAGATCTTCATGTGATGGTGCACCCACTTTCGGCGTTCAGCAATCGGGTCATTCTTGATTTCCTGCAGAATTCGCACAATATCCACCATTAAAAAATATCCTAGGACGACTGCTGTCGTCGAACGTACCGTGAGGATCGGAAGCATCTTGGGCTTCTGGGCTGCGCGCTTCTTAAAGAATCCGCAGAGCTTGACCACGCTGAAGCAGAAGTTGGCGAGCGGGCTTACAAGTGGTCTGTTAAGGCATGACGTAGTACAATTAGCAATTTTTTAAGCGATAAATCTACAGCTCAGCGATACGTACATGCAAAAGTCAGGAAGTAGCACAACCAGCGCGAACTCATCCGACACATCGCCAACGGTCTGGTCACGGTTCTTGTTCAGGAAGCGGAGGTAGTACCAACCAAAGTAACCACCGAGCACCGAGAATGGTCCAGCACTCACGAGCATCAAGCTAACTGCCGGGACAGCAGTAAAGGCCATACCAGCCATCGTGCAGAAGCAAAAAACAATGCATGCTACCAGCGGGTAGAACTGACAGACAGAATTCACAATAGTTAGCGCATGACAGAGCTATCCGAATCGAACAGTACGAGCAATGTACACGAAGCGGGACGCCAGGGAACAGGGGAGCTGTCGCAAACGGCGTCGGCTTCATGTAGGCCACCAGCAGCGCCGCGATTCCACCCGTAAATCCTGAAAAGCTCGCCTCCCTACATCAGCAACATGCCGTCAGATACAGGAATCATGCTGGAGGATACACCTGCAAGGATCTCGTACAGGTAGATGGGGTTTCGGAAGATAATATAGAGGATGAAGAGGTTGACAAACATCACCACTGCCGCTGCCGTATTGGCGAACAGCAGCAATCGCACGAGGTTAAGAGCACCAAGATCAGGCTCCACCCGCTTGGCCAAACCGAAGGCTAATGGCAAAACGAACACCAGCTGCAGTGATAGACGCTCGAGTTAGCATTAAAATCATGGTCTTGTTTATGCGAGCCTAGCAGCTCACCTGTACGATGTACGGGTGGTAGAAGCCCGCAGTGAGGTAGACCCACGGACGAATGTGGCGTAGAATGACACTATTCACATCACTCCATTAAAAAAGAGGCCTTTATCTACACAGTAGCAATTGCGGTTCACTTACTCTGCAACGGACAGCGCTAGTATGCCGCCTTTCTCCTCTGCAGGCGTGAACATGGCGCCTACGAGCCACAGCAGCACCATAGACAGCACCAAACCGACGGAGACTGGGAGCTGCTCAGCATTGACCGAAGAACGTCCCAGAATCACTCAGTTAGCGCCTCATAGAGGATAACCTCTCAATAGAGACCACAGACACCAGACAGAGCCACGCACCCGCATGAGTCACGTAGCCACGTAGCAGAAGTCTCCAATTTCGTATTTTATTCTTCAATCGTATCGAACTTAAATGAGAACCTTCACTTTCGTACTTAGCCAGTCGATTCCGCGCGCACTTCAAAAAGCGCACAGAGATGCAGGACGAGCCTCCGCCGCCTCCGCCGCCGCCTCCTGTGGATACGCGCAGCCGCTCGCTGTCCTCCAAGTCGGCGACGTCTGGTCCTCTGCGTGCTGGAGGCCGTGCTCCGACCTTCAGCGAGTTACGCGGCGGCGGTGTCTCGACCCGCTCTTCGTCTCTTCATGTAGAGCTCAAGGACGACGACCCGCTGTCGCCCAGGACGCGTCTGGAGATAGAGAAGCAGCGCCAGGCGATGAGCAAGACCTCAGCCACCTCGCCAGGTCTCAATACAAGCACCGCCAATACAAGCAATACGACACCCACAAACCACAGCAGCACACGCAGCACTCCACGGTCCTCCTCTTTCTACAGCGTCAGCAGCAATAGCGTCGAGTTCGCACCCAATGGCGGCCGCTTTGATTTACAAGCGCAACATTTGAATCCGAGTAGCCAGTTATCCCCACACCGAGCCATGCTAAGTCGCGTCGACAGTTTGCTGGGCTCACAGGCTTCCAGTGACCCATCGCCTGCTGCGTCGTCTCAGTACGGAGGTGCGAGCTTCGTGGCGACTCACTCCATGTATTCAGCGTCGAGCACTAGCACGTTGCCATCCTTGGCAGCCTCGACACGGACTTCCCATCGAGAACGAAGCGAGGAGCAAAGAGAACCTTCGAGCTGTGGAGCAGAGATCCTCTACAACTCACCTATCAGACTGCGACTAAGCAGTCGCCAGTGTCTGAGGATATCGGCAGTCAAGGATGGTAACTATCAGTCTCAAACGTCGTCGCACTTGCCGCCGAGACCGACAGGATCAGGTACAGGAACAGGTGGATCAGCCGGGATTGCACGTACTTTACGACCGTCGACTATTGTGCAGATTGACGTGAGTGGCGATGGATTGGATGGCGACGACGATCAGATTTTCGTGCTGCAAAACACGACGCTACGTTCGGACTGTGGAGAAGTTCATTATTCGGATATTGTGTCGTTATACTGCGTCGGAGGGAGCTGCAAAGGACAGTTTTTGTCGGTGGATCCAGCTACGCAGAGTTTAACCACGAAGAAAGGGCCAGTAATTTCCAACAGCGAAAAGTGGAGACTTGTGAATCCTATTGAAGGTCGTGAGGATTATCCTGTTAATAACCAAGATACGTTCCAGTCCGTGGACGCTGCTAGCAGACTGTGGGGGCAGCAGAAAGCGGTTGCAACGAGCGACAGTGTGGTGTTTAAGATGAATACAGCTGAACTCTATCTTTCTGTACGCCCCGATCGATATGGCCAGGATGATTCAGCAGGCGCTCACACCCCGTCAGTTGTTCTGAGCAAGGAAAATGATGGCATTAATGATACTATGCAAGTGTGGAAGATCACCAAGTCGAACTTGCCATACGACCCGGAATGGAATCGAGAACGCCCTTATCTCACCGGTGAGGCTTTTGTACAGCCGCAAGCCAAGCGACACCACGCGGCAGATGATGGCGATTTGAACCTGCCCCCGTTGTCTACGTACCCTCCTTCAGTACAAGAATCCATTATTGTGGACGACTTGTTATACGTCCTGTTGGGAGTGGAAGGCCGTTATATTAAACTAGCTGTCACCGAAACTCGTCGTGTTGATGCCGCAAGATCAACGCGTGCGTTCAAGTTCGGATTGAACCAACCTGGTATGGATCCGTCCCTCCTGACGTTGGCATCACGGTGTCTACCCCTGGGCGAGTTCTACCTGAAACTAACACTCTACATTGAGCAGTTCTCTCGATATGAGTATGGCCAAGTGAGCCACGCATTTTGCGCAGCACTGAAAACGTTGGTGAAGGAGTATAAAATCATGGTTGGACAGCTGGAACACTTAACGAGGAGTACAGACGGAGCAGCTCCGTTCACCATTCAGAAGCTGTGGTACAACGTACAGCCAAGCTTGAGGACGTTGGAGATGCTAAGTTTGCTGGTGGACGGCTGTCGTAAAACTATCGGTGGCGGATCGCTACTTTCTGAGATTCAGCGAAGCATGTCGTCGCTGGCAGGTGATTCCAATGCACGCAAGGTGTTCTCATTCCTCATGGAGCGCGCCAGTGTGCCATATTTAAAGATGGTAGAACGATGGATATACCACGGAGATCTTGTGGATCCATACGATGAATTTATGATTCGGCGAGATGATCAAGTAAGCAAAGAGGACGTGCAAGATAACCCATACTCGACATACTGGCAGAGTCGCTACACTATACGCTCTTCGCAAGTCCCGCTGTTCCTTTCCCGGGTCGCACAGAAAATCCTGACCGCTGGCAAGTACCTCAATGTCTTCCGTACGTGCAGTCGTCAGGTGGACTGTCCGTTCGCAGGGGAGATAGTCTTCTCTTCGAGTGAATCAGTATACGAAGAGCTGATTGACAAGGCGCACGGTTTTGCTAGTCGCGTGCTGTTAGACCTGTTCGTGCGGGAGAACGACCTCCAGAACCGACTGATCTCATTAAAGCACTATTTCCTGATGGATCAAGGTGATTTCTTTGTCGATTTTATGGACATCGCTGAAGTCGAGCTCAAGCTTCGAGCTGACAAACTGTCGTTACCGCGTCTGGAATCGTTGCTGCACCTGTCGCTTCAAACGTCTACATGCTCGTCAGATCCATACAAGGATGACTTACAGTGCTTCCTGTCGCCACACAACCTCATCTCCCACATGGAAGCAATCCACCAACGCGCTCAAAAAGGCCCCAGAGATTCACTGACAACGTTCGAGTCGTCATCAATTGGTCACCCCGGTTATAAAGTCATTGATGCATTCACGCTCGACTACAACGTCAAGTGGCCGTTGTCACTCGTGATCTCGTGCGGTGCGTTGACCAAGTATCAGATGATATTCCGCCACATTTTCTTTTGCAAACACGTGGAACGCCAGCTCTGTGACGCCTGGATGAACCACCAGGCGACCAAAGAGCTGTCCCTACGTGCTGCGCTTGGACCGTCGTTCTGTCTACGACAGAGAATGCTGCACTTCCAGCAGAACTTCGTGTACTACATGATGTTTGAGGTGATTTCGCCTCGTTGGCACGATTTCCAGCAGCAGCTAGCAAGTGCAGGGACTGTGGACGACATTTTGGAGTTCCAGGGCGAATTTCTGGATATTTGTCTGAAGGAGTGCTTGCTAACGGACCCGGACCTGTTGCGCGTCCTTACGAGGCTCATGATGGTGTGCATGACCTTCGCCAACAGCATCGAGAGCTACACACGGCCATATTTCCTGGATGAAGAGACCATTAAGGCCGAACGCGAAGCTGAGCGGGATCGACGAGCTGAGAAGAAGGCGCGTGAAGAGGCGGAAGTCGCTCTGGCGAGCTACCAGCGTCAGAAGGGAACGTTCGGCGGCAAGAAGAGAGGTAGCGTGCTGAAACGTAGGCAGTCCTCGCAGGTTGACATGCGACGAACTCGTATTAGAGAGCTGTCGGACGATGTGAAGCGTGCGCTGACGGAGCGTGAAGGCGACGAGGAAAACCCTTTCGTGAGAATGACGAACGACCTAGAGAACCAGTTTGACTCGCTGCTGGGCGAGTTCATGCAGCAATTGCTGCGGCGGTCGCTTTTACAGGTACAGGAGATCCTTACCTTGCTGATGGTTATTTTCTTCTGACTGTTACCTGTTGTGTCGTGCTTGGCAGCAAAACTCACATCTGTCGAACCTGTGCACAAGACTTGACTACAACGGCTTCTACACCAAGTAACAACAGGCAGCGTCAAGTGGCGACAAGCACGTCAAAAGCAAAGGATCGTGACGTTTTGTTGCGAACGGTCGCGTCCGAAGATCCTGAATCAAATCTTTATTTGCAGCACGTTTGGTGTGGACTCCTGATGTGCAAGTGACTGACTGACTGACTGACCAGAGTTGCTCGCTGTTGGCTGTGATGACAGGATGCAGGCGTGTCCAGTTTACGTGTGTGCTGCTCGTCGCCGTTTACTTGCTCCTGCTGGGAGTATCGGCGAAGCAACTGACGGTCCTTGTGCAGCCTCTCACATCCATAGCAGGAGAACCGCTGTCTGTGCAGCCAGTGCTGGCACTGACCGACGACAACGGCAACATTCTCACTGCCGAGAATGACGGCTCAGTGACTGTAAGTATCGGCAACAACCCGTCTAGATTCGCAATTATTTATCCCGTGGGAAGCGCGTTCACTTTCGAAAACGGTATTGCGCGTTGTTCAGGACTGTACATTAACGAGGCAAATGTGGGCTTCACTCTCGTATTCTCGTCTTATTATCATGGCGTGCGGACAGAAACATCGTCGTTTGATGTCGTCGTGGGTCCCAGGTACAGGCTTGCGATTCTTGCAGATATCAGTACGGCCTATGGTGGCACACCGTTCTTGCCGCAGCCAACTGCTGGAGTGGTGGACAAGGGCGGCAATGTTGTGACGACAGTAACAGAGGGCTCTGTGCGAATTGCGATCGAAGTGAATCCTGTTGGAGGTATCCTGCAGCCGGCAGCCCTGCTGAACGTATCGATTGTCGGCGGCATCGCTCGATTCCGTGGTGCATTTATTGACGTTGCGGGGTCGCCGTACAAACTGCGTTATACGACGGATCTGGTGCTTGAAGGCGGGAGTACAGTGGTCACCAACCCTTTCACTGTTGCGGCAGGTGAGTGCAGTAGGCTTCAGTTCAACACTTCACTAGGAAAGGCAACCGGTGGCAAGGCATTTCTTATTCAGCCTGTGCTCAAGCTTCTCGACTCCGGTGGTAACGTTCTCGAGGCGGATAGTTCAAGCAAAGTTCGCGTGGCTATTGTTGCTAACCCGTCGCGTGGAATACTTACGCCAGCTGATGGACTCATTGTTAGAGTACAGAAGGGAGTGGCGACGTTCCGCAGCCTAAAAATCGACAAAGCTGGGAATGGATACTCGTTGCGCTTTACGCTATACACTAAGGTGCCAGGCAAGAACACGTGGAAGAAAACGACCATTTCTCAGGTTTCAGACACATTTGACATTCTCACGGGCAACCCTGTGGCGTTACTCTTGCAGCGCAATCTTTCTGATGGTGTTCTGGATGGCCAGCCGAACGAAATCCAACCCATCGTGGCGCTACTCGATTCTGGTGGTAACGTGGTTTCTTCACTTGAGACAGGAGCCGTCACGGCAGCTCTGGTCTCCAGCGCCTCAGTGAGTTCCAGTATCGTTGTTGATACCTCAGCAGCTTCCCTACTGACCGTTGGGAATATACGCGCGTTGATCAGCTCAACGTATCCGATGCCCTACGGTGTCGGCGCGCGTGTCTCGATTCAAGTGACGTTCTCGGATGAGGTTTCAATCAAGGGTGCACCGACACTGGAGCTGGCATCTTCGGTCAATGGAGCTGGAGCGAATGGCAAAGCTGTAGCTGTCGCAACAACTACTGTATGGTCCAGTACTTACGTGTTCGAGTATGAAGTCGTGGCCACAGACAACACTCCGGACTTGGAATACACATCTACGATATCTCTGTCGTTGGATGGAGGACAGATCACGGACCGAAACGGTAAAACTCCGATCCTCACGCTGCCGGCACTAGGCAGCACAAATTCTCTTGCTGGGACTAGCGCGGTAGTGATCGAGACGACAGCTCCAGTGATCACATCCGTGTCATGTCCGACCCCAGGAGACGGCGAATACGGCACAGGACAACAGGTCAATTTGAACGTGCAGTTTTCGCAGCCTGTGTCAGTGTATGGCAGCCCGCTGTTGCCAGTGGCGCTTACGTCCGTCGGTGGCACAGGGGGGACGCGTAACGCAGTTTTTTCCAGCGGAAACAACACTAACATTTTGGTTTTCATTTACACTGTTCAGAATGGTGACGCGACAGTGAAGTTGGACGTGACAGCGAGTATTAACGTAAATGGTGGCTTCATCAAGCATTTCTCTCACCGTCCGACCACCGATGCGGTCTTGTCAATGACAGCGGTGCCCGTCAAGCTTTCCAGTGCAAACAATATCGTCATTGACACCGCCATCCCAACCATTGACGCGACGGTGGGCGTGACAAGTGCCACCAGCAACGGCATCTACGCTCCTGGAGACGAGATCAAGATTTTGGTCACATTTACCAAACCAGTCAGCGTGACAGGATACCCACGTATTTTTCTCGAGACTGGACCGATCAAGCGTCCTGCTGGTTATACAACAGGTAGTGGCTCGAAAGTGCTGATATTTGTCTATCGAGTCTCAGCAGGCGACACTGCAGGAAGCGGTTTCCTGAATTACCGGGGAGATCAGGCACTTCGTCTGAACGGTGGCACTATCACTCGTTCGCTTGTAGGATCCACGGGGACAATAGGAGTTTCTGCTGTACTATCGTTGGCGGATGCTACAAGTTCAGGCAAGGCCCTGGCGAACAATGCTCAGTTGACCATCGATGGGCTTCCTCCGACTGTTACAAGGATTTCTGTATCATCCGCGCCCTCTACGACCGTCACACGCGGTGATGAAGTTGTGATCGGCATCAGCTTCTCGGCTCTAGTGACTGTGGACACAACGAAAGGCACGCCTACACTGCTAATGGATGTTGGATCCTACAATCGCCAGGCTGTGTACAAGTCAGGCAATGGAAGCCTGTCTTTACTTTTCTCTTACATTGTGAGTTTGGGGGACACCGCCCCCAACGGAGTGAACTATCGTTCGAGATCGGCTTTGGTGCTTAATGGTGCGACGATCCGGCGAACTTCGAGCTCTCCCACGCTGGATGCGTACTTGACGCTGCCAGATCCGCCATCTTTGAGCCCCCAGATCATTGTGGATCGAGCATTGTCATTTGTGACAACAATAACGAAGTTGGCAGCCGACGTGTCCACAGGGTCGTATGGAACGAAGCAGATTATCACTTTGTCTCTCACATTTTCGGACGAGGTTGCGCTGTCGGGAAGTACGCCACCAGCGCTGAAGATTAACACGGGCAGCATCGTGCCATACGCTTCTGGCAGCTCCTCGAGAACACTGGTATTCCTCTATATCGTAAAGGATGGGGAAACCATCTCTGGACTAGACAAGTTTGATGATAGCGCAGTGATATGCACAGCACCGAGCTGCGAGATCATCAATTACAACGCGCAAAGTGCAGATCTGTCGCTTACAGGCATCAGTTTAGTGCCTGCAAACATTGTGATCGATACAAGTGCCCCGCAAGTTTTAAGCGTCTATACGGTTACAACAGCTCCTACGGTTAATGGTGGCTCGTTTGTTGTTGGAGATGTGATTGAAATCATTATCAAGATGGATTTGGAAGTGTTCATCGAGCCGCCACCAAGTACATACCCAGAAAAGGCTCCTGTGCTGTTACTTAACACTATGAAGGGTGGGAAACCTGTCTTGTGCCAAGGTTACGCGAATAACGACCGACATCTACTGCTATTCAAGTATACCGTGGAACCAGGCGATGTGGCTACTGATCTTATGTACATCGACCAGAGCGCGTTGACGCTCAATAGTGGCCAATCTTCCATTAAGAGATTCTCGACTACACCCATGACAAATGCGGTGCTGACGCTCCCTGTTCCGACGTCACTTGGAGTGTCATTGAACGTGAATGGGAATAAGATCCCTACCGTCCTGAGTGTTTCGTCACCCGCTGCGAACGGGGTCTATCGTTGTGGAGATCAAATCGCACTCACAGTGTCTTTCAGCCAACACGTCGTAGTGAAGGGAGCTCCTTTCCTCTGGTTAGATATGGGAGCGGTGCCACGCAAGGCGATGTATAGCTCTGGTAGCGGTAGTACTGTGCTCACATTCATCTACACGGTTCAAGAGGGAGATTACTCTGTGCATATGGAATATGTGGATCACCACTCGCTTGACTCGACGATTAGTTTGAATGATACGACTCCGACCGCGATCCTACATCTGTCTACGAACCCAACGACGCTGGCAGATGTCAATCTCCCATACCCGTTTACTCAAGGCAGTCTCAGCTACAACAAGAATCTTCAAGTGAACGGCCGCAAGCCCAGCATTGTATCGACAAACTTCGTGTCTCCTGACGGTCTCTACAAAGTCTCGGATACAGTGGTAATAGAGGTGACGTTTAGCGCTTGTGTGGTGATCGATAGAGGCCCACTGGGTACACAAGGCCCAACGCCAAGACTACGATTTCAGCCAAGTCCGGTTTCGTCATTGTCAACGTCTGCGGCTACTACGATCACGCGATATGGTGTCTACGTGAGTGGTAATTCCAGTTCGGCGTTGCGGTTTGAATACACCATTAAGACAGGAGACACCGCACTTGCTTTGGACTACGCTGGCACGGCTGCTCTGGAGCTCAACGGTGCTCGGATTTTAACGTGCACAGCCAATGCAAACGTTGCGCCAACGCAAAGCGTGGATCTCCATTTGAATCCTCCTGGCGGACGACTACTTGGTGATACAGTCAAGCCTGTGGTTTTCGGGAGAGCGACTTTCACAGATCTCGTTGTGGATCGTCTTGGATTTGACTACAGGGTCAACTTTAGTGCACTATACAACCAAACAGCGCTTGAAACCAGCGCATATTTCGACATGCTTTCTTCCGCGGTCTATGGATTACGGAGTTCGCCTTACGCGAGTGGAGATCGTTTAGGCTCCAGCGTTGACGTGGATGGCGATACACTCGTGCTTGGTGGGCCTGGTGCAAGTCAGCCCGTTGCCGCTGTTCAGATCGTGACGGCTTTGGGTGATGCAGAAACCTTCGTCAACGAAATTCAGGTTCTTCAGACCACAGCGAAGCAGCAACCAGCGGTGCAGATTCTGACAAGCACGGCTGCCCCTGGAGAGACCATCGGTGGCTTTTTTTATCTGAAACTTGGATTTATCGGACCAACCCGCCGTCTCCCATTCAATGCTGACTCCACTCAAATGAGTGTAGCCTTGGAATTGGATTTGGGATTTGGTCTTCAGACAATCAGCGTGACGCGAGAGCCAAACACGTACTGTGCTTGCAGTAATGGATACGTGTGGCATATTACGTTCCTTTACGCCGAAGGCCCCCTTGACGCATTGACAGTGACGAGCAGCAGTCAGCTAACAGGAAGATCAGCGTCTATTGGAGACGGCAGAGGAGGGTCAGCAGCAGTGATTTCGGTGCCTTCCACTACGCTCGGGGGTACCATGACGCTACAACTGGGCAATTTTATCACGCGGAACATCAAGTACAATGTTGAAGAAGCAGAGCTAACGACCATTTTGACACAGGATTTACACTTGAATGTCTGGAGTATATCGCGATCTTCACCAAGCGCGATGGAAACGTATACGTGGAGTGTTACGTTCACGGCGAGTGATACACTTTACAATGTCCTCCAGCTATTGCCACAGGGTGTGTTATTGACTGGATATGGTGCGGATTTGACGGTACGCACAGAGCGTGACGGTCAGGGTCGTTTGTCTGGGTTCTTCAGACTCCAGTTCCGCACGGATATCTTCCCAAACGATGAGACCGATGATATTCCTGTGGGTGCGAGTGATCATGACGTTGAAGTGACGCTGGAGAAATTGGTGTCAGTGAATGATGTCACTGTCCGCCGTACTAACGCTATGAATATTTATGGTGGATACTCCTGGACAGTCACATTTGTGCAAGTAAATGCCAAGAACGACTATGGGCCTGTGATAGACACATCGGGGAATTTACCTGCACTTGTGCCTGTCATTACCAAGCTGAAAGGCACAAACGCTCGTGTTGTGGTCCAAGTTGGTGGTTACGAGCCGTCGGCACTGACGGCTGATAGTTCAAGCACCAACGCTGGACTGCCTGGTGGATCAGCTGGCATGGTGGCAGTTTTCACACGCGGTAATAACGACTGGAAACAACAAGGTGGCACGATCGCAGGACATGATACCCGTGGTGGAGATTTATTTGGCTCCAGTGTGAGTCTGCAGGGTAACACGCTGCTTGTAGGCGCACCTGCTGCAGCAATCTTCGGTGATTTTGAGAAGCAATCACTGTTGTGTGATGCGGATGGAGGATATTTGCGCATTCTTTTCAATGGGAAGGCATCGAATCCAGTTGCATTCGATGCCAATATGCAAGAACTGCAGTCTGCTATCGCTACAGTGATGTCGGTTGATTATGGCGAGGTTCAAGTCGATACTTCCTTCACTAAGTTGTGTTCGGGGGTCGAGATCGGACTTACCTTACGGGCAGGTGATCATGGAGATGACTCAGGTAATATTCCCGACCTGGTCGTTGACTCAAGTGCATTGACCAAAGGTGCTGGCACTGGAAGTGCTCTAATGCATGAGTATTCCGCGGGTACGTTTCGGAGCGATGGGTCGAGTGCCAAGGGACTTCGATGCGGCGCTGCCTACATCTTCGCACGAGACAAGAAGCTAAGCACTTGGTCGGAGTATACAAAACTCTCCCCACCGGCTGCTCAAGTCGACGATATACGTGAATATGGTGGCGCAGTTGCGCTCTCCGACCCATTCGCAGTTGTGGGAGCTCCTGGAGCTTATAACGAAGAAGGGCGCGTCTTCGTTTATCAGTTCAATGGAGTCGATAAGTGGCTACTCTTTCAAATGCTCAGCGCTGCACCTAACGTGATCACGAGTGGCGACCGATTTGGAGAATCTGTGGCGATTTCAGGGACTATAACAACTACCGTGGTTGTTGGAGCCCCTGGTTACGCTTCCAGTAGTGGAGCTGTCTTCGTGTTTGATCTGGTTGGCGGATATTTCCAAAGTCGCCAAATGCTGATGCAAGTCTTCCCTGAAATGCAGCCAGGAGATCGCTTTGGAAATGCCTTGGACCTGGATATGATCTCTACATACACGCTGGTTGTTGGATCACATCGACATACGTATCGCCGGGACGGCGCAGTTGATGCAGGGGAAAGTGGTTTGGTACTCGTGTTCGTTCGACGCAGCAGCAATGACATTTTCTTCGTGCTGCAACAAACTCTTTACGCGTCGGATATGCATGCACGTGATCGATTTGGAACAAGCGTTGCGGTGGCAAAAGATAGCATTATTGTCGGTGCTCATGAGCTCTACGAGGGTGAACGAACAATACGGAAGGCAGTGCAAGCTCTCACTACTAGCGTCTTGGCGACTGCAAACGTGATTCAAGGCGGCTCATTCACGCTAAGCTACCTACGATCCAACGCTGGAGAGGACCCAACAAAAGTGACGACTATTAAACGAGTGGAGACACGAGCAATTGCGTACGACATCAGCTCGTCTGGACTTCAGGCCATCTTGGAAAAGTATTTTGACTTGACGAACGTTATTGTACGCCGTGATGGCCCAAGCGCGTCTAAGGGATATACGTGGTACTTGACTTTTGCTGGAAGTTCTGGCGAGATGCCGCTGCTAGAGGCTGACAACACGCAGCTTAAGGGAGGCGAAGTAACTGTGAAGTGGATCAACCACTTGGCACCTGTGTTGCGTGGAAGTGCATACGTTTTCACTCGCGATGGCAATGGGAAATGGACTGAACAGGCATCGTTTTTCCCGCGCAAGAAACAGTATTTCGCTTGGTTTGGATCGGCAGTTGCCGTCCACAAACGTACCGCTGTCATAGGAGCGCCCAACTTGGATACGTACGTGTCAGGAATAAATTCTGGAGGTGCATTCGTTGCGGACCTAGGAATCATGTCTCTGCGCTTCTCGGCCAAGACATATAACGTGCTTGAAGGAGACAGTTTGGACGTCACTGTACAGCGTTGCAGTCGCTTGGGAGGATTTTGTGCGGTGGACGTATCTGTTGCCCCTCAGCTTTACATCGAGTACGACACAGGAGATGCTTTCTCTGACCGACAGCCTGCTTCAACGTACGTCGCCATTATTCCTTACATCGGTCCGTACAGAAAGTTGTCGAGTCTCGACGCAAGCGGCAAGCAAGGATCTCCATCCGTGTTCTTCACGAAAGATGTTATGGGTCAAGAGCCTTTCCCGCAGGTGGGGAATGGACGATGGCTCGCAGCTGATGCTGTTGGTACAGCCAATGGTAGAAACCAGTTCTATGGCAGTAGCGAGCGACGATCACTCTGGGTGGACGCAGTATTTGACTACGCTGGCACGTCTGACTACTCGTCAAGCTCGGGAGAGCTCTTCTTTGACGGCATGGACGACCTAACACATACGTTTACTGTACAAACAACAAGTGACTTCGTGGTGGAGAACCCTGATGAGACTGTGATGATGCGTTTATCGCTGCCTGGTATTTGGCCAAGCGTGACTGGAGACTTGTGGTCAACACTTACTATCAAGGATAACGGAGATGGTGGAAGTGGTGCGCGCTCGTATCTGGCGCATTTAAACCCAGAGCCATCGTCAGCCCAAGCACGAAGTGATTTCAGCAGCTCTGTTAGCATCTTCAATGCTGGTAGTGTAGCTGCTGTCGGTTCTCCGTTAGAGAAAAACAACGCTGGTGTTAAATGCGGGGCTGTGCATTTCTTCGTCCGTCGAAGCGGATTCTGGGAGCGCGATGCCACCGTTTTTCCGTCTGATTGTGTCCCTGGTATGCTGTTTGGAACTTCTGTGGCGATCGATGGGAGTCTGGGTCCGGTTCGAGCTATCGTCGGTGCTCCAGGTGCTGACGCTGCGTACGTTTATCTCTATCGAAGAGACGGATTAACGTCAGCAGCTAGGTGGATGGAGGAGACACGGCTTGATGAACCCACACTAGCTACAGACGACATTAACCACAATTACGCAGGGTCGAATGCTGTGACAATATTCGGTGATATCGCAGTCGTGGGAGCTTCTGGATTGGAGAGAGTGTATGTTTATCATCGAGGTGTGGATGGTTTGTGGAAACTCGTGTCGACTCTGCGCGCCAGTGACCGTGTGCAGTATCAGATTCTCGAGCGTACTGTTGAACAAGCGTACGCGTTTGGACATGCCTTGGATATGGATAAACGAACAATTATCGTCGGAGCTCCGTTCTCTGACGCTGGTGTCTTTAATGCGCAACAATACCACAGCGCAGACTTTGATCGTCGATACTTCGCGAAAGGTGCTGCTTACGTCTTCCACCTCGAGGCTCAGGAGCAACGAATTATGTTGCGCACCAGCACTCCACTTATCAGTGGCTCTTTCCGTTTATCAGCAACTCGACGTGGCATTACTGGAATCACACGCGCAATCAGCTACAGCGCTACGGCGGCAGAAGTCAAGGCTGCACTGGAAGGAACAAACGGCCAAGACGGTGATGGATCGACGATCGAGGCATTGGGATTCAGACTCCTGGAGGTTGGACGCACTGGATCAATCGATCAGGGTTTCACGTGGAGTGTAACATTCATCGGAGAAATAGTGACGGTGCCAGTGATGACAGCTTCGTGGTTCGGATATGGATGTTCTACGTGCAAGCCCTTCAGCAGCACTTACATCCTTGATCCAACTCGACAGATATTGATTACCGAGGTGGTTGCGATCGGCAGTGGATGGAAGCAACAAGTTCGGCTGACGGCTCCAGACGGCAACCCGGGCGATCAATTCGGTCTTAGTGTTGGGCTAAGCGGTGAGCAGGCGATCGTGGGTGCCGCTGGTTCGAGTGCGTTAACGACTACGACATGGGATTTCGAGACAGGAGACCTAACAGGCTGGCTGACGACGGGAACAGCTTTCGATCAGCAGCCCACGTACGGTGATAATAGCTATGGACGCGTCAATTCTTACCGGCCAAGTCCGTTTATCGGTGCGTCGCCGCCAGGTCAGCGTGCTAACCATGAAGGTCGCTACTGGGTGGGCACATTTGAGGCTCGTCCTGGAGCAGGGAAGGCAACGACTGCGGCACAAATGTCAGCTCAGTTGTGTGCATTCGCCAACGACGAGTTGTGTCGTGCTCCAAATTACAAGTTGCCGAGTGCGAGTGCCTCAGTGGGCACCACGCAAGGAGATGGACCGCAGGGCACTCTCACATCTCTACCGTTTACAGTCGAGGGACAGTGGATGTCGTTCCGAGTAGGTGGAGGCTGCGATATCCGAGTTGTGTACGTGGAGCTGCTAATCGATGGCCAGCCCGCAGCAGTTTCTGAATCGGTGGCAGCTGAACAGGTCGCTGTGGAAGTCACGGCGGACGGGACGACTGATACTTCGACAAACGATGTTCGACCAGTTACTGCGACTGCAAAGCTTCGAGCTACAGGTCGATGTCGGGAAACGATGCAAAAAGTTACGTGGGACTTGAGCGCATTCGAGAATCGGACGGCACAGATTCGAGTCGTGGATGCCTCCAGTAATCCCGTTTGGGGCCACATCAACTTCGACGACGTCCGCTTCTCGTGGGGAGCTACACGTGTGGCGCAGACGTCAACATCGAAGGCTGGTGCAGCCTACACATTCCGTCGTCGTGCACCAGGAACGCAATTCCCCACTGCTAAATGTGAGGGAATAAACCGATGGACTTGTGAGTGGGAATTCCAGGCACGATTAGCTGCCAGTGACAAACGCAGTGAAGATCTCTTCGGATCGAGTGTTGCAGTAGACGACATCTTGGGTGTAGCAGTGGTTGCGGCACCTGGGCAACGAGGCGTCGACGCCAATAACACGATCGATCGTGTGTTGAGTGATGGCCTTGACATCAACAAGGAAGGACTCGGAGCGATGGAACAAGTGGGAAGTCTCTACGTGTTTCGACGTGCTGATGAAGTACGTGACGGTGCTGGTGTGTTGCTACGTACACCCAAATGGACGTCCAAGGAAGTCTTGAAGCTGCAGTATCCGCAGAAACAGCGCCAGTCTCGCTTTGGAGCTGTAATCGACTTGGACGGCAGTGACTTAATCGTAGGCGCGCCTGGAATCTCGATATCTCCGGTGCTACCACAATCTGGTCGTGCGTTTGCCTACGATTTGGCTGTTGCGGGTGTAAAGTTCACCAACTCGTGGTTCGCTTGTGTCGAGGGGAATGCTGATGGTCTCGTTGGGTTAACATTGTCACGCTCTGCAGCGACCAGCAACTTGACTCGACCACTGACTGTCGGATACGCCACTGAGGATCGCTCTGCTGTTGGGGTGGACGCGTTGAAGTTCGCAGCGTGCATGAAAGTGCCGTCGACTCAGCGTAAAGATTGTGGGGACTACCAACAGACTGCAGGTGAGGCGACGTTCGCTGCTGGAGAAACTTCCAAATTGGTGACAATTCCCATAATGGAGGACATGTGTCTGGAGCAATGGGAGAAGCATTTTGTCGTGAGACTGCAAGTTCCTGGTGGAGAACCTTTGCTGGGAGAGGATTTTATCGCGCGAGTTAGAATAGATGACGACGACTTTACCGGCGAGCCATGTTGATGGAAGTAAACAAATATCTCAAAACTACGGATCGTAAACAATAAAATGAATGGCTTCTGTCCGTCTCTGTGAACAAGTGGGTGTGAAGCCAGTGCAGTTTTCAGTCCAGAAGAAGAAAAGTTGGGTGAATTTCACCGTCGTGTGGAGATCGTGCCGCAGTTTAAGATCACCCACCTCGTTGATAATTGTAAAGGTTGCAGATGGGCTTGCAGTGTTCCAAGGCATCTTCGACGGAGTTCAAAGCGAAACCAAGTGAATTGCCGGAGAAGGAGCTTGGGCCGATCGACTTGTGCTCACGTCTGAACACGAGCCTGCCCATCGGCACTCGGCATCGGACTCCTCTCAAGAAATTCTCCAACTGCTTTTCGAGCGTGGAGGCTGTGAACTGGATGCTGGAGCACAAGCAGGCGAGGGACAAGAATGAGGCTGTGCGGAAGTGCCAGACGCTGCTCCGTCGACGCCTCCTTGAGCAGGTTGATGGACCTGCCGAGTTCGAGTACGACGCCAAGCGGTTCTATCGCTTCAAGCCTGCTGAGGCGTGTTGAGTTTAGTTTAGTTGCCGAAAACTACGTTCTTAAAGCAACAGAAAAATGTATTACTTAATGAGTATTGGTTAAGCCTCGACTAAGTTGCCTACGTTGAAGATGTTGAAGTTGTTGTGATCGTTCCGTCGCCCTTGGGTGGGACCATCGAGCCGACGTCGATTGTCATGGAGTGGAAACACTCACGTCTCGACATTGTAGCTAATGACGCTCATTCAAAGTAACTGACGCTCGGCATTATCTCTCTGCTGGGGGAAGACTCGCTGATCACGATGTAGAGGAATTTCACTGAACTACGTGAGCTAATAAGAAGCGGTCGAGCTCTCTGCCTACAACAACTGGTAGGCTACAAGTAACGTGGTGGACCAGGTGAGCGCATACTCACACGCCACAACTCCGGGCCGTGAACAACAAGCATGAGAAAGGTTTTCAAGGCTGCAAGTAGTTTGAAGCACTTTTAATTGGCACAGACCTTGCTGGGATAGTCCAACGATTGCTGAAATCGCTGCATTGGATTGCATATGTGTATGGGCTTATCCTCGACGCTAGCCCTATCAAGATAAGCCCGGCTGGGGCAGATCTCGCAGGCGAGCGCAGCCATATTCCTAAAGAGCGGCGATCTTATCTCCACAGCAAGATAAATGCACAATGCGGGGGTGGCTCCAAACGCTCGTTTCGAGTCGGGAGCATGACAGCGATAGCCACCCACTCGAAATACAGCGAAGTGGCTCCGCCTTTCGACGGCGGGATTAAGGCGCTGGAGCCACACGCAACCAAGCCCGTCTGGACTGGTGGAAAGTGTCAAGCGCTACATTGCGGCAACGTTGAAGCCGCGGGGCTCGTCTCTCTCCGGTACAAAGCTTGACGGCAAAATGGGCCTCGAGAGAGCATGAGGCAACTGCACACGTTGGCTGCAGCCACTTGCCTATCCACCAAAAAGCAATCGACGGCAACTGAAAATCTCGGCGGCAAAACGCAATACACGATCGATTTTCACCGAGGTGAAAACTTGCATTTGCCCTTGTAAAAACGGCAAACTGTTGCCACAATTGATCCATTTGCCTTTTGAAAACGGCGGAGCTTTTGGGCAGGTCCGCCCGCGTTGACGCCAAGTGAGCTTTCTGTGTTGTATTACCTAATACGAGTCGGTCCAGAAGAGCCAGTCCACATAGTGAAGTCAAGTCAACTTGTTGCACCCAGCCGGACAGACGATTTAGGCACTGGCACATGTTAAGTGCAGCCATAGTGGAGCCCTAACAACCGGACGCGATGCAACTGGACGGCCGGCCGGGACCAGCTCTTCCACGCTCCACTCCCCTCTTTGCAGCTTACGGCACAGAGACCAGCGTCGGTCGTCGTCGCCTCGGCCAAACTCGCTCGTTGTCGAGGCGTTTGCTGCATTTCCACTTCGGGGACGGATACACGCAGTCGATCGGAGCCTCTTTGTGGGCTCTCAAGATCGACCGTATAAATGCCTACCATGCAGTTTTCCATGCCCACGGCCGTGGAGCGCGTGCCTGAATCCTCCACTGTCAATGACCAGGAGCAGGAGCAGGAGGAGGCGCTACTGCGTCTGGCTGCGCGAATGAAGCAGAACGTGGCCACGGGTGACCGTCGTCGCAACCTTTTCAAGAAATACCGCGACTGTTTCACTGGCATGGAAGCGGTGGACTGGATGCTCGAGCAAATGGAGGCCAAGAGTGTGGCCGAAGCTGTTCGCAAAGGTCAAGGTCTGTTGTCTCATCACTACATTGAAAAAGTGGAAAAAGAGACCAAATTCGAGTACAACAAGAAGCGGTTCTACCGCTTCACAGCCACCACACCAGAGTTCGTACAGGCTGTCGAACGTCCGCTCCCCAGCGCCACGCTGGACTTGCCACTCAGTGCCGCGGCTCGACGTCGTGCTCTTGCGGCGCTGATCGGCGGGTTCGTGGCCGACGCGGCCTCGACGTCGCTCAATGGCGTCTCTCACCCTGAGAAGACAATCCCCAATCTGCTACGTCTGGACTTCGATCCAGCCTTCTGCGGCCTGTATGACACGGGAGACGGCAGTGATAAGAAGGCAAACCGTACGAGAATGGAGTCGTCCACGGGCTTCGAGGCCCGTATTTTGCTGCAATGTATCGCCCGACGAGGCCACATCCACGGTTCACAGCTGGCTAAAGACGCATACTGGGGCTTCAAGAACGACCACCGTCTACTCAGTGCGTCGTCCAGAGCCTTCATTAAGCGCGTACACTCCGGCAAAGGCTGGCCTCACTGTGCTGTCAAGTGTCGATCGATCGACGTGTTGTCCTTGATCCCCATTGTCGTTGCTCTCTACGCCGGTACCAACCAATTGTTCACTAAAGTGGACGAGCTGGTCAAGGTCTTCTACGTCGGTACTCGTGTACGTGACGCAGCGCTCGTGGCTGCGTTTGTGCTTGAGCAGGTGATTCTCGGAGCGTCCGTACTACAAGCTATGCGGATGAGTATCCGTACTGAGAGACTGAGTGTCAAGCAACGTAAAGTCATCTTCAAGGCCTTCACCAAGTCGCAACTTCCGAGTTATGAAGCGATCCAGAAGTTCGGCAACCGCGGTTCATTGCCTGGAGGTTTCCACGCTGTTTTGCAGCCACTTTTCGTGCTCAACGACTACCCGACAGCTGTGCGTGAGAACATCATCGGAGGTGGACGGACTTGTCGTCGTGCCATGTTTATCGGTGCCTGCTTTGCTGCCCAGGACGGGTTGGAGGCGATCCCGGAGGGCTGGATCCAGAAGACCCAGTACTTTGACTTCATCGAGGCAGACGCGAGCTCTTTGGTGGGTAGACGTGAGGTTCAAGGCTCGTTCACCGACGAAGACGAGGAAGATCGTCTTGCGGCGTATGTGGACTACGTGCCCAGGTCCTCCATGTCTTCGTCTCGCCATATTGAGCGTCCTGAATCCTCTCGCCGTAGCAGCAACAACCTCGCTGCCTCTTCATCGAATGTCAACGGAGAAGCGTTGGATATCCCATCTGAACTACCGCCTGAGAGCTTGCCGAGCTCGTCTCGCCGCTCTTCCGGTCCGATTCGTCGTCGTTCCAACAGCTACGCGTCTTCCGGTGGCCTCTCGTCGCCGCGTTCTATCGCTTCCAACTTCTCGTACGCTTCCCAGACCACTACAGCCTCAAGTGTACGCTCTGTCATCGACTTGGGAGACATGGACAAATTCTATCAAAGTGGTGTGGGCAACACGTTGGCAACATCTACTACCCCACGCTCCAGTGGCGGCACCGATGGCCGTCTGAGCTTCGAGATGCAAAAGTTCTTCCAAGCTTATGGCGCGGCTGCTGCTGCTCGTGGCTCGCGTGGTTCTCACGGCTCCTTCGGGGAGAACGGATCGTACGGCAGTGGCTCCTCCACGGTGCGTTCAAGCGACCTGAACCAGCTCCGTCCGAGTGATATGGCCCCGTATCTGCGTCGCAGCTCCGCGTCTGTGCGTCGCAGTGACCCTCGCAGTGGCGACCCCCGTGGAGACCTTCGTCACAGCTACGTTGCAAGCTCGCGTCGCAGCGACACCAGTCTAATGTACAGCCACCAGCCCCGATACTCGGGCAAAGTGTCCCGTGTCAGTGACCCGAACGCCTTCTACCGTCGATCGTCGTCCACACCCGCGTACGTGCCCGAGGCTGAGCGATCCGAAGACGTCGTGCTGGCTCACCGCGTATCACTCGACGACGAGCAACGCGTGAGTCTGCACGCTATTCTCTAAACTCCATTGGATGATTGGATGGAATAGTGCAAGGGTCAGTGTGGCGAAGGTGACGGTGAGTTGTTTAATTTATTTGATATGAGCGCAGGCGAAAACCGGAGGGAGAAAACCAGCAGAAACATTCGAGCGTCGACGGCAAAGCAGGTAGGAAGTAAGGTGTTAGATACTAGAAAGATGCGCCTTGAGCACCGAGAAAGTCATACAGTAATGATAACCGTCATATTTGTTTTATCCAAACGCTACTACATCTAAGTGTACATGCAGTCACATGCAGTCTTGGTACAGAAAGGCATGTTTGTTTCTTGTGATGTTTCATTGTGTCTCTACTAGAGGCTCTAGGTCTGCCGTTCAAATCGCAAAACGTTTTCGACAGCTGTGAGGTTTGAACTCACGCGGGTTACCCCAATGGATTTCAAGTCCATCGCCTTAACCACTCGGCCAAGCTGTCGGCGAAATAGATGGGCGGCAAATTCAAATAATGAAATTTAAATTTGCCGCTGCTTTTTACAATGAAATTCTATGGAGATCGAGTTGTGAAATTTGTGCGAATAGTCACGCCCAAAAATATATATCACCCAAACAGTTGGTCCAGACCAATTATCTCTATAATTAATGACCAGGTGTATCAAATATTAATAATATTAATATTGTGTTTTGTACTTTGTACTTTGTACATGTATATATTATTTACATGTACAAAGTACAAAACAAGAACTGCGAGCATTAAAACGCCAGCAGTCTTTAACCTTTTGAAAATATTCCTTTTGCATTTCAGTTTAGATTTAACCTAATTTGTTCTCTTAGAAATCCCAGTAACCGGTGTTGAGTGGCGTGAAAACTATCTTAACCAGCTAAAACAGATCTTATAAAAAAATTGTTTCTGTTGACAATAAACAAAAAAACGTCGCTACAGAAGCTCATTTTTAAGCTACAATGTACTGCTTATGCAATATTGTTTTTAGCACATAGCTGGTCATTTCTTTTAGACCACGGTGCCTCAACTTCTGGACGATTGTAGTAGTAGCCACAATAATCACCTAAGGGCAGAAACATTGGCCAAAAGGGTACGACGCAATCACTTACGCCGCGGTAATAATACTTGTTTAGTTCTTAATACCTTACATCTTTGCAGCGTGTTTCTTAGAGAAGTTTTACTCCAACCAAAATTGGTTGTCTTCGGTCCGGGGTTGGAGCCTACCCTTTCTTTCACAAATAGCAAAGCCTTGCCTCAACGAGAGATGCAGCTTTGTTGGAGGAGTTTCTCTTGGCAGCACCTCCATTATTTCCGTTGTACTTTATTCTGTGGACCTTTTTGAATATGGTCATTAGTTTGGTCCTTAGTTTGACCTAAGTTTTGTGTGATGTATTTTTGGGTGCGACTATTCGCACAGTTTTCACTCACTTCCCCAGTTTTACTTTTTATTTTTATTTTTTTTTTCAAATTACGAGTCGTTTCAAACGCTAAGAAAAAAAACACACGAGTGAGACTCCCACTGCTCTCACTGTGAGGGCAAAGCCATAAAATCTGTGAAGGCTCTCCTTGTTTGGTTATCCCTACCCGACAGCGCGAAGCTTCAAGACGAAAAATCTTGACTGTGAATCGAGAAGAGAACGAAGGAAGAGCGACCAGGATTGGCTGGATAAAGCTTGTTCAAGTGTGTATGATAAAATACGTTTCGTTATTTGACTTCCGTAGCTTTTCAAGGGTGTAGGATACAGGGATGCCGAATACGGCATTTTCATTGATACAAAACCTCATGTGCTCGTAAATAATGCCGTGCAACTTTGAAGACAGATAGAATAAGTAATGCAGTGCAAGATCCAGAAGAAATCAATAACTGCAATATATTCCCTGCGTAAACTGCATGCTAAAACCGCAGTGTCAATTGCTCATCAGCTAAAGACATTCATTTACCGTGTGAATGTCCCAGAGGCGCTTGTTAACACGGAGAAAAAGGATTTTCTCGAGGGTGTACGGAGCAATGCGATGACGTTCGTGCCCATACGTTATACGGGCAAGACTGAAGAATCGCTCAACGATGTTTGACGTAGGCGGAATAGCTGCAAGCAGAGCATACGTCTGCACTCGTTGGGCTCGCTTCCTTTTTCGTTGCAACTGGGCAACAAATGATTCTCCTTCACTCTCTTCTTCCGATTCACACTCCTGTTTTTCAAAAGGTTGAAGCAGGAGGCGCTGCGCTCGAGTGAGTTTAGCTGCATCTCCTGCCAGAACCTTCGTGCATGCAATCTCGAAGTCGGGGGTATGCACAATATCAGCTCGTGGCTCTGTTTTAAAACAAAAACAATTAGTTCACATAAGTATACAAAACTATTAGCTGAAACGTACCCAAATACTGGTGGAAGGATGGTTCGACGTCAATTAAGCCGTCCAGCCACACTCGTGCGTCCAGCATTGTAATTTTGTCGGACTGAAGCGCCTTGCTGACGTTCTGCACTCGCGACAGGTCCACCAGGAGGCCGCGTAGGCGCTTGATGGCCCTCGGACTTGGTAGCAGCTCCGCGACGTCGTCGTCTTCCACAGGTAGATATTCGGAAATTCGGAAATAGCGCTCGACCATTGCATAGGTCGATCCCCATCTCGTGTCCTGGCGTATGATTGGCCGAAGTGGAGTTTTGAAACTTATAAAACAAAAAAATACAATAACAAAATTAGTACCTCAAAGTATTATGAGTAATAGCATTTAAAGTCATTAGCGCTTACCGAAGGGCTGCAGCGTAGTTCAGGGTCTTCATCTTGCGCATCAAAGTTTGGAGTACAATGAGATCGTCCTCGTAATCTCTCAGATAATCCTGAACCGCCAAATTGAGCCGGTGGCTCGCGCATCCCACCAATGGAACGCCCATTAGGGTTGCTAATAACCTGTTTACAGCACAGTTGTCTGCAACAACAAACAGGCAGTTGCGTAGGCTCTTACCATAGTCGCGCTCTAGCATTGTAGATAGAAAGGCCAGGTGCGTACGCGCGCCATGGTCGTCGTCGCTCTCGTTAATAAGAGGCGCCATGGCAAGGAGCGGAAAATGGCTCGTTCCTGCACATTCGTAGCACGCGAAGACCGCAAGAAAGTGCTCCGATGCGTGAGACCAGCCATCAATGATGATTCCGAACTAGTCAGGCATCTCTTCCTTGATTTTGGCCTCAACAGCGAGGGTGACACCTTCCATAGCTGCATGGAGCGTCTCAACAGATATTGGAGCCAGCGTAGTGTATCTAAACAGTAGTATTAGCAGGTGAATGTACAGAAATAAAACAATATTCACATCGGCGTGCAGTTATGTTTTCACAAAACTGAAGTGGAAGGTTACTGGTTAAAATTTAGTCCAGCCACCCGTGTACGTCTCTCGCGCGCTGACGAATCCACGCTTGCAGCGTTCCGCGTCCGTCATCGGCTTCCCGCATGACGTCGGCGTAGTCGGGATGCTGACTCCGAACGTGTTGAATTAGGTTGCTGTAGCCGGTCCGGGGTCCTTGACGACGTAACGTCCCGCAACGACATCGGAACAGGCCTTCAACAGTTTCCTCAAAGGCGTCGACCACATCCGTGTAGTAGAAGCTCGCTATACGGGCGTTCGTGTAGTTTTGCGTTGCCATCGGAGAAATGGAAAGTGAGGTCTGAAGGCGTTGGGGTTTCGATCAATCACTGGCAGCCAACCAAAGCTGGCTGGCTGCGCTGAGTTGAAAATTCGTAACTACTGGAATCTGATTATATCCGTGAATAATTGTATTAATGTGGATATTTAGGAAAGTAAATAATTTTAGCCCGGTAATTGTATTGTATTTTCCGTCAATGCATTTTTCGGGATCCCTGGTAGGAGATGAAATGATACCATTGGAATCGATGCTAAAAAAAAAAATAGATTCTTTGAATGCTCGTAACTAGGGTGATTTATGAAAGTTATCTGCAATCTCGAAGGACGGATAGCAACAAATGTCAGACTCTCACATCCATATGACACAGCACCGCACTTTGAACCAACGTAACATCCTCGAGATCGAGTAGAACACTCGACTATCCATATCGCGTTACTTCCTCGACACGTCAAGCTCCATAGAGTTTGCACAGCCCGCCTCAATCTCCGTTTTCCGTTGTCTCCCTTGTAGAGCATTCTTCCAGCCCACAGGATTTATTCTCCAATTTGCGTTCAACCTCCCAAGACAAGCCTGCAAGTCTTTCAAGACTCCATCATGCAGATCTCGACAGTCCTCTTTGGTCTGGTAGCTCTATCGACGTCAACGTTCTCGACTGCTGCTGAGCCGCTTCCCTGGGACGGACGTGCACAGGGGCTTACAGTCGACACATTAACTGGCAAGTACATCACGAAGATTCTAACGCAGCGCGACGGCGAATCCAAGGGATCTCCTGCTGACTACGTGACGGTCAAGGAAAAAGTTCGATCTCCTGCCTACAATGGTGATACGGGCGTCATTGACATTGGAGTGAACGACAAGGCCGTGTGGGGCTCTGAGGTCTATTCACGTCGTTCAGAGTTGGTGCAGAACATCACCACCAACTCGACTGGCACCACCTTTTTCCGTGCGAGTGTGCTGAAGAACGACACGTTTTACTACCCGTATAGCTGGAAGGTGATCTTCCCAGAGTCGCAGCTCTTCGAGATCCACGTGGATGCCAGATCGGATTTCCCAAGCATTCTCTACAAGACCAACGCTACCAAGGAGGCCCAATGGAAGGCCAACTTCAAACTTGACACCTGGTACAACTTCGGTATCGGTATGAGGGCTGCTGCGGGAGGTAAGGGAACGGAACTGGAATTTTACACAAGTACAGGGGACGAAGATCTGGTGCTGAATACGACGACGAAGATTGCGTCCGAACTGCCGTCTTCCATTGAAATGCACTGGGGTCTGTTGACGCAGGTGAAGCAGTCCAAGACCGCCACGGGTCCAGTGATGACTAAGAAGCAGGAGGTGCTCTCGTTCAGTGGTATGTCGGCTGAGAGTGGAGTAGTGACAGCAGCAACGACCAGCGCCTCTAAACAAGCAAAAAGCACGACCGGAACTGTGGCTGGAGAAGCCGACGAGGTTCATCAGACAGGTCAGAAGTCGTTTACATTTTAGACACGGGGTTGTTGTTCACGTCTGCGTCAAACGTATCGTGGTATACATATACACACTAGCGGTTTAGGAGCGTAGTGGGCAATAATATATTGCTTTGCTTCGTTACAGAGCTTTTCACACAAGGCTTTCGCAATGGTAACCCCGTTCTTGGATTTATTGGCGAAAGATAGGTTCAGGGTCTTTCTGTTTGCTTACAACTTCAATGTCTTCAACTTGCTCATGCTGAATAGGATGGTGAACCATACGGGCTGTATGATACGACTTTGCAAGATCAAGGACTCAAGCCCGTCATCGTTTTGGTGCTGCGTTTTACTCCAGCCGCTCAAGCAACTTTTTTTTTTTCGTTTGTCCGGGATGTCATAAAACATGGGAATCGCATGCTCGCTGATCGACCTCTTTGCTGGACTGATGTTTGCCAATCGATGAATCCACACAACCCGAAAGAAAAAAAAGCAACAAAACCTAACAGCCAGAACCAACTCTCACGTTGTGTCATTCACAGCCCTCGCAAGGCTTCACAACGCTTCCCAGAGGGTGAATGCACGCGACAATGTGGGTAAAGCATTCTACTAGCGGTTCAACGGCCATTTCGAGGTGATCTTCACCCAGCCAGTCTGATCTATACGAGAACCATCTCGAAAGCACGCAGAGAGAGCATGTAAAAGATTCTCTCAAGATATTCTCAACACACCGCTACGTAACGGACAATGATGACACAGGACGTAGAAGGAAAATGAGACGGCAGCAGCCAACACGAATGTCTCCAACCAGCTTCAACGCAGTCCTCGATTCACCACCACGCCCACACTTTCTGTGGGTTTGCACCGGCCAGACGCACCCACCCGCCTTCTGGAGCAAGGCAACACGACAATAACGCGGCCAAACACGCACAAACACATCTGCGCCGAGCCAGTTGCAACGTCCGATCTCATCACTGCTTCTCAACTTTAGCCTACCAGCTGCAGCAGCCTCTGTGGTTGGTCTCCTTGCTGCAGTGCAGTGCTCTATTGAGCTCTAGACTTTGGCCGACGACGTCGTTCTGCTCCTCACTCACAGTTGGACGAGCCACTCGAGCTCAATCATTCGTGTCACTCGCCACATCCCTCGCCCAACGACAGTCTCACAAGTTGCATCGAAAAAGCTCTTCATTGCCCGTTTCACCCGTTTGAACGTTATCTCTCCGCTAATAAAATAGCAATCGGACTTTACTTCTACCATGGGCACAACCCGCTATGAGACGGAGACGTCACTGCGCGCGTCCATCTTTGGTGAGGTCCTGCTGTGCCGCGATCGGCTTACAGATGAGCGTGTGGTAGTGAAGACGGTGGACCTGCAGTTGGCGCTGCAACAGACGTCGCGCTCGCAGGAACTCGTGCAGGAGAACGTGATGCTTGAGGTGGAAGTGCTGAACCGCGTGCGCGCGCTGGGCGGACACCCGAACGTCATCAACATGCACAGCTACTTCGTGGCCAAGGGCGGTGGCGTACTACACATGGTGCTAGACTATTGCGAGAGCGGTGATCTACTGGATGCATGTGTGCAACCGCTCGTCGCGGAGGAGGGAGGCGACGACAAGAGCAGCAGCAATAGTGATAATGGTCAGGGTAATCAGAAAGAGGACGCGGCTCTACTGAGATCAGCTGCATTGCTCGGCAACCATGGCCCCGAACAGGACGACAACGACAGCAATGGACCCTTCCTGAACGGCGTGGACGGATCGAAGCGCCTGCAAGAGAGCGTGGCACAAACTTACCTGGTGGACGTGTTATCTGGACTGCGATTCCTTCACAGTCATGGCATCGCCCATCGGGATGTGAGTCTCGAGAATATCCTACTACGAAACGGACATGCCGTGATCGCAGACTTTGGGCTGTGCGTACAGGACACGTCTGCGTCGTCGGGTAGTCCGACAAGCAGCGGGTTCCTTTGTGACGAGACGGTGGGCAAGAACTACTACATGGCACCGGAAATCGTGATGCGCGAGCGATATGATCCGCGGCGAGCGGATATTTGGTCGGTGGGCATCGCGTTCTTCATCCTATTGACATCGTCACCGCCGTTCGAACGCGCGGATCCGTCCGATCCGGGCTTCCGGTACGTGGCGAAGCGCGGCATCAAGGCGGTGTTCACAGCGTGGGGACTTGGCCAAGACGTTTCGGAGACTTTACAGGATCTCCTGTCGCGCATGCTGTGCGTGGACCCGGAGGAGCGCATCACGATGGAGGAGATCTGGCAGCACCCAGTGCTGCAGCGGCCGCGATGTTAGGCGTTGGGAATCAACTGCGACTGAGTCGGTGTGGGTGGCGGTGAACGGTGTCGTGGGGTGTATTGTAGTTGAATCGAGCCGGTAGTGTGCGTGGAGCAAGCATGATGGAGCGAATGCCGTGAAAGACTGAGTAGTATAAGACGAGATATTAGATATCCGTGGACTAGGAATTGTTTTAATAATTGAGTATTTTAGTTGCGACTTTTTGCGTGGGGGACAGCCGGAATGGAACCAAATGGACGGAATTATAAGTGCTTTTGTACGGATTCGGCAGATGGCTCACTTCATTTTGTGGACCGTTAGCCTACTACTGATCGGGCCAGTGCTCTCAACTAGCGCGGCAGTGTCTATAACTCGAGCTCCATGAGCTGTGCATGACGGCCCGGTTTATAGTAATCGACGCGGACGATAGTGCGGATGAATCCCTGTGAGTCGTACAGCGAGAGGGCAGCCAAGTTTGCTGTGTCCGCCTCCAGCAGAAGCATCATAGCTCTACGAATAAGATTAGTTCGAAAAAGATCAACGCAGCATAACGTTTGTGCGAACCTTTTCTTCTGCAGGACGGTGATGGCGGTCTGCAGCAAAAGGCGCCCCACACCCTGCCGCCGCTGGTGCTGGGCCACGGCGATGCGGTCAATGTGACCCTCGGCCTACACACACACACACACACACACACACACACACACACACACACACACAGAGGCAACAAGACGTTTAGAAACGCTTTGTTCTATTCTCAATGGAGACAGCCGAAGAATATACGCACACCATTGCGCCGAAAAAGGATGTAGCCGTGAACGGTGGCGTCCTGCGTGCCAACGGCCAGTACCAGCGTGTTATGCCTGTCCACCGCAATGAATAACAACATCATCAGCTTTCTGTTACTTCTTAAGCAGCTCCGACGGCCACTACAATGCGAAATTCCTACGGCTTCATGGCCTCCTCCACCAAACGCTGACCGAGGCTGTCGCTCTTGGAGAAGCTCCTGGACAATAGGAACAATAAGCAGACGGGAATGGCCAGGCAAGTAAGGATGAGATGAATTGCCGCAAAGGAATGACACGAGTTGAGGTTCCCGACGTCTCTGCCTGTCAGAGTGAAGGTTCCCAATGGTTTATAGAAGTCGCTCTCACTTTCTCTCTAGGTGCACGGCCTGTGCAAGCCACTCATCCCGCGTCTTCTTGGTCACCTCCACCAGCTCCATTATCGACAGGCTAGTTCTAGTCCAGGCGAATTCAAATTCAAACTTAATTGGTGCCAATCCTTGCATAACGGGGTGAGCCATCTGCCGAATCCGTACAAAAGCACTTATAATTCCGTCCATTTGGTTCCATTCCGGCTGTCCCCCACGCAAAAAGTCGCAACTAAAATACTCAATTATTAACACAATTCCTAGTCCACGGATATCTAATATCTCGTCTTATACTACTCAGTCTTTCACGGCATTCGCTCCATCATGCTTGCTCCACGCACACTACCGGCTCGATTCAACTACAATACACCCCACGACACCGTTCACCGCCACCCACACCGACTCAGTCGCAGTTGATTCCCAACGCCTAACATCGCGGCCGCTGCAGCACTGGGTGCTGCCAGATCTCCTCCATCGTGATGCGCTCCTCCGGGTCCACGCACAGCATGCGCGACAGGAGATCCTGTAAAGTCTCCGAAACGTCTTGGCCAAGTCCCCACGCTGTGAACACCGCCTTGATGCCGCGCTTCGCCACGTACCGGAAGCCCGGATCGGACGGATCCGCGCGTTCGAACGGCGGTGACGATGTCAATAGGATGAAGAACGCGATGCCCACCGACCAAATATCCGCTCGCCGCGGATCATATCGCTCGCGCATCACGATTTCCGGTGCCATGTAGTAGTTCTTGCCCACCGTCTCGTCACAAAGGAACCCGCTGCTTGTCGGACTACCCGACGACGCAGACGTGTCCTGTACGCACAGCCCAAAGTCTGCGATCACGGCATGTCCGTTTCGTAGTAGGATATTCTCGAGACTCACATCCCGATGGGCGATGCCATGACTGTGAAGGAATCGCAGTCCAGATAACACGTCCACCAGGTAAGTTTGCGCCACGCTCTCTTGCAGGCGCTTCGATCCGTCCACGCCGTTCAGGAAGGGTCCATTGCTGTCGTTGTCGTCCTGTTCGGGGCCATGGTTGCCGAGCAATGCAGCTGATCTCAGTAGAGCCGCGTCCTCTTTCTGATTACCCTGACCATTATCACTATTGCTGCTGCTCTTGTCGTCGCCTCCCTCCTCCGCGACGAGCGGTTGCACACATGCATCCAGTAGATCACCGCTCTCGCAATAGTCTAGCACCATGTGTAGTACGCCACCGCCCTTGGCCACGAAGTAGCTGTGCATGTTGATGACGTTCGGGTGTCCGCCCAGCGCGCGCACGCGGTTCAGCACTTCCACCTCAAGCATCACGTTCTCCTGCACGAGTTCCTGCGAGCGCGACGTCTGTTGCAGCGCCAACTGCAGGTCCACCGTCTTCACTACCACACGCTCATCTGTAAGCCGATCGCGGCACAGCAGGACCTCACCAAAGATGGACGCGCGCAGTGACGTCTCCGTCTCATAGCGGGTTGTGCCCATGGTAGAAGTAAAGTCCGATTGCTATTTTATTAGCGGAGAGATAACGTTCAAACGGGTGAAACGGGCAATGAAGAGCTTTTTCGATGCAACTTGTGAGACTGTCGTTGGGCGAGGGATGTGGCGAGTGACACGAATGATTGAGCTCGAGTGGCTCGTCCAACTGTGAGTGAGGAGCAGAACGACGTCGTCGGCCAAAGTCTAGAGCTCAATAGAGCACTGCACTGCAGCAAGGAGACCAACCACAGAGGCTGCTGCAGCTGGTAGGCTAAAGTTGAGAAGCAGTGATGAGATCGGACGTTGCAACTGGCTCGGCGCAGATGTGTTTGTGCGTGTTTGGCCGCGTTATTGTCGTGTTGCCTTGCTCCAGAAGGCGGGTGGGTGCGTCTGGCCAGTGCAAACCCACAGAAAGTGTGGGCGTGGTGGTGAATCGAGGACTGCGTTGAAGCTGGTTGGAGACATTCGTGTTGGCTGCTGCCGTCTCATTTTCCTTCTACGTCCTGTGTCATCATTGTCCGTTACGTAGCGGTGTGTTGAGAATATCTTGAGAGAATCTTTTACATGCTCTCTCTGCGTGCTTTCGAGATGGTTCTCGTATAGATCAGACTGGCTGGGTGAAGATCACCTCGAAATGGCCGTTGAACCGCAGCACAGCGGCGCGGATAACGGGCAAACCAGCGCTGGTTGAATGCTCTTTTCATTTGCTCAATGCACTCAGAGCTGCGCAGTTAAAAATCCACTTATCTGCGCCGTCGCATGGATTCACGCTTGGAGCTTGACGTTGGGGTCTGCCAAAAGAATAAGAACTCTCGATATGCGCTACTGCTGACTGCCGCTTACATCCCATCGCGTCGTGTGGCCTCGCATACTTACAGGCATCTGTGGTCGGCTATCACGAAGAAGAAGGCAAGCACTCAACGAGCCAATAACTGTTAGTTTAATTAACTTGTTATACTGATTACCGCAGCCTAAAACGCTCTTTGGACGTCTGAAATAATCTACAGTGGACTAAGCACACCAAGCAGTGCTTGGCAAGCACACCAAGATGACGGACATGAGTCCTCGCTCTTGCCACTGAAAGCACGTTGAAATTGTTGAAAGCTGCAAGGATAAGATGACTGTTCAAGATCCAGGCTCTCTTATTGATCGATGTTGTGGTGCAAGCATCTCACGCCAGGGAAGGTTTGAAAAAACATGGTAATGCCGATCGCTCTGCTGCATACTACCAACCTTGCCGTGGTTGAAGTGCACCTTGTGCTGTTGAGGTTGCACGACAGGTTTCGGCAGATCTTTCTGCGGGAAGGTAGACGTTACGAACAATACCGTTCCAGTTCACTGCATGACTTCACGGCATGATCTTCAATACGTAAAAGGGGTCCTTTCACAACGCTCATACCGCAGCTTGGAGTGACCATTAGGATTTAAGTTGTTTATTGCGTTCTTGTAGATCACCACCGGAATTCGTCGAACTCGTATCTACCAGTGATCAACAAACGTTAAGTTCGTGAGTTCAATCAGTCCTCCGGTGATACTTCAATGATCGTTGGATTCGGCACAATGTTCGCGTCCTTCGGGCCAGCAACAACACGTCCAACGACCCACGCCGGCTTGCCATCCAACTCTCGGAGCTCCTTGATGTACGCGTCGGCGTTCTCGGCCGGCAAGCAAAGCAGCAGACCACCCGACGTTTCAGCCGCGAATCCGTCCAGCAGTTTGAAGGAATTGCCGATGGCTTCGTTCACCTTGGTCATGGTCTTGATGATCGGAAGCGTGTGGATCTCGAAAGACACGTCTCCCAACTGCGACTTGGCCTGGTTGCGCGCGTGGGCTAAAATACCAAAGCCCGTCACGTCCGTTGCCGAGTGTGCGCCGTACTAAAACAGCAGCGTACGTCAGCATTCTAAAACAAAGAGAAGAACAGGTCTATGTGCATCACTATTGTACCTTGTGCATCATCTTGGCAGCGTTGAGGTTGAGTCGGCTCATGGACTCGGATGCCATCTGGAAGGCTACGTCGGCGTCTTCGTGCGTCACGATGTTCTCCACACGTTGCCAGCGCTCAGGCTTCTTCTTCCACTGGAAAAGGTTCACAGCTACCTGGGTACCGAGCGGCTTGGTGAGAATGATCACGTCCCCCACTGCCGCGTTTTCCGGGCGAATAATCTGACTCTCTGTAACCATCAAACAGTGTGTTAGCCTAATACGCACAAATTAATGGGGAATTGACACCTACCACTGCGTACACTCATGGCGACGCCGCCAACAATTGGCCACGGGTTCATGACGGTCTGTCCGCCTGTGACGTTCGTGTGCGCCTGACGGGCCAGGTCGTTGAAGCCACGGATCATCTGAGTGGTGACGATATCACGCTGTTTCTCGCTCATATCACGACACACACCGAGAATCATGAGCATGGTGTCCACCTCGGTGACGCCCATAGCGTAGGCGTCCGACAGAACGTTGGCACAGGCGATCTTGCCCTGTACATATGGATCCTCGACCGAGGGGAAGAAAAAATCGGTGGTGGACACCAGATACAGATCTGTGCCGTGTGAAATCTTGACTACGCTTGAGTCCATTCCTGGCGTCTCATTCGGCTTGAGGTCATTAGCCAGGTCGTCTAGGTAGCCCAGCAGCTTGGCCTGAGGGAGTTTGCAGCCGCAGCCTTTAAGTGCGCTGTAGTTGGTGAGAACAAAGTCCGGCTCGAGACCAAGCGCCACAGGGTCGAAGGCCGCCGCATTGGCGACCACATTAGCTGGCGACGGCGTCACGAACTCGCGCCCGATGATGTCCTTGGTCTGTTGCGCCGCTGCATCCATTGCCTTTTTAATGGATACCTCATAAAGACCAAAGTGATAACGATGACAGGCTTGCTCTGATTGGTCAGCCGAAATTAAGCTGTTTTCAGCACAACTAGGCTATAACCTAATTTAGGCTAGACTTACATCCAACTTTCATTCAAAAGTGCTCCAATTCATGAAGCGATGTAAAGAAAGAGGGCAACAAATGAAGGGATAAACTGTTATTTACAGGTTTTTGTATTTAGTTCTAAAAGAATCTTGGTTGAACGAACGTGTTTCTGGTAGCTTCGTCGGTCTCTGACCCGTGCATGAACTGCAAGTCCGCTCCTTCCGGTCGCAAGCCTTTGCTCTTGCGGCACCCTCAGCCAGGGAGGGGTATTGTCGAGTGGCTCTTGCGGCGTGCATGCAGACGGACAGGAGATCGTCGAGGCTGGTTTAAATATGTGGAGAAACCAAGTTGGGTGGAGAGGGTGTTGCTGCTGAGAGGCGGCGGCTACTCACTCGCGGAGACTGGAGTCAGAATTCCGTCATTCTGGGCTGTCTAAAAGGAGGGGGAAGCCCCCGCGAGGAGCACCGGCCGCCCGGCGATCGACCCACCGACCAATATACTATGCGCCTTCCGGTGGAGAAGGCGCTTGTTTCATTTCCTCTTGTCGTCGGAAGAGGCTCGCTGCTTCGTTCAGTGCGGGCGAAGCGCGTGGGCGCGGCTTGAGGCTCTGCGCTCACTGCTGCCAGCGGCAGCAAGACTCGCCGACGACGTCCAACTTGGCGCTCGTCTGCAGAGCGGGGCGGCGGCGGCTCCCCAGGCCGCGCGCTGCCTCAGCGCTCGCAGGATTCATCGTGTTGCGGTGGCTTAACACTTGGAGTCGGGCAGTACGCATCGTAGTAGTTCTTGCCCCAGCGAGCATCTTTGGAAATGAAGCCTTGACTGCCAAGTCAACCCACGCTGGCGCCACGTACCGTAGGGAACAAGCGCGGAAAAATCCATCGGGTGTGAGTGATGGTTAGTGGATTCAATATCTCTAATAATATTCGATACGCGATTTGAAGGGGAATCGAGTACAGTAGGTCGGGTTGATGCCAATGCTAATATAGATCTAGCAGGAATGAAAGGTTATTTGAAGGTAACGAGATTGAGAACTTAATGGCTACATATGTAAACCATCATTCTGCGTGGTTATCATCAAGTAAATGTGCAGGAGGTGCACATGTTTCGATGCCCCATGTTAAATCGTCACAACCACATTGCAAAAGTCCGCTTGGAAGATGAATCAAAAAGTTATAAATGAGGAGAATACCTGCTAAGTTGTCTTGAGACGGCGGGTTGTAACTTTGCTGCATTCTGCAGCCGTAGCGCCTCAGTTTTGTGTCAAAAACTTTGCCGCCTTATTTGACCGCCGTCAGGATCGCGATCAAAGCAGCAATAACCACAAGCGCGAAGATGCCAATGCAGATAAGTTTCGTCTTGGAGCACTTACAGAGGCCACGTTTACGGTCGGCCTCCCGCACGTTGTGCAGCGCGCCCTGGGTGTTCTCCTGAGCTGCGTTCGTGTTCTCCTCGATGTTCACTGCACAAATACAAACGATTCAGCCAAAACATCAGTACCAGCTGCAATAAGAAGTATAAACTCGAAGGCAACGCACCAACAATCTCGCCCTGGTCCTGCACAAGCCCATCAACTTCCTGGTACGCCGCGTTAACTTCATGCAGCTGTTGGTTGATCTTAAGAATATCCTCCTCCCGTCGTACCAGGTCTGCAATCACAGCACGCACCAACTCGTTAGTTAATAATCCTAAAAGCTCGTCCACAGGTCTGCAGCCGTCACCTACCATCTTCGTTGTAACTGGTCACGTTGGCCTGCGCATAGATCTGGTCCTCGTTATATCCGTCGAAACCCGCAGGCTTCTGGTCGTCATCCGAGCGGAAGGAAAGTGACGACTGCCGGAGGTTTGACACGGCGGCACGCTCGGCGGCCAGTAGCTTCTGACACGTCTCCTCAAAGCTCTTGAGCTGGTTCTTGTAGTCCGTGGACAGCTTAGCCACCTGCGTCCTGCGCGCACGCCCACCTGCAGCCTTAGCTCCCTTGTCTAATTCCTGCAGTCGGCGGTTAATTTTGGCAACGAGCTTGTTGCCGCGGTCCGTGAGCTCTGTAAGTTGCTGGTGGTTGGCGCGCGAATCTTGTGGCGTGCCGAACAGCGTCATCTTCTGCGAGATGTTGCGCGTGACCTGGTTGAACTGGGCCACGGCCTTGGACGTCTCCTGTACCAGCGCATTGTAGTGCTCGGCCTCACCCATCTTGGGCGAATCTGCCGAAATGTAGCTCATAGCGGAGGCGACGAAGGAGTATGAAGTAGGAAGCCTCAAGCTATTTTCGGGTTGTGTTCGGGGTTTCAGAACTGAATTTGCAAAAGGGGCAAAACTCATCGGACACGGCGGTACCGAATTTTGTGCCTAACTTGGTCTTTGTAGGTATAGGTTTCGATATCCAGCCTACACTGGATGCTTATGAGACAGACCTGAAGCCGCGTTGGACTACTCGAGAGCTGGATTTGCCTGGTGTTCTGGTCACAGTCTTGAGTCTCCAAGCCGCTGTGAATATTTATTGACTCAGGCATCTTCTGGAGGGCGTTTCGCCGCTCGGATAAGCGAAACGTCACCAACGTCCCAAGAAGTGCCCAACTTGGTTAGATTACGGCGACGACACTACTGCGACATGTGCCAAGACACATGATTGGTCAAAACTTTGGACGCATTTGTCGACCAATCGTGTGCCCTTTCGGCCAAGTTGAAGTGGCCCATGATTGACAAGCAAGCCCGTATTTGCTTTTATATTTGTTAGAATAGCTCTACAGGAACTTCGCCGCCTTGTACCATCACTCGCGGCTGACCGCAACGACGCTAGACTCATCTATCGTCGCTAAGCCAGCAGCAGGTCGTTCAATACCCTCTATTGCCATCGCTGCGGTGTCTAGGACCATCGTGGAGGACACCAGCTGCACGTCAGCGACCGACCCGCCCAGTTCGTCGAACACAACCAGTAGATTCCCCCGATCTTTAGCCAGCCAGTCACGTGGGACGTGGTAGTAGCGTTGAACAAAGGCTCCTTCGTCGTTGATAAGCCAGTAGCGCCCCAGGTCGTGGCCGTTAATATACGCGCGGCCACGTGTGAGTCCGAGGAAATCGAGCACTATGGATGACTGCGCCCCGCTCTGCTGTGTAGGATACACGAAGGACGTCGCGTACCAGCTCATCAACTGTCGGCCACTCTCAGCTCCATCTGATGCACGAGACACTGGAGTCCAGGGCACCGAGCCAACCCACTGTGGACGATAAATCTCCAGCTGTTCCCCAACAAGACTCGGGTACATTTCCCATCGATGGTCATGCGCTAGATCCCTGTGACCGATTCGAACACTTCCAGTCACCCCTTTGGTATGGTTACTACCCAACGAGTAGATCCCCAAACTGACAGACACCAACTTCAGATCATGTTGACGACCAACGTCGATGTTAGCGGGCAGGTGGAAGCCGAACTCCTTAGAGCAATTACCACCAGGGTAGGCTAGATTCCTCTCGCCAATGAGCCAGCCGTCAACGAACACAATGATACTGCTACCCTCGCATGAGGTCACCTTCACCGTCGACGCACCGTCATCGATATCACCAAGCTGTTTCAGAGTAAACGTGGTCTCATACGTCAAATAATCGGATCGATCTGCTGTCAACCGAAGCTGCTCAAGGGGTCGATCAGCTATCACCTTCCTTCTCAGAGACGTTGACGACACATTCAGCTCACTCCACGTTTCCCACTCAAGAGCACTAGCTTTAACTAGCGGAGTGTACGAGCGATGTTGACGACCTGGGAACGACTTCTGTACGTCTGCCGTGTCAAACAGAACAACGCCGTCTTTGAGAATCAACACGGAGAATGGCGCGAGATGGTACTGTTGGCCAGTAAACGTCACCCGAACACTCTGGTTGGCCATATTCTCCAAAAATGCCACTTGGTTTGGTCCATCTTCTGGTCCATAGATAAAAGCTCGTTGCTGAGAAGAAGCCTGCATTATTTGCCCGTCTTCAAGAGGCAGGTCGTGGGGGTTCAGTACTTGTCGATCATTGCTTAACAAGACGTCGTTGCACTCAATCAGAGCCTCATGAAGCTTTCGTAAGTGACTGCGCTTTGGTTCATTGCTGAGTGCGTCGGAATGGAGATTCACTCCGTCCGCATACATCGTAGTCACTCCAGCCGACGCAGCTCTGCCGTAATTATTGCCGCCGTGGTACATCTGACAATAGGAAGACAAAATACACGCCGTTAGTCCATCACAGCTGCTGGCAAAACAGTGAATAACGTACGTAGTAATTGTGGGCAGCTCCTCCAACTGCAAACCACCGAGCAACAGCATACGCCACGTCTTCAGCGGTGCGCTGGTCATTTGGCAATGGATTCTTTTTATCCTTCTGCCAGGTCTGAAACCAGCCCTCATCCTCTGTCCACACAAGTGGGTCGGACGGGCGCTCCTTGACATGCTTCACGGCGAAATCGACACAGTCATTGTCATTACACGAGAGAATAGTATTCTCAGCTGCGTTGGCGTAGCACCTGCTCAGTAATACTTGTTAGGGAACATATTTCTCCTAAAACATGTCCGTCTCGACACTTACATAACCCAAGGGATCGACGTATTCAACTGCTCGACAAGATTTCCACACCACTCAATGTACTCTGGATCATGCATCGCAAATTCGTTCTCGATCTGTGCCATGATAATCGGCCCGCCATTTTTCGCCAAGAAAGGTCTTGACAGCTCCACCATGTACCGAATAAACCGCTCCATCTCCCTCTGCCAGGGAGCGTTGCTCGATCTCACCTTCATTCCTGTAATCCAATTGAGCCACACGGGCAGACCTCCATTGTTCCACTCGGCACACACATACGGACCGAATCGCACATGCAAGAATAGTCCCACCTCAGCTGCCAGCTCGTAAAACCTCGTGATGTTGGCGTTCCCTGCGAAGTTGAAGACGCCGCGCTCTTGCTCATGCAAGTTCCAGAACACATCTAACACAACATAATACTATCACATCAGTGCAACTATACTACATCATCTTCTCTGTTACTATTGCACGTACACATCTCGATGTGGTTGAGTCCGTCTCGCTTGGCCTCTCGCAGTAGCTGCTCCCATTGGCCTGTAGAGCTGCGCGGGTAGTGGATGGAGCCTCCGAGCAGCAGCGTCTGCTTGCCGTCAATCTCGAAACCTCGGGGTGAGTATGTGACGCTGTAGCCTGACTGGCGCTTAGTTGCGTCGATGTCATCGTATGTCAAGTACTGGAATTTGCTGTTCTTTGGTAGCAGCAATGGATTGGACACGCGCAGTGCTGGCGGCCGCACCCCCACATAACACGCGACGAACAGGATCACGGACAATAAGGCAACGTCCATGCGCTGCAGACGGCGTCGGCGGTTGCGGGGCGCATGGGGCGCGTCCACAGGCAGGAGTGCCTCATAGTCCACGTCCTCCTCTGCGAACATCTTCAGGTCTTTCTGGGTATGGACGTCTCAGATCCTAAACCATATTGAGTTCAAGTTATGTGTACTATCATTTAGATACACTGTGTCATGATTTTGCATCATAGGTACACTGTACCAGTTGGGTTTAATGTGGCTACACTTTTCTCACACGTCACATGTTGAAGTGGTTTTGCTGGTCGACAATTGCCTGTCGCCAGAGCTGTAAGACTTGTACGAGGAAGGCCTTGTGGTGCAACATAAAGAACCTTTTGCGCTTCTGACGCTCGTGACGATCGGATAATTGAGACTTCAGCGCTTTGACAGCACAGCGGAGTCTTCGATGCTTCTGTGCGTGGCGTTCGTGGTATCCAACGAGCTCCTTCTCGATCCACTGGTCCGTACACACGCTCTCCCAGTGATTAAACCAGGCAGAAAGTTCTCGACGCCGGCGCTTGGCTGCCATCTGCTGTATTCCAGAGCGACGATGAGCTTGGTCTGCAGCGATGTGATGCCATTGTTGGAGACGCTGGAGACGTTGAGACTGGCGAATCTTTCGTCGCAACACGCGGAGTTTCAGTCTGAATATGGTGAACGATCTCCACTGGAAAAAACAGTTAGCAGCAGCACTAAGGAAATAGCGACACCGGAAAGTGTCGACCTTCTCCTTAAGCTTTTTCATGTAGCAAACGCGTGCTAGAAGTGCATTGATATATCGGCGAAAGAGGTGGGTTCTAGCAAAGGTATCAGCTCGCAAACGCTGATGTTTCCTGAACTGAGCGACATTGAACCACTGCATGACGCGTCCCCAGAACTTCTGCTGATGGCATAACTGCCAGTGACGACAGGCTCGCTTTAGCAATTCTCGCTTTCGATCACTCTCGGTGCACACAATTCGGAAGTTCGAAATGACACGGCGTTTGCGCTTTTCAACTAACAGAGTCGCTAACTTGCTTTGCAACTGCGTCAATCTCAATCTCGATTGTCTCCAGTTAAAAAGGAGTTGGAAGCCTCGATACAAGAGGGATGTTTGCCAGTGACGAAGAGCTTGAGCTGTAAGAACCCGTTGACGTCTCCAGTTTGCAATTCTCACTTTCCACAGTGCGAAAACCTTTCGAATGGAGAATCGCTGTCGAAAGCGAACAGCCAGAGCGATGGTTGATCGCTCTTGCCGCTTAAAAGAGACCCAGATGCTCCACTTTTGCCACACATCCACCTTGTGAAGGTTTTCCTTAAATTTCATTGCCTTACGCAGTCGTTCATTCATCTGCTTTCTCGCTACGACAAACCGCTTCCACGCATCAAAGTGCGTTTGCATTCGGAATGATTCCTGGTACAGGAACATCTTCCCCATTTGTCGAAGCACATGAGCTCGACGTTTCCAGAAGGTGAACGTCCAACAACATATCTTCGCAGTGTTGAAAGCTATCGCCATCTTCTTCTGGTTGCGAGCACGCACAAATAATCTCCATGTTATTAGCACGCTCTGCTCCACCTGAACACAGCGAAACACTCTTGCTTGTAGTTGCTTCTCGTTTGCGGCTTGTCGCCTTCGCCAATATATTTTCCAGCGCGAGAAGACGTCTCCTTTTTGATTCCGTTTGAACGCACGCGTCAAGTGGGTGTATTTCACTCGCCACTGATGATATCGCTGCCAGTGCCTGAAGTTCGCGGCTACTAGTTTATCGTCTCTGAATTGCTCTGCTTGTATTCCAAGTCCTCGAGCAACCTTATGTGTTGTCCTCCGCTCGAGAAGCCTGTTCAAACCATAATTCAGACGTCTTCTGGTATAGAATCGATGAGCTAAAGCTTCATTTTGACGTTGTCGATGCAAAACAACAGATCGATCTCTCCACTTGCTGACACTGCGAGATAACGCGAGCATTTCAGCCTTGTCAGTTAGCGCCATGATACGCTCCAGCTTCATTTTCGTGACTTCGATATACTCTCTCCATTTTCGGTATCCAGCACAAACCAATCGGTGGGTACTAAAGGAGAATGCTATCTCATTTTGTTCCTTTCGCACTTGCTTCATTTCCACCAGATCTTTCCATGAACTAAGAGATCGTCGAAGTAAAACCTCTACGGAGTAGTAACTGAGGACCCACTCCAGTTGTTTTTGCTTCTCGTGGCAAAACGTAATGTATCGTAGCCACGATTTCCAGGCCTTAGCTCGAAGATTGTCTTTGCACCAGATACTTGCTTTCTCAGTTTCCACCCTCCGTTCAAATTGAGTTTGGGTGTACACAATCCACTTCTTCAAAATCATAACTTGCAAATTATCAAGTCTTCGGTGTTCCATCGCAATTATACACCTGCGCCAACTGACTGCCCGATTCCAACGAGACCACACCATTCTCAAGCATGAAACTCGGTACAATGCGTCGCTTTTGTCTCTGCGTGCTTGAACACAACGTCTTGTAAGCGTTTTCCAAGCACACAAATGGCGTGTCGTACGATTTCGAAGATGTGTCTGTTCGGCCAGAGTCCGTCGACATCGTTTGTTGCGTTTGACAGCGATAAAGCGTCTCCATCGCCTCCAAAGGGATCGTATCCCATTGATTCGACCAAACATTGCAGCTTTCACGATTGCCTGCTGATATCTCGAATGCTTTCTCAAACTAGCTATAGCTCGTTTGCATTGCCACAGAGAATAATGGTCATCAGCTCTGTTCTGCAGAGATTGGTACTGTCGACGTTGTGAGGTAAATAACTTCCATCTCACGAAAGTGGCTCGAGTGAGGTTATTGCAAAGAAGTTGGCTGGTCACCGAGATATTCTGGCGCACTCTTGCAACGTACTCGCGGTGTAATTTCCAGTAGGCCCAAATTCTCCGAAGTAGAAGCCTTCTGCGATAAGAGTAGGCGAGAGTGTACAGAGTTCGCATGCTACGATATCCCTTCCACCTTCGGAACGTAACACGACGGAGAAAGTTTGCTCTGTACTGGTCTGCTTTGCTACTCAGCACACTTTGAAACGTGCTAATCTTCGAAAAGAGTTGCCACTTTTGAAACATTCTAAATAGTAACTTTTGTTTCCGCAGCCGTGATACAAATCTCCGTTTGGAGACTTTGTGGCGAACCTCCTCCTGATAGATCTTCCATAGTCTCAAATACTTTGCCTGTACCCTCCTCGTGTAGAATTGATACGCTTTCATTTTCTTCGCTAGAGCTCTCGATCTGTTTTGGGAGTTTACGTGCCATTGGTATACTGCTTTCACAAGCCGATGGGTATTAATCTGCCGTGTTGTTGTCACTTCCTTATGCCGCAGAATTGACCTCTGAGACCAATTTTCTTGCCAGTGATACATTGCGAGGCACGAAAGATACTCATTGTAGAATTTCTCTGCCATTGCAACCTGCTTACGGTGCTGCCGACGTTGACAACAAAACCTGGACCACTGAGTAAAGCTGGTCTGCGAACGCTTCTGCTTCACTCTCCTGTGCATCACAGCAAGATTTCGTTGAATCTGAATCGCTCGTCTTGTTGATAGATGCCATGCTCGAAGGACTTTTCCTTGCAAGAAGCTTTCATGAGTAACTCTTGCAGAAATTATTTTCTCGTTTGTTGCACGACGGGTGTTGAGAATTTCAAGCCACGCGTAAAAAGAGCGGCGTTGGAGAGACTCCACGTTGAACTGAAGAGCAATCCATTTCTGTTGTCTACGGTGGAAACACTGTCGTGTAAGAGCGTACCAAGCGTACAGGCAACGGGTGACTACTTTGTCGTCGCGAAGTTGCTGTCGATAGGCTAGAAATTCATCCCGTCGACGAAGATTTCTTGCTGCGATGCACCAATGATACAGTGTTTTTATCATTATACGACGAAAGCAGTGCGACAGTGCCTTGCTCTGATTATTTCGAGCTCGTGACGCTCTTTTGGCAAAGCAAAACCACAGGTTGATCGCTACAGCGTATCTGCGTTCGTTATAGTATTGTTTTGCCACTGCCATGTTCATTCTTCTCTCTTTACTAAAACGACAGACTCTTCTCCATTCCGCAAGCGATAGTCGAGCTGTATCCACATCTCGCTTACGAGTTGCAATACAGACGTGAGTATGAACTCGCCACAACCTGAAAATCGACCTGATGTGCTGTCGAGTCTGCTTCTTTCGGAACAGCTTCACAAGCCGCTTGAAACATCTTTTTCGTAATGTTACACCCAACCATTCGCTAACCAAGCGTTGCAAAAGATATTCCTCATTTCGACGGCGCTGTTGCTCAACAATGTTACGTAGAGATATTTTTCCCGTGGTCCAATCGTGCCAAGCACGAAAATGTCTTGCAGTATTAAAATTCCGACGCTTTAATTCAAATGAGGAAATGAAGGAACGAATATGTAGCATTCTTAGCCATCTCTCCATGTATCGGTTCAAGATAAGATCATTCGTACGCTTCAATACGATGCATCGCTTTTCTTTTAGACCCTTGAGAGCTGTTATCTTTTCTCTCCACTCACGAAGCGCATTGTTCAGCTTCCTTGTACGGACAGAACGACGAAATATGCTTATCGCCGTATATTTTCGTGTAGTAGTGACCCACAGTTGGAATATTCTGGTAGCAAGCTTCCGTTTGTACCACCGAGTCGCCCTCCTCATTTGATCTCGTTCAGCGCGATTAGCTCGGGCAAAGAAACGTAGGTTTTGAATGCTGAGCATTTTCAAACCCCGCTCATAATGTCTTTCCATCTCATCAAAGATCTGCTTGCGACGTCGCTTCATTTCAAGAAATTGACACCACGCTCGAATCGCACGCCGTACCGATATTCGATACCGGAAGAAATCAGCTAGCAGCACTTTACGAGCACGTACTTGACGTTCAGCTATATATTGTCTCCACTTTCTAACCCCACCCGACAGACTAATTCGTGTACCATTATCGATTGACCGAAGATACAATGGATTTTCAAATACTGCTTCTCTCCACCAACGTGTCAACTTGCTCAGTAGCTTCTTCCGATAATGTGAGGTGGAAACAACATGTTTCAAGTGTTCTTGTCTTGCTTGACTAATTCCGTCTTGAAAGAATCTAAACATCGTGTTAAGATACGTATGACATCTCTTCGCCGCTAATATATGACACTTTTGTGTCTGTAAAATACATTGACGCCAGTGTTGAAACACAAAACGTTTTCTCTGAGCTGTGTAGATAGTCTGTCTTCGCGTAATTTCACGTTCAACTCGACAGTATCGTTTCAAGTGAGCGAACATATCGCGTTTGATATGGTTCCAGTGGAATTTGTTTGCATCGTCCATGTGCTTTCTCTTCACTTTGTGAATGCTGACACCACATTTCCACGCTCGAATCGCAAATTTCAGCTGTTGTCCACAGTGGAAACCATCGGCTTGTACGAGTTGTTGCACACGCTGCCTCCTGGATGTATCTGCATTGGATCTCCACCGATCAAAACAAGAATATACCAAACGTAGTTCCGCTCTAAACTGGCGACGCTTTTCGACGGACTGAGAGTCTTCAGAAGAATCGTTGACATCTAGAGAAATATTCCTCTGTATGCCTGTAGAGTCCACACGAACGCCCTGCGTTTCGGGTTCAACCAAGTTTTGGATGCTCTTATTTGATTCTTCGGCGCTTGACACGCCCGTATGCCGCTTAAGGATGAGATTTCGACGTGGTAGACGAAGACCAGTAGAGTCACCCCCCATTGAAATGGGATTGCTGGGTCGCGTGTTCATTCCATGGCGACGGATTTTCTTTGCGGACCGACGAAGCGTAAACGCGACCCACTTCCACGCGGAGAAATGAGCTTCGATCACTTTCCTTCTCCAGTAAAACAAGGCAATGAACATCTGCTGATCATCCTCGTCCATTGTGGTCACATACACCTCGTCAGAGCTCTCCGGTTGGGGCAAAGAGAACTGCTCAGTGATATCCCGGTGGTGCTTCGGAAAGCGTGATGATCTTGACAGTGAACTGTACCGCGATGTCTGCTATCAACAACATTCCCACACTTCTTAGCTTGATACTTTGAGAAGTTCTAACAGTAACAATCTCACTGTGTTGTCCCGGTATGCTTCTACTCGCATTGGGTTCCTCGCTCTGTCAATTTTCCGGCCGGAACGCTTGCATTGTGCACAATCCAAAGGTGAATAACAATACTCAACCAGCTCGTAGACACCAAACCAGCGAGAAACTGTACCTGATCTGGAGCTCTCAGTTGATAAACTGGTCGAGTTCGTGTCGCTGCACTTCTAACGTGCTCGACATCTTCGTCCTCAGAAGACAACCCTGAGGATGGCGGGGGCGTGTAATGATCCCGGACATCTTCGCGAGGATACCGTGACGTATGTAGTTCAGGTGGTGTCGTCCGATTCGTCGGCATATCGTTGGTTTAATCCAGTAATGAGCCCGAGGCTTATGCGCTAGCGCTACCCAACTCGAGTACAGATACTGATCATGAAACGACGTGCCGCTTCAACGTGGTAACGTACATGGCATCGGCGCTAGTCCCTTGGCCTGGGCAAGATATCGCACATACACACCTTGGTATACCAGCTCGAATATCTGTGTCTGTAAGTCATCATAAATGGATGAGGACATCTTTTTGCCTGGAGTCGTAATCGCTTTCTTGATTTTCTTGCGCTGAGCTGCTGTGATGACCTTAATACGGCGAGACTTGATGTAGGTAAGATAGATATTCACAGCTCTGGATAGGAGTGTCTTGCTGTCGATACCATCCTGAGTGGACAGAGAGTTAATAGTTAGTCACAAATAATCTGAGCTATAGGGTAGCAGCTCCATACCTCTTTGAACTCCTCGATAGAGATCCAGAAAGTAACCATATCCTCAGCGAATTCTTGTCTTGCAAATGCTAAAAAGCTAGCAAGGCCATCAGGATCCTCCATCATCAAGCGTCTGAAGCTCGCCAGATGCCTAGACAAAGATACCCCAAAGATTCGCGTTAAAACGGACGTGAACTCCACAACGAGCAACAGGGGTGGCAAGGTTTGCAACGTACTTTTCGCTCTCGTTAGCGAGTTGTTCCATACGTTTTCGATCCTGCTCGATCTTCTCCAGTGTGATATGGTCTTCCGTACTCATTTCTACTGTCTCCCGCTTTGAAATAAACTCGTCCAATTGCGCGAAGATTTCTTTCAGACGCTTGTGGATGGGTGGAAGGGCTCGTGCACGGACATTGCATACGCGTCGGCAGGTTAAGACAGCCTTATGGTAATGCCCCATTACATCCTGTAAACGAAGACAGACAAAATTGGTAATTGGTTCATAGGAGATTTAACTGACATTCTTACCAAGCTTTGTAGCAACATCGAAGTGGCTGTGAGAATGTCCTTGTGATCTAGAGGCAACACACTTTCAAACAGTGACAATGCGTCTTCCATCATGCCAGCACATCTCTCAACGTCATCGGTCTCCTGCTCAAAGAATACCGATAAATATTATGTTAGCTGGCTTAGAAAATCATAAGAGAATGCTGAGTACCTGGGAGATCCGTGCCTTCCCAATGGCTACTTTCAGCATTGTAGGATGAAGAATCCCTAGCGAGTCTATAGTCAATTTCTCCACTTTTTCAAGTAGGTCTCGAGCCTTCTCGTATTTCTTTTGTGTTGTGTACAAAACAGCAAGCTCGAGCTCTGCTGGTTGCGTAAAGATCGTCCCTTCCCCTGCTTGAGCTGCATGCTTCGCCGCGACCACAGGCACATCGATTTGCATTTGTGAGATCGCTTTCTCCTTCGCGATTCTTTTCCTACGTTGATACTTCTCAACCTCCGGGTCAACGGAGCGTGGCAACGCCGTAACGGGAGGCACAATGCCATCACTAAGCAGCAACGCGCGCATTTCAGCAACGCAATTGGCACTTTTCACAATTGAGCGTTGGAGAGAATTCTCCTGGTTAGTTTGAACAACTTCCTTAAGTTCGTGCCCCACGTACAACTCAGGGCTCAGCTCTTCGTACTGATGATGTCGGCGATAAGCTAGTTCATGTAGACGAGCATGGCACTTATCACACAACACCTGATCACAAGAAATACATCGCTTCCGAGCTCTGCTTAGTTGACAATTGTCGCAAGTAGGGAACTTCAGTCGCCCCGCTGAATCGGACGGTAATGGAGCAATTAACCCATTCCGACGTCCACGGGCTCTAGTGGCTAGAATACGCTCTCGTTCCTTGTTAAATTGTTGTCGTCGCTTTCGATCTCGCTTCAAAATCTCTTGCTGGATGCTCCACTTCCGAACCATAGGATCGTTTACAGGATCCTCCTCGTTTTCTTCTATAGGTTTCACGTCGTCAGTCCCTTCAATGGATCGGCAACCACAGTTACTGTCACTTTCAAACGAGATATCTGCTTGTGCAAGTGAAATTGTGTACTCGGCCTCGATGAAATTTACGAGAGAAACAATATTCCCGAGTAATAGTCCAGAGTTGCCTTCACTATGTTGTTTAAGGTGTTTGTTTGTGAATTTGATCGCCAGATCCGGGTGGTCGTATGCGTTCAAGTAGTACAAGGCATCGCGTCCGGAGAAATCTCGAGTCAAAATATTGCAGCCGCACTTCATTAGCAATTGTATCATAGTGATATCTCCACGTTTGCATACAATCATCAACGCGTTGACACCCTCGCGATTTTGATGCGTGGGGATGCAATTGTTCTTGAGACAATACACAATATCAGCGTACGTTCCGATACTGCAAATCACTAATAAAGGAGAATTCCCAGTTGCATCTTCATAGTTCGGACTGAGCTGAAATTCTTCAGAGGACAAAAGGTATCGTATCCTTTCCAAGTCCTTATTACGCATAGCCTTATCCATCTCTGCCATACCTTTCTGTCGTATAACTCGGTTTGTCGACAACGGGCTTAATACTTCCCCGTCTTCCTCTTCTTCCTCGGCTTTCAGATGCGCTAAAAGGTTCGCACTAGGTAGGGAGCTGTTCAATGCTGCCACCATAACAGAATTACGGAGTTGGACCGCCCAGTCTAGCGTAGCTTTCCCGTCTAGGTCTCGATGTTCCTTGCTCGCTCCATACGCCAAGAGAACTCTAAACAAATCGGTATTCCCAGAAATTGCAGCTTGGATGAGTGTAGATCTCTCGGTTTTATTCACGCCATCAACGTTCGCTCCACACTCTAACAGCGCCTTAAGTATCTCTTCTCGCCCTTTGTCTGCAGCGAGAAGAACTGCATTAACTTGGTTCTTCGTCTCGTAATTCAAATCTACCTTAAACTCCACAAGGATACTTAGAGCAACGACATCTCCAGTCATTACAACGGCTAACAATGGAGTGATCCCGGCTTTTGTCTCCGTGGTTGGCGAAGCACCGAGTTCAAGCAGCTGCCTTAATACTCTCAGCTTCCCTTTAAATATTGCAGCGAGTATAGGTGTGAACCCATTCTCGCTCTCGTGGTTTAACAGATCAATGTTTCGATTGCCAGAAGTCGAGGTTGCTGGATCGAAAAGAGGCACGAGACGGTCCCAGTGTTGGTGATACACTGCGTTCTCAACTTTCTTTCGAAAACTAGAAGAGAAAAAAGAATGCATCAATTGTGTGAGCTTATTCCGCTTAGCAGGGAGTGCATCCAGTCGTAGTTTGGCCTCGTCCGATTTCTTTAACGCAAGTCCCTTCTCAATGATTCGAGCCTCAAGTAAACGCAGTCGTTGTAACCCTGATACACCGGGTGTCGAGGCCGATACACCCAAAGCCGTCGTCTTCTTTCTCGTCTCTGATATCAACTTGTATAACTTCAATTCTTCAAGTCGCTGGAGCTCCATTCTCTTCTGCTCTCCCTTGCGACGATACCAGGCTTCCATGACAGCTGACAAACGCTCTTCTTCCTCCATTTCAAGACATCGTGCAGCCAGTTTCTGCTGCTCCTTCTCGCAAACTCCAGTCTTCCGTTTCTGCTTCTGAAGCTCGCGCTGCTGCCGTCGCAACACCGACGTCTTCTTTTGCTCCAGGCGAGTGTGCGCTTCCAGATTTTCCATATTGTCAATGTGAAAATCGACGAAAGTGGACATCACTCCTATTTTTGCAACTATATTAAGAGACTTTGATGGCAGTTACCTGCAGAAATTGATGGATTTACCGTCAGGAAGCATCCATGAAAGGCTCGAATTGCTGCATGGCTACATACTTGGACGCAGATTTGGGCGTTCAACCAATCAAAAGAGCGATGACGAGGCACTGCAACTTGCCTTTTGACAAAATGCTTCAGTCCGAGTCCGTCGAGTTCCCTCAGTTGCGAAAATGACGTTCCCCAATCGCATCACCTACCTGCTGTGCTCCCGAGAGAAATCCCAGCAAACTGCGCTACTGACGGCTAGTGACGCTCCTATTGCCAATTTCGCCACATTATGCCATGTGACGCCAGGCAGCGACCACGAGGAGAAGCCCAAGCTCGAGAACGACGACTACTCCGTCCACGACCACGCGCTGCTACCGCTTATACACAAATTCATTGCCATGATCTCGCAGCCGGCGAAGCTCCTCGCTGCACTGGTAATCGACTGCGACGGCAGAACATCCAAGGAAACGTTTTGGGCCAAGGCGGCAGCGTATCAGCACTCGCAACTGCAAGGGCTGTGCACCTCGTGGTATCGAATCATGGAGGACATTGACCTGTACGAACTCAGTCCGGCGGATCTGATGATTTTGAAGGCGGCGGTGTATTACTGGAGGTTATGGCAGTACGTCTGCGCGTCATGCGTCGATGCCGTAGCCTCCATCGAGGAGAGCGCGACAAGTCCGCCGCCCAAGCAGGAGTTGACGTCGTGGACGTCTCTGCTGCAGAAGCGCAATGCTGCGTCCATCTCTCCGCCGTTAGAAGACAAGTGCTCGGACGCGCTGTCTCAAGGCATGATTCTATCGGGTGGCAATGGCATGGTCAAGCGTTCGCGCATCAACCGGAAGAGTAACGAGTTTCTCATCGCGTGGTTCCTGGCGCACAAGGAAAATCCGTATCCGTCTCCAGATGAGCGCGTGGAGATCGCTGAGAAAACGGGACTGGCCGAGCAGCAGGTACGTAACTGGTTTGCCAACATGCGTAAACGTCACTGGAAGCCCAACCGTGCCAACACTAAGAAGCCGCGCTGCCTCGTGGACTACATGCTGAGGCAGAGCGACTCCTGAACTCGAAAAAAGTATCTGTATCCCGTGCCTCTGTACGCCTTTGTAGTAACCTCTTAAAACACTAACACAAACTCCAATCTCGTCGTGCAAATTTTTCTTTGTTTTCAGGTGTATAGTGCTAACTACGAGCAAGTTGTGTGGATTGCATCGACTTTTAGTCCTCGTCGAGGGTCGGAGCCTCGCCGATCTCACTCTTGACGTACTTGTACTTGCCGGAAGAGCGGAAAATATCCTTCTTGGAGCCAGACACGGGGGCAGACGGCAGCGTAGCAGGAGCCAGGCCCAGCGTCTCCTCCTTGAAAGCGGGCGACAGTGCGGGCCAGGCCATCCAGCCGACAAAGATCGCTCCGGGAACGCCCCACGGGGCTATAACGGACAGAGAGGCGGTAGTTAGGACAAGAGCACAATAGAAAAGAGAGCAGAGGAGCGTACCCAAGCCCGTGAGCTCCTTGGCGAGGTGGGTCAGGCGAGCAACAGACATGGTGGAGGACTGTGGGGGTTATGAATTCCGCGGGTGTGGGGCGTTTTGTGTCCTCAGCTTTTGTGGTCAAATGGGCTGAGCATTTTGGCCAATGAACACGAAGTACACAAAAACACGAGATAACTCATAAATAGCATATTGATAGCAGTTTTATAAAAATAATAATGCTATAAAAATATACAGTTTAAAAATTAATTCATTTTAAAACTTATAAAATAATGAACGTTACAATTAGAATTGTATAATACCGCTAATTTAAAGCGTCGATTCGTGATGCCCCTTCAACATGAATTGATATGAGGTGCTCTTCACCGACGACAGTCCTTCTGCTGCTGCTCTGCCTGTGTCTTCCTGCTGTTGTTCATGCTGACATCACCAGCGCAAGCGTAATACCGGTGTCTCTAAAAGCAGGCGCCGTCACTGACGTCGTAGTCACTTTCACGAGCGGAGTTGATGTCGAAGTCAGCGGATCAGTTCTGGTCGAGTTCCCCGCCGGATTCCACATCTCCAGCGGGACAACGGTAGCAGTCACCACAGCAGGCAGCACAACAACGCTGTCAGTCGCGTCCGTGTCGTCGACGCAGTTATCGGTTCTGGTGGGGACGACGAAAATCTTGGCGGGTGTGGCATTCGGGTGTTCGGTGACGGACGTAACCAACCCGGGAGCACAGACAACCAGTGACTTCGAATTATCAACCTACGACTCCAGTAATACACTTTTAGAGAGAAATACGGCAATATCTGGTGTCGTTATTGCAATAACAACGCTGTCTGGCGCGACTGTGGCTCCCAACAGTCTAAACGCCGGCGTGACGGGGACGGCGACGGTGGCGTTCACGAGCGCCGTCCGCTTACCTGTCGGTAGTAAGATCGAAGTGACGTTCCCAAGCGACTTCACGGTGGCGTCGTTGACGCTGTCGTCGGCCTCGAATATCGATAGCAGCAGCACTGTGGCCACGTCCAGCTCCGTGGTAACCGTCACGATCGCGGGCAGTGCAGTGACGGCTGGATCCAGCGTCTCGTTCAAGCTGGACGGCGTGACGAACCCAGGCGCAAAGACGACGGGTACGTTTGTGGTGGCAACGACAGACAGCTCGTCGAAGATTTTCCAGCAGGCGACGGGGGTTAGTGCAGCGACCATTGTGAGCACGACACTGACTGACGTCTCCGTTGGTGTGGATAACGATATCGCTGGTGTGGTGTCAAGTTATTCTGTGGATTTTAAAATGAACGTTGGTATTCCTGTAGGAGGGTATGTGGTACTACTGGTGCCAACCGATTATTCTCTCTCTGGAAGTATATCTTTAGTTGATTCGCAAGTGTCGACCACGTGGACTGGAGTATTGGATGGACAATCGATAAAATTTAAGACCCTAACATCCTACTCTGCAGGTCAGCATAGTGTACAAGTCGAGTTTCTCGAAAATCCAGGTAAGTTATCTGCAGTGCGATGCATCATACGCAAAGTATCTTACTCATCTATATGTTGTTGCAGGAGCATCTACCACCGGGTCATTTAAACTGTCTACGACCGATGCGAATGAGTTTCTTTTGGAGAGTGCGAGTTGTGCTGGTGTCATGATTGTATCGGGTTCAATTACAGATGCAGTGTTCACACCGCAGTTGGCCCATCCTGGGATTGCGTCCCGAGTCGATATTTCTTTCACGACATCCGCCGGTCTTGCAAAGAGCAGTCTCCTGATTATACAGCTCCCAGGTGGAGAATACGATGCAGCTGTACCGAGTCTATCGGTTGTAGTTGCAACGCCAGCTAGCTGCAGTGCTGCTACCTCGTGGAATAGCACGAACGCAGCGTTATTGATTTTAATTACCAGTTCGACGACCATTCCTCACGGTACTGTGGTGACATTACAAGTAACGGCGTTGGAAATGCCGCAATCGATACGGGCAACGTCTACCTCAGCATCAATTGAGAGCTGGAACGCTAAGGGGTTAAAACTGGACAGTTCTAGTACATTAAAGCTCAGTGAGATTACTGCAGTCCAGAGTCTTCCTTGTACGTGGTCTACGGAGACCCCGAATCCTGGAATCACGTCAAATGCACTGGTAACTTTCAACACGAATGGGAGAATCCCAGTCGGTGGCAAAATTGTTTTAAAAGTCCCAACATCCGATTTTTACGCCAACTCGACGGGAAATGTTCCCTCCATCGTGTTTAAAACCCCGAGTACAGTCGTTACCACAGCAACATGGGATGCCTCAAACGCCGCACTTGAGCTAGTAATTGTAAACGACTCCATCCCTTCCTACCAAGTAGGCATTCAAGTGAAGATCATGAAGCTTAACACTCCAGTATCTGTACGAACTGCTTCGAGGTTACCAGCATCGTTGACGACTTTCGATCCTCTTGGGATTGCAATCGATGGCCCCAGTGTACTTGACATGGACGCTATCACAGCAGGCTTCATTCTAGGCAGTCGTCTTTGGACCGCAGTGAACGCAGTGGCTGGTGTTACGAGTGACCAAACTATTGACTTTTTCATTACCGGTCGAGTGGATCCTGGAGGGAAGTTTGAGTTCACTCTTCCTGATACTAAGTGGAGTATGGCCGCGTCTGATGTGGCGACGTTTATCTCACCAAATCTCAGTGATGTCGGTACGGTTGTGTGGGATTCTCCCACTCGAATGATGACTGTAACTCTGACTGGAACGAAATCTATCCCCTCATACTCTGGGGTTACACTACTCATTCGAGACGTGTCCAATCCACCAAAGGAGACGGGAATTAACAACGCGTACCTCACAACTAGAGCTGCTGACAATAGTATCATCGATGGACCTGATACAATTTCGGTTATGACTATATCACGAGGAGCGTTAACAGGTGATAAATTGTGGACATCTATCACTACCACAAGTGCGAGTATGCAGAGCGATCAACGCTTGAGATTTACATTAACTGGAGCTCTGCCAAGTGGTAGTATCATTCTAGTTACGCTCCCTGCTGGTGGCTGGCGAATGGTAAATAGCGCGGCAGTGTCAGCGTCTTTTACTCTACCAGCAGGAGTAACAGTTCAGTCAGTGAGTTGGTCTCCTATGCTTTATGAGTTGCGTGTTGTCACTACTGGGGATATGAGTGAAGGCACAGCGGTGGAGTTGATTGTGAAGGATATGATTAATCCCTATTCAAGCTCAAAAGCTGGTACCTGTACAGTAACAACGATGCTACCAGACTCCGGGGTGGTTGCGGAGTCCAAGAGCATTATCGTAAATGCAATTACGAGCGATATGTTGCCTACAGAAGGTTCATTTGTATCGAGCGTTCCCACACCGGGAGTTCTATCCACGCAGACAATCACATTCAAAACTGGAGGAAAGCTCGAGTCAGGCGCAAAGTTTTGCATTTCAATCACGGAATGGACTCTCATGGCCTCAACTTCCGCCTCGTTAACTCTGTCTGTAACGACACAGTCTTCTCCATTGGCAAGTGAGTTAAACGCAGCAACCAATACGCTTTGTATGCAGACTGCAGTGGCGATTGACCAAGAAACAATTGTTACAATTGTGTTGACGGATATTCTATCACCACAGTCGATTCGTCCGGAGAAATTTACGAAACTAGATATCCAAAGTCACCTCGGTGGAGATGTAAATACAGGATCGATTCGCATGAATGCAGTCACGAAGGGGAAGTTAACAGGTCCATCGACATGGCAGTCCTTAGTTCGCAGTCCTGGTCCAGTTGCAGGCTTGAGAACCGCCGCGAACTTGGCCTTCAAAACAACCGGACAGATCGCTGCAGGAGGGTCCATCTTGGTGGAACTTCCGTTCGAATGGGTCATGGTATCGACGTGTACAGCAACATTCGTTCATCCACCTGTGCGGGGGAAAGTTTTCTGCGGTCAGAACAACATTAGCATTATATTGTCGGACGATCTGGTTGAAACTACCGACGTTAATATCTCGTTCACAGGTGTATATAACCCTCCTCTTGTGATGCCGGAAGGGGTTGCGTCATGTCAGACGATTGCACCAGATGGAGGAGAGATCGATGAGAGTAATTATATCATAACAGGAGCGATCGTAGCAGCAGTGACAGGAATTATTGACTCGGGTGATCATCTCACTGCTGTGGTTGGACTGACTAAGACTTTCGTCTTTGAGGGATTAACACTGGCTGAAAACGACGTCGTAAAGTTTGTGGATGCAAGCACAACCAGCGACGCAAACTGTGGCGAATCAACTACAGGTCAATCAGATGTTGGAGGTGTGAGTGTAAAGTATTTGGGTACGAATCTAGACATTTCCGTCAAGTTCACGCAGTCGTCACAGGATGGAAAACCATTCGCAATTTGCTACAAATTTGGTGACAATCCGTTCAAGTTATACTCGACGCTCAGTATAATGGTCAAAGAGATAAAGTTCGTGAGTTCGAACGTTGGATTTCACGATGTTGCAGTAGCAGATTTCGTGAAAACTTGGACGTTTAATGGCAATGGGATTTCGGCTGGAGATCAGATAAGGTGGATCGATCTCGACGTCGCACAAAGTGCGTCATATATATCAACACCGCCTGACTGTCTTGACACATCGACACTGGCGAAGTTCGCTGCTCTTACTTCTGGGACTCTAAATTCTCCAGAAGATGATTATACTCGCGTTATTCAGCATAACTCGAATGTCTCTTTTGCGTTCTCAGTGGAAAACAGCGGCAAAAATTTCTGTCTATGTTACAAGTTCGGAAACGAACCATTCATGGTCTACCCAGCTATTAAAATACAAGTTAATCATCTCCACAAAATAGAAACTACATCCACTGGAAGTGACGCGGTTGCAGTGGTAGATGCTCCGAAATCATTAAAGTTTTTTGGTGATGGTGTAGCACTGAACGATCGATTATACTTCGTCGAATTGGGTAGTGTATCAACTTGTGAAGAAAGCGATATTGACAAATCACTGCGACTACTACACTTGATCAACAACCAAGTGCAAAGCGTGGTTTTCATTGATGGTAACTTTGTCACTACTGTCAATTTCGATGCCACTGCAGCAGGAATGATGGTGGTGCCTTGCTATCAATTCGGAATGGAGTCGTACCAGCTCTACCAAAACATTCGACTGAAAGTTAAGACGATCAATCGTTACACTGGAACACTAGGATCTCCACAACTTGCGGTTGCTGAAGTTCCAGAACCGCTTACGTTCCTCGGGTTTGGCTTAAATGGTGGAGATCTGGTGCGATGGATCTTAAATGGAGAGGAGGACTGCGAAAGTAATCTCGCTTCTTTGACGGATTCTAAAACGATGGAGCTCGTAGATACAATCACATTGGATAACAACAGTGCAGCACTTTTCAACTTTACCAGCACGCAGAGTGATTTCAACCCTGTGCTATGCTACAAATTCGGAGAAGAGAATTTCAAATTGTACCCTGAAATTTCGATTGCGATCGGAACAATCCGTGCCAAGTCTCCACATGCAGGAGCGAAGGACATTGCTGTATCAGGATCGCGAAAGAATTTTACGCTGCTGGGAACAAATCTTGCGGCAGGTGACCGAATAGGCTGGACAAATGTCATCGATTCGACTGTTCCTTGCTCGAATCTGAGCCTACTAAACCCGAATACGATAAATCTCGACAATGACTATTTGTCGTATCTCACCAGCTCCTACACTTTCGGTGTCTCGCTGTCCTCTTTAAGCTCCGGAAAACGAGTGTATCTTTGTTACGGGTTTGGGCAGGAGCCTTTCAAATTGTTTACTGGAGTGTACTTGGATGTCAAGAGTATCACAAATATGCGAGCACTTGTTGGAAGCCCCAGCGTCGCAGTCGCCGGTGCACTCAAAACTTTTTTATTCGATGGAGACGGCGTGGCGACGGGTGATTTTGCGAAATTTGTGTCCGGTAACAACAGTGACTGCACGGATCCGGGTGTTACACTGATGAATATCATTAATGAATACGACGACTACGACGAGATGGCAATGTTCTTGTACGAAGTTTCAGTCAAAACTACTACTGGAAGTTTTCAAGTAAACGATGACACAAAATCTTCGGGATTAAATCGCGTCTTGTGTTATCGCTTTGGGGTGGAACCGTTCGTCTTTTACGAAAATTTCCATATTGACGTGAAGACAATTTGGAGACTTTATCAGACAAACTTAAAGGCGGGAGGGCAGAACGATGTAGTGGTGATTAACGAACCAAAACAAATGACAATTGATGGAGTTGGTATCAGTGTAAAAGATACACTAAAATTTGTCAACACCGGGACAAATAGTAAAGATTCTGACTGTGTGGACCTACCAGCTCAAGGTCGAGCTGATCAACACCTTTTAGTAGCGACAGATCTGACTGTAACATTGCCGTTCGACTATGGATCGAACGGTAGCATGTGGGTCCTTTGTTACAAGTTTGATGATGAACCCTATCGACTATACCCTACTGTCGGAATTTCAGTTAAGGAGATCGCAGCGTTGTTAGATTACACGTTTCAAGACATTGCCGGCTTAGGAGGAGTCGCGACAATTGGGCATCGTAAGCAGTGGAAACTTGTAGGATCAGGGATCCAGGAGGGGGATACGGTCAAGATCGTACCACAAAGTGTAATGTCGAGTATAGAATGTGGGAAAGCAGACGCCAATATCGCAACTGGGACAGCGATTATGACTGTGGACAAGAAGATGACGTTTTCAGGGACTATTTCGGCCTTCCCAGCGTCCACCAGAGACGTGTATCATTTGTGCTACCAATTCCAGGACGAACCGTTCACCTACATTCGTGACTTTACTTTAACCACGTACGGGATCATCAGTCTAGACCGCAGTGTAGTACTTGAAAGTGCCACAACTACAGCTCAAATCACTGGATTTCGTCTCTCGAACACGGACGAAGTGGGCTGGACTACGAGTTCCAAAACATGCAGCACATTACTTGGACGCACTGAAGTTTCGGGGATGAAGGCTAACCTCTATTTCGCTGATAGTTACACTCTGCTTTACTTATGCTACAGCTTTGATCGTCAGCCTTTTGACATTTTCAAAACTGTGACTCTAACTGTAGCCAAAACTGAAATCTGGACACCTCACATAGTGTCAATTATCGCAGATCAGACAGCAGAAATTGTCGTGTCGGGAACATTTGGAATTACGCAGGGCACAGATCAAATTGCGTGGGTTCCTTCCGACGTTGTGGAGTGCTCAGCTGCTGCTGTAACTTTATATGCAGAGGTGATGCAAACTTCGGTAACAAGTGTCACAAAGTCACAGTCGATCATTCCTCACGCTGGCGAGGCTTCTTTCAGCGCGAAATATGTTGCGCCTAGTAGTGGCAGTGGGATCACAGCGTCCGATAGTTTTTCCACTTGGAAATTATGTTACAGATTTGGAACAACGCCGGACTATATCATGTTTGGGGATGTGCTGTGTATGGTGCTGAATATTGTCGAGGTGCTGTTACTTTCGATGGAAACTACGAGTACTGGGGCTGTGATGAAGTTCCAGTTCGACGGCGTTGGTATGCAAGACTTTGACACAGCGAAATGGGTAGACGCCTCCATGGCTACAGGTGACGCGGACTGTAACATTTTACCTGCAATTGGAGGCAGTAAGACGAGTGACGTAGTGAACTCTCGAGCAACATTTACGTTCGCAGAAGAGAGTAGCTCAATGGCACTATGTTACAGATTTCTAGGTCATTCATTCAAGTTGTACGCTGATATACCAGTCCAAGACTCGACTACGTCTCGCGCTAGTATTGGATCTGCTACCAACTACGATGAAGAGGCTGTTGCTGCAGTCAGTGACCAATTTACTGCCAGTCGAGACGTTGCGACGGTATCGTTAACTCTTGACAAAGACATCAATGAAATACCGCCTGGATCCAACGCTGAAGCAGCTTTCAAAGCGTCTTTCATTACCACGATGGCTGTGTCTTTGGGTATCGACGCGTCTAGAATTCAGATCAAGGAGCTTGTGGCAGGATCAGTGGTGGTCAACTTCCAGCTTTTGGCTTCTGATAATCCCGCAGATCCGTCGGTGAACGAGGCAGTGCAGGATCTTCATAGTCAACTACTGGACACGAGCAGTAACCTCTTGACTAGCAGCACAGTCGTCGTAAAGAACCCTGCTACAGCACTACGTGCTACCGTCACATCAGTCCCAGCAGCAGCCAGTTCATCCGTGGCGATTCAAGCGCTCGGATACCAGTCGAATGGACTCTTCTCGTTTGTAAGAAGCATCTACAGTATCACTGAGAAATCATCCAAGCTGGTGATTCCAGTTATTCGTCTTCAAGGAACATCATCAGTTGTGTCTATCGCAGTGCAAGTCCAGACGTTGGGGACTACAGCGGTTTATGGTAAAGACTACGCGTTCTCAGATTCTACGACTTTCGATGCTTCCTTGATGTTACTTCATCTACGCTTTGATATCGGAGAATCCTTGGGCACAATTGAGTTGGATATACTGGATGATGACGCGAAAGAGGCTCATTTCAAGCTCATTTCCTTAGCTTTACAGAGCCCATCGACAGCTGGAGCAGCACTTGGGTCGACAAAAGAGACCGTGGTTCGTATTTATGATTACGGAGACGGAATATCAATTGCCAATTCGAGTTTTACGGTTAACGGTGACCATCCGGATGAACAGCGAGATGTTCTGCAAGGTTGGAAGGTTGTTGCCAATGGGGAAAGCCCGTTGCGTATCGATAGCAACGGTATCTTTGCAGTTGACGATGTACTTGGTGAAGACGAGTACAACCAGAAGTGCGATCTTGCTGCTCCTACTGGTGTGTGTACGTACGCGTGTGAGTTGGGTGGAGGACTGACGTCTTCTGGTGGATTGGAGTCAAGTTACAACGTGCTGTCTCTTAGTGGAGACGACTACGCTGCAAGTATGAACGGGGTAAGCGCCTTCCCGTCAGAGGTAAAGCACCTTTACTTAGCAGCTATATACTTGCTCTTTTCTAACATTTTTTTCGCTTTTTGTAGGCGTTTACAGTGTCGCTATGGGTGAAGACGACGCAAAGAGATTCAAGCGCTTGTCTCTATTCATACGCCGTGGCTTCGAAGACAGCTCCAGCTGTACCATTGGCATTGTGTAACCCTTCCAATTTGCAACTCTTTATCAACGCAGAGAGCGACGTGAGCGGGTTGAACACATTTGTGAACATCAGTGACAATGCGTGGCATTTCCTCGCAGTTACGTGGAGCTCAGAAGATGGTCGCGTGCATGTGTTCGACAACGGAATGCTAGTGTTTGATGGGGGGCCATATCGTGGCGGACAAACACTGGAGTCCAATGGATTATTTGTGGCTGGTCAACTGGTGCTTTCCAGTGCATCCAGAACACCATGTACTGTTGGAGCAGAGGCTCTCGCGCAGAGTTACACTGCAACTAGCACTGGTGCGTTATTTGTTACAACTACAGAAGATGTGAGCTGCGATGTGGTGGCCAACAGCGGCTTCAATGGTCAGATCCAGCACGTCCACGTGTGGTCACGGACACTCACACGCTCAGAGCTTCTGGGCGAGCTCTCTTGGCCACTGCGGGTCGTCAGCAATGGCCTCGTCTTGGGGTGGAACTTCGATACCTCTCACTTATTGCTACACGGTCGTGTGGTCAATGATCTGTCGATGCAGGGTCATAGCCAGAAGAACCTCGGTGCACTACACTGCAGCCAGCACAATACGTTCCAATTGGCATCAAACGTATCCAGTACTAGCACCAACCTCTGTCTATCTCGAGGTGAGGTTCCCCGACTGGATGCCACCTTCCCTTGCGGTCCCGTGTTCTCCAACATTTGGCACTTCTCGGCTCCTGCAATCTTCGTGTCCAAGCTGAAAGACGCGTATGGCGGTCGTCTCCAATACCGTCTCCTCGCACCGAGCTTCAACGGGTCTCCACGACCTCGCCGTGGGCAGGTTTCCATCTTCAGCACGAATAGCGACGGCGTTGTGACGCAGATATCGGCTGCATTAGGCTCGTTCAATCTCCCTTCAGCCTCTCCCTGGACGTACTATTCAGTCGTATTGCGTGAAGACTTTGGATGGATCACCGAGCCGGATGGAGACACCCTCAGTGCAGCGGAATTTGGTGCTGTGCTTGACGGCGCTACAGTGCTCTGGATTCGAGGAGATATCTGGGGCTACGACTCCAATGGACCAGGACAAGAAGTAGTTTACCTCAACGACGTCGCGCTGTATGGACGATAACAAGACAGGAACTAGAAATTTATTACGCAACTAAACAAATGTTATGTTACCCGTTTCCATTCTAGTACCGGCGAGCCTTGCAGCCAGAAGTGCTGGTCGTTGGCGTGTCGTTGGTAGCAGGGGCATCGGTATCAGAGTTCTGGTCAGTTGATGGCGCCTCAGTCGCTGGTACAGCGGTGGTCACGGTGGGTGCTTCTGTGGTCTCTTCAACTTCGCTAGCATCGGCTTCGCTAGCTTCGGCCTCGCTAGCCGCATCGTCTTCGCTCGTCTCCGTCGACGGAGCCGCCGTAGTTACAGTAGGAGTAGCTGTGGTGGCCACGGGAGCTGGTGTGTTGGCTGACGTTGACGTGCTCTCGCTGCCCGTGCTGGAACCGGCGACGCTCGAAGTGGAGCCGAGGTCGCTGGGGATGCCGTTCTCGACCGTCACGCCGTTAAACGACAGTATGTCCTGCTTGTCCGCCATTTTGACAGCACTGCCGTCGTTCGAGAGCGTGAGCTGACCAAAGTGGAACTCGTAGTCCGTGGGGACGGCTCCGTTGTAGGTCTCGGTCTTGGTGAGTGCCAGGGCGTCGTCACCTTCACTGAAGTAGAGCGCCAACTCTCCCGAAGACACGGCGATGCCGAAATTGTACCAGGTCTCGGTCTTGAACTCCGTCGACCAGCGGGTCTCGGTGCTGCCGCCAGTGTACCAGACGAGCAGTACCGGGTCCACGGACGCGTCGATGCGGATCTCGAACAGGTGCGACTCGGGGAAGACAACTTGCCATGAATACAGGTTAACGTAGGCCTCCTCCTTCATCAGACTCACGCGGAAGAAGGTGGTGCCGGCCGTGTTTCCAGCGACGTCCTGCACCAATTCGGAGCGACGGAAATTAGTCTGACCGCCGAAAATGGCCTCGGAATCCACGGCCAGCGTGGCAACGCCCGTGTCGCCGTTGAAGGCGGGCGAGCGGCCCTTCTGGGTGATGGTAACCCACTGGTCCGGGCTCACAGTGCCATTCTGGCGGTTGGTCAGGATATGCGTCAGATACTTGTCTGTGAGCGTATCGACAGCCAGGTCCTGGAAGGTGCCGTCCCAGGGCAGCGCCTGGTCGTCTGCGGCGTGGACGACGCTAGACAGCAGCGTCGCTAGGAGCACCATGCCGGTCGTGAGGATCGAGTGGATGCGGGCCATTGCAGAAAACTGAAGAAGCTTTAACTGGTGTCGAGCAAAAGCTGCAATGATTAGGATGAGCAGGGCGAGGATCAGCCTGGTCTGGGTGGCACCTTCATGTAAAGTCCTGCGTAGCAGTTCTTCATAGGCATCTGGCTGGCTGCACTACTTAGTGAAATCAAGAGTACGACTGGAGAAATCTGTCAGCTGGGTTTGAAGAATTAACGATCGCTGATCCATGCTTGTCAAGTCGACAGCTGGTCAATGGGGCTGCCATTGGCACGATCAGGTCGCGAATAGCGGCTCGGCTGGGGGAGAAACACCGAACTTTGGAGCACCGAGACATAAATAGAACCAACAGTTGTGACACAAAATCGCCATATTTGCAAACACGACGTCGTTAATTTATTCTAGACTACATTCGCTCAGAAACCATCCCTTTGTCTAAGGGTAAAGCTAGAAAGATCATCATGGAGGCTCGCCGTTCTTGCCATTCATCCTCTGTCCCGGACCCAACTCCTGACGAACAGCCTGTTGAAGAGGGCGTGCCGTTAATGCTGACTACGTCCGCTGTGTCTACGTGCTTAACTGCTGCTTGTCTCCAGCCCGCATCTTCGCCACTTTTCGACAGGGGGCCTATAATGCCGTCTTCTGCTTCGAGAGAACTGCTGCAGGATATGCCGTTCAACACAAAGTCGATACCAAGGAGAGCAACATTCGCTGAGGCTTCTGCATGTACACAGTCAGACTCAAGTATTGTGTCAGCTCCATTGTCGTCGGGAGTTCGATCAACTGAGTCCACTATACTCGAATCTTCATATTCACCGATGCTTATCCAACCTTCACAAACGGTACCAACCAACTATCAACTAAGGCCACCCCCAGAGGAAGAATATTTGAGTGAAGCTGATGCAGAAGCCGCTATTCATGCGTGGACCGTGCTACATGGCTACAACGTAACTAAAAAGCAATTAGAAAGAAACAAAACTGGAGACGTGATATACCGACTATTTGCGTGTGACCAATGGGGTAAGCCCAAGAACACTCGACGTCTGCGAGAACAAGATCGTGTTCGCACAAATAAACGCTCGGGACGATGCGGATGTCCTATGCGCATCAAAAT